AACCTGCGACCGATATCCCTCACTTCTAATTTGTGTAAGATAACCGAACGTATGATCCTGGCTAGGATAACCTGGCAGCTAGAATACAAGAAACAAGCAGACGGCGAAGAACCGGCCTTTTCCTCGGTACAAACGGGGTTCCGGCCTGGCCTTGCAACCGTCGACAGTATCGCCCTAATACATAAGGACATACTGGCAAGACCCCCGAACATGTACCCAAGGACAATAGTTGCAGTCGATATAAAAAAGGCATTCGATACCGTACCTCACGATGCAGTGGTCCAAGGCGCCATCAACCGGGGCCTTAGAGGCCGCTGTCTAGGTTTTATAAAATCGTTCTTAGAAGGCCGGACGTACGAAGTCGTAGTCGGGGAAGAACATGGACCAAAGAAGGAGAACGTAATCGGAGTACCACAAGGAGCGGTCTTATCACCAATGCTTTTTAACATGGTAATGGCAGATTTAGCCTTCGCACTAGAGAAGGTTGAAGGTCTGGGTCATTCAATATATGCAGACGACATTACTATCTGGTCGAATGAACGAGACGTAGAAGAACAAAGAGAGATACTGCAAGAGGGCCTGGACATCATCCACTCTTTCCTACAAAGGGTGGGAATGAGGCTCTCCCCAGACAAGACAAACTGTGTTACCGTAGCAAATAAGAGAGGCAGGAAAGAGAACGGAACCTGCGACAGAATTCATCTAAATGTCAACGGCACCCCCATACAAAGAACCGACTCTGTCAAAATCCTGGGAGTAACCTTTCAAGAGGATGGCAGAGCAAGCAAATGGTATCGTGGAATTAAGAACCACTGGAAAGCTACACTGGGAAAAATCAAATTTGTTACGAGCAAGTCATGGGGAGCGCAAGAACAGACACTAAAAAAACTAGTCAGAGCCCTGTTAATATCAAAAACCACCTACGGAATTAATTACCTCCGCCTCAACAATGAGCAACGAAAGGGTCTAGAGGTACTTAACCGTATGGCGATGAGAGTCGTCACCGGGTTACCGAAATGCACCAAGATAGAAGAACTGGAAACAATCGCCGGAATGAACTGTCTCAGAGATATTGCTCAAGAAGATAAAATAAGCCAAGTACTTAGGCTGCAAAAGACTACAGCTGGCAGGAACATCCTGATGAAATTAGACATTGAGTGCCCGGACACACCTATCTCGATCCCCCCGCCACCGTGGGAGGATGAGACAGTCGTGGACACGAAGCCTTTACCACAAAACCTAAGCAAAGAGCAAATGGGGAGAAGAAACACAGCAGCTAAGAAACACAACTGTGACCTCCAAAAATTACTTGAAGACCCTGAGACAGATATATATTATACCGATGCATCAAAAGTACAATCTCAAGTCGCCATCGCAGCACACAGATTCAAAGACCAATTCACGGTCACAAGAACGCTAAAACCAAGAACGGGGGTAAAACAAGCGGAATTAATGGCCATCCAGCTGGCCATCGAAACCGCAGCTTTTAGCCCAAGCAAGAAAATCTACATTTACACAGACGCCAAGAAAGCTTTCGAGGAGTATCGTAACCCCTCGAGCAGAAGTAAGACGGTGCAAACCGTCAAAGCAATTGCACGCATCTACAGAAGCGAAGGAAAACGCGTAACCATAAGGTGGATCCCGGGACACCAGGAAATACCCGGGAACGACGCCGCGGACGCTGCCGCACGGGTCTCCCTCCCTCCTCATCAATTACCCGGCCTTGGCACTGACTTCGACGACGTACAAAAGTTGAACACTGGATCTCCAATCCAACCGGAAGGAGAAGAAGAAGTCGACCCCTTGGCACTCAAGGCTGTCGAACGCTAGGCACGCCGCGAGCGGCTCGGGAGCCTGCTCCGAGAAGACCCGCATCCCCTCCCAGCGGATAACTACACCCGTTGGGAGAAAATATGCATTAGAAGATTACGCACACATACAGCAATGGTTCCTAAACGCACAGCCATTTTCAAGAAAAGCAGATTGGCAACGAAACAGCACGATGCAGAACTTCAGGGCTCACAAGCAGGACCCTCGACCCAACCCAGGAACGAGAGCCTTTGTAAATACTGCGAGGAGACCGCCTCGGAGACCCACGTCTTCTGGGACTGTCCCCGCACTGAAGAGATGAGACGGAAAGCCCTAGAGGCATTGCCACACCAAATGCGACCGAATAGCCTTGAAGAATGGGTCCTGCCCACTGGATCCCCTGAGCATCGCAAGGCAACCCTCGATTCCCTCCTCACATACGTGAAGGAAGCCAAACTCACACAATTCATCTAAAAAAAAATATCATACCATAAACTCATCCGCTCAAAGAAGATGACTTAAGTCAAGATCGGCGAGCGTAAATCACCTTTTTATAAATATAATAAAGACATTTTCCAGCCAGCCAGACTCTGTATCGATCCTCTGAACAACAACGATTCGGAACAGAACTACTGCGACAATATATCCTTTTCAGAAGTGTGCGCCGTCTCGTAGCCGTCGCGCTAGTTATCCCAGTCCTGCCGTTGCCTGAGGAGCTCGTACTCTCAGAATCTATTGGACACGAGGGTGACGTCAGTGTTCGGCGATGACTCGGACCCAATCAGTCGCTTCGTGTCCGACAAATGGCGACCGCACTCTCCGAACAAAAAATAAAAAAAGAAAAGGTGTATTTTTCACTCTTTGTCCCATATAACGCGCCCCAAAACTTCAGTTGGACGTAAAGCGCCGCTGACGTCGAACTGGCGGCTTAAACTTCTGCGAGGGGCTCGATAACGGTGCGGTATAACTTATTAAATTACTAAAGCACGCATCGGTGCCTTCTTTTTGGCAGCTTCTTGCCGAAGTTTTTGAGCGCCGACCAAAGCCCTGCACGTAGACGCTGTTTACTTCTCAAATGTATTAAGTGGCTGCCATAGCTGCACGGTTGCTGAGCGTGAACTGACGGCGAGCTTCCACGGTTGTTAGGCAACGTGCATTGCACACGGCATCGAGATTCGCGGTCTTAGCAGCCCGTTCTGAGCATGACCAGTGAACAGCGCGCTCAAATATGGCGCCCATCTTTGCGAAACACGACCCAGAACAACGAGGCACGCGATGAAACATTTTTTGACAGAGAAAATGCGGGCGAGTTGGTAAACTTCAAACACCGTAAAAAGCCCAACACACACACTCACACACAAAGGGGGGAACATGTACTTTTTTTTTGTCTCGGAGTTTCACAACGTTAAACGTTCTCAATATTTTCGTGTTTTTCATCAAAAAAAGAATTAAAATAATAATAATAAGAAGAAGAAGAACTGTTGCGAAGCTGGCTTTCCTGCGTACTTATTAACCATCTTTCATGAACAGAAACGTGAGGGCGCAAACGGAGCTGGCGCGCAGATTACTATCCCAATCACGAGACTGTATGTTCGTGTCGTTTTTTGCTTCCTGCAGTCTCCTGGTTGAGTTATAACTTATAACCTCCTTCCATTCGTTTCCGACGCTGAGAAGCCCGCCCTCGGGCTCAGTAACTATATCAGCAGCTTTTTTTAGCGTACCATCAAAAAGTATCCAGCAGTAAATGTAAACTTCAAATGCTCGTCGTGCCCCTGCAGTTTTCTTTCTTTGTATATTTACTTGACTCGGGAGAGAAAAAAGGGAAAAAGGAGACCCTGCTCGTTGATTTGGATTTTTTTGTTCGTCAAAACGAAACTTGGATGCCAGGTCGCCAAAACGTATGCAGACGAACGCGTGCGTTCAGAAAGCAGCGATGTTCAATCAATTCGGGACACATGTAATATACATCGACGCCCGTCTTGCAAAAAGGTTCCGTCGACTTTGCCGAGACTTCTCCACGGACCCCGGTCGCTGCAGACACCAGTTAAAGAAAGGAATTCGGCGATAACGCACGAACTTTCACCTTTGCCGCCACAATCTTCGCCGTTACCCCAACAACGGCGGAACACACAGAACGCACCCGTCCTCTGATCCCGTCTTCGTATTGTTCGCCGTTCTCGATCCCCAACCCCGGGCGCAAGGCGCGCTCGCCTTACGCCCGGGGTTGACGAAAAATTGACGAAAAAAACTCGTTTATCACAAAGCCCGCAGTCGTGGCCCAGTTTCACGACGAAAATACGGCGAGTCGGGAGAGCTAGGCTCTCAATCGAACGCGAAGGTCACTTCGTTTTAGGTGTAAACACTTTTATTCCGGCCCTTTTATCGACTAAACGAGGTCAACGGGACCAATTCGTCGGGTTGGGAACGTGAAACCGCTTCGTTGGAGACATATGCGGCTCCAAATCGCGAACAGCTCAAATTTTCCCGGTGTGCTTTTATCGGAAATTACAGCACGGATGCAGTAGCAGACGAAACTCCGCACGAAACACGAAGCGTGCTGTCCGCTCGAAGCATCAACATAATTTTTTTTCGGGTAGCGGCGGTTGAGGTAAACTCTGTTTGCGGACAGGGGCCCGTGGATCGGGCGTGGAAGGGGCACTCACCTGTTGCACCAGGGGAGCGATCGTTCTTTCGATGGACTTTATCTTGATGTCCTGGTCCCAGGCATCCGACCCGCCGCCGGCCGCTGCCATTTTGGCCGAAACAGACGCCAGGGCAGGGCGGTGGCGCTGGCATCGCGCATGCGCCGAGTTTTTGCTTTGAGACCAACGACTACCGAGTTGAAACAAGCAACGATTCTCTTTCGGAACAGGAATATAACCGATTACTTATTAATTCGGCGTAGTGTTCGCGTTTTTAATTTAGATTTGTATTTTGTCACGTGACACAAGCGAAAAGTCTTGGGTAGTATCCATTGTGCTAGTACAAGCAGTATCGCATACATACAACCGCTGTCCTGCTCCCCAAGTGCGTACAATTGCGCACAAAGAATGCAATCGACATTCATATTTCGCTATGGTCCAGCTGAGTTTTTATATTTACGCAGATAAAAATTATAACAAAAGAGAAGCGTATTTAACGTGTTCTTAGAGCAAAACCTCTCTAAAAATAATATGAGTGAGGTAAGGGAATATTGGACGCCAGGAGAGGGTGACATTTGTGTATTCTTCCGCCGTCCCAGGTTCGTGTTTTGCACGTGGTTGTGTTTACAACGTCGACATGATGTTCGGTTGATCAAGGAGTCGCGGAGAAACGTGCATAAAAAAATGTCACTGAGATATGTAGGAACGGAAGATAGCCTTTCTGGTTCCCAAATCTGCAAGATACCCCTTTCCGCCTTCGTCGCGAAGAAATGGACGCCTGGCTCGCCGGCCGAGATCACTGTGGGCAACGAAACATTTGTGTGCCTTCTCTTTCCCCATCGCTACACGAGCGATGTAGTTTACGTTGACAAAACTGTCCGGCTACAAAAAACCTGCGGCGAAGCAACGATCAAACCGGGCCCAACGTGCGTTCACGTAGACACTGACATCAAGCTCTTCGGCAAAGCCGAACCGGCAACCGAGGTGGCGGTAAGCGTCGTGTTAAACTCGGTTCACGACCTCGTAAGATGGCACGGCGTCCACCGCGATCGCTTGCGCCATTGGGTCTCAAAACTCCTACGCAATTACCACGTCCGACCGGGTGCCGTTGTTCGAACTTGTCCGCGCACACAACCACTGCCAGGCTTGTGCTCGATCTACTCTGTCATCATCGAAGCGATCGGTTCCAACGTCGCCGTCTGCAAGGTGACCAGTGGCTCGAAGATCTCCGTTTCTAACGTAACGTACTTCTCACCCAAAGACCCGGTCCCGTTTCCCCAAGTTTGGGAGAAAGCGATGCTAGAGCCCGTGTCGCTTCTCAAGAAACTATGCACGTTCCCTTACAAGTTTCCCGAAACACTCAAATCGGTCGGGCTTCGTCTTCAACGAGGTGTTCTCTTAACGGGACCGCCCGGTACCGGCAAAACGAGCGTGGTCCGGAAAGTAGCGCATGACATCGGCGCCCATCTGCTAACCGTCAGGGGCCCCGATCTTTGCCGATCGTTGCCGGGCGAGAGCGAGGAGCTGCTTCGCGGGATATTTCGGGAAGCGGTGATCTTGAGCGACGTAGTGCCATGCATCGTGCTCATCGACGACGTGGATGTGTTGTGCGCCAAGAGGAGCTCCGGAAGCAACCAGCACGCCAACCGGCTGGTGACGCAACTGCTGACGCTTCTGGACGGGATGGAGGACAGAAGGGGTGTCTTTGTTGTGGCCACGACTAGTAGACCTAACGCCATCGATCCTGCCATGAGGAGGCCTGGCCGGTTCGATAAAGAGGTGAGCAGTTTGTCCAGGAGTGAGGAGAGTGACTACATGTTGTTTTTCCCTGAAGGAGAGCACATGATCGTCCGGACATTCATAGGATGTTGAACTGATACAGCGTCATACAGTGACCACATATACAGGGTAGCAATCAAACCGGTGGCAGTCAATTCGTCGAATGACGTTTCTTTGACAGATTGTTTCATCGACAGCTTCCTTCCATGCACACTGGCACGGCTGCTGGCAGACAGATGGTAGCTTAGCTCGCCAAACCCTTCGCAGTTCCCACGAGGCTTGCCATAAGTTCGAGCCTGAGATTGCATTCCATTTTCCATGAGCAGAGTGAAATGGGGGGTTGACTGCACATAGTGTGGCCTCTTTTGAAGACTAGGATTAGGGTTTGCGAATCTGAGCTCCACTATTTGAATCAATCAATCATTGAAAAAAACTATTGACTGATTGAAATAGTGGAGTTCAGGCCTGGGTGGCCTGAGCTCCGCTATATTTTGGCAAATTTATGCAATAAATTTTGCAAGGTCTTCCACAAAATGTTAGTATTGAGATTTTGATTTAAGAAAATGAATCAATAAAAAGGTTTTTACAAAACGACGCAGGTCCTTATATGTCCTGTGGACGTCCTATTGTGGGACTTGGGGCAGCATCATTGAGTGGCAACGTGTTGCTTTTCCCCCCAAAAAGTGCACAGCCAATCGACACATCCAGAACCTCCATATGACGTCGGGAGTGGTCACGGAAGTCCCGAGGACATTGTGGTCCGTCGAAGTATTGGCAGTGTTGTCGCTCAGGCATGCAAGACTGCATTGTATGAGAGATAGTTGATGTCATGCCTGCCAGAACTGTGTTGCGCACTGGTCAACATTGTTATCAGGCAACCTGGTGCATGCTTCTGAGTCTTCGAAAGTTGACTCAAGTTCTCTCGAATACCATGCTAGAACAACCTGTGACATTATGTTGACTGTTACAGTTGCTTCTGGGTGCACTGTCAACAAAGGAGAGAACGGACATCTTGGAGATGGTTGGGCTCCAGCTTGGTCTTGGCTTGGATCACCTCGTCCTCCCGACTTCTGGTTTTGTGATCAGCGACATGATGGCGCTCCTACGCGAGTCTCTCGTGGCAGCTATGAAACGTGACGTAAGTGACTTCGACGTTGCCTTGTGCCGGACCTCTGCTTTAGAATGCTGTTTTGTTTCGTTTTTGTTTATGAGAAAATGCCACAGCTCTTTTTAGTATCACCTGGAAAGTCGAGTTGCCAAACCTTGAGTATAATTCTGTCTGAACGTCTGCTGAAATAACCTACAAAGTTTTATATGTGCAAGGGCAACAAAATCTGCTAAATTTGGCAGATGACGTGCACTATGCCTGAGGCATTCTGATCTTTGGTTCCTTTACTTCTCCGGGCACAGCCCACAGATGGCATTACTGGTATGATCCGAGTTAGTTCATGAGACTTATCTGTTCTCATGCCCCAAGTGCCACATTTTGACATCGTCGTCTGCAGTCACAATGCTGCTGCCATCTGCCAGAGATTAATTCCAATGTAGTCTCTGTCACCCTGTCCTTGTAATGTTTTGCTTACAAACTTCAGCTATGTTTCCAAACAACATGTGCACAGGCCACAGTAGATGCTGCTCGTACGCAGAGTCTGATACGATGCAGACAATGTTTGTGCTATGACTGTTCGCGTTGTAGAGAATCAACTGCTTGTTCCACGTGGATGCCCATGTCATTGACATGCAGAGCCAATGGCGCACGTTGCAGCCAAAGTTTTTGTTTCAGTTTGTTATCATGTCGGAAACAAGATTTATGTGAGAAATATTTCGCTTTTTGGGAAACAGATGGTGGCGCGCTGTTCATTAATACTTCTCAAAATCCATTACCCTAAATATTTTGGAGTTGAGTGGAATTTCCCTTTATGTAATTCTGAAGCACCATCACCTATGCACAGCATCAGCTTTCGTGTTCCAGGTTGTCGAGGCTAGCAGTTTCCACACTTTTCCAATGCTGTCGAAGTTACTTTGCACAAGCACATGGCATCGTTTTGGGTCCCTTTCACCCGAGAGCTGGTGCGATGAGACGGAAGACAAAGCCACATGCTCTCATTGCAGTGTTGGGCTGCAGCACTGCAGAAACTATGCTTGCTTTGGTAATGTAGACCAAAAATGTTGATGCCAAGTATAGCTGAGTAGTACTTTTATTTCTCTTATTTATCTAGCACTTTGCATGTATGTAATACTTTTCCAAGACACTGTTTTAGGGTTATAAAAGTTACCTCTAGAAATGCAACCTGTGATATAGTTACAGTTACCATTAAGATTATTACAGTCCTTTGATGATTTCTTCAAAGTGACCAGCAAAGAGCCTGCAGAGAAGTGACTCACTATTTCTTATTCTTCTTATTTAGTAACTTTTTTTAATGCAAAAGCATTAACTGTTTCATGGAGCGAGCCAACGTCATCAGCTTTGAAACCGCGCCAGACGGCACCTTAAATCCTTTGTCCAAGTGAAGCCAGCTCCCAGCTATGAAACCATGCGAAAAGCCTAGCCAAATGGCGCCTAGTTTCCCCGATCTCAAGAGTGGAGTAAAGCTGATGAATTTTGGCTTCAATCCCATTGGCTGGCGCGCGTCGACGAGGTTCCCATTGGCCGATGCGCATCAGTGTCAACGACCGCCGCCCCATGTGCTGCGTGTTCGTGAGGCAGCGGCTCCAGCGCTCCACGCCTAAGATCAGTGCGCCGAGGACAGTGCGTGCGCTCGACCCTCGATGCAAGTACGCTGCAGACGAAGGAAGGGCGCAGAAGAGCGGCGTGCATGCTTTTGCATTCACAACTCATAAGAAGTGCTTAGGTGTACCTCGAGCTTTATTTTTTTTATGGCATGTGTAACTTTCTCAATTCTGTTTGTTGAGAGGAGTTAATTTATTTTCAACCAATGGCTCCTACCTGCGTTCAGCAATAGAAAATCTGCAGCTTTGTGGTGATCCATACAGGTGCTCTAGAGGCGTAACTGGTGGTTTCAGCAGATATGACCCAAGCCTTTCTGCAGCGAGCCATGCCAAACCAAGCCACAAATATGTTTCCTTCTATCCTTAACACAACCGATAGGGGCCAACCTGCATTGATGTAGCGTACAATTTGTACTCTACCCGACGGCTTGCTCTGAATGTTAGCTTGTTTGTGCCAGTGACATCGCTACCTAGTCTTGGCATTGGCAACCAGACCTTGAGACAAGTTCTAAACCATAAAACTTCCTTTTCTTTTAAGAGTCAATGTTTTTGTTGTGATCCAAGGACTGGAAGCAGATATGCACATAATAACCATACAGGTGTGTTACCATACCATAACGGCCATGCATCTAAAATGGTCCCAAGGTGGCAACAAGTTATGTCATAGGGGCCGTTGTGACAAGCTTTTGGATGTTTTGCAATCCTGGCAGTTGGTCGTAGATGTTCTGACAAAAAGGGTGAGCGGACGCAAGGGTCGCCGTTGTCCCGTCTCGTGTCTGCCTTAGTTTCTGTCGACCATCTGGCTGCAGAATCAGCTACAGGAAAACAGCCGTCTGCCGCATCTTCCTCCGCTGCTGTACAGCTACAATGATCCCAGCAGGCAACAGCATTGTTAACTCGATGATCCGAGAAGATGTCGTTTTTAAAGCAGCAAATAAAAGAAAGACTTTATTACGGTTAATAAGGTTAAAAGAATGACGAAGAATACACTGCAAGGTTTTTGACGCAAGCTTCTTTTAACAGTGTCTGGAAGCTGAGTGCACCATAACCGTACCACCTGTTGTTCTTACACACTGTCAACGTTTGCTGTCTCCCACTGCAGCCATCAACTCAGGGCGAAGCCGCTCTGATGAAGGAGGACTTCGAAGATGCACTGAAGCTGGTGAAGTCGAGCCTGAGCAGACGCCTCGAATTCGCAGTCGAAGTCACAAAGCGCTCCAGCTGGGACCAGCTGGGAGGCATCAGCAAAATCCAGAAGAAGCTGAAGACTGTACATTGCTTTCTTTTTGTCCTTCCCTCAACAACATTTACATCCAACGGACATCCGAAGGATGTCTATGCAGGGGTCTTAGGGATAAATGATAATATTTCCTGGAGAAGGGGAACAAAGGGGACAAAGGACAAACACAAATCTCCCAAAACAACTCCTAATTCGCTCAGTTGGTAGAGCGCTCCTCTGGAAATTGATAGGTCCCTGGTTCGATACCAGGACCAGGCGGAGTTTTTCAGCGTGCACCAGTCACCTAGCTTTGTTGGAGATTTGTGTTTGTCCCTTGTCCCCTTTGTTCCCCCTCTCCAGGGATTATTATCGTTTATTCTGTTTAGCTCGCCTGGACCTTTGCATCAATTAAGACTTAGGGATGTACCCTAGACGTCTGACTCAGGCGCTGAAAATGTCCCGTGTGAAATGTCAAAAGGCTTTGAACAAGGGGTGACCAAAGTATGGCTTGCATGCCGCATCTAGCTCTCTGCGGCTCCAAGTGCAGCTTGCAGCTCCCTGATAAGCATACTGAGAAATATCATCATCATCCGTTTGTTTTATGTGCTCATAAACAGCCAAGAATATTGATATAGAAAAAGAAAGCTTGCATTTTGGCAGCCTTGCGCTAACGTACGTACACAGGACCGACCGGATAAAGGGCATCAGGGTCAGTGACACAATCAGTAATCACTTAATTAATTTAATTTGCTGTGGCCACCGACTGAGACGAAAGGAGAAAAAAATGCCACATCCCGTTTTTATTGTGGCTCGTCACCTAAATGGCTCGTTGCGTGTCCATCTGGCCACCCCTGGTCTGGACCAGTAATTTTCAATCCTTCCTCAAGGCATGCCAGATTTTGAATGCGAAAGCATTAACTGTCTCATGGAGCGAGCTGATGTCATCAGTTTGAAGTGCAAAAACGGCACCTAGTTTCCATTCGCTGGCATGTGTCGACAAAGCTCTTATTGGCCGCTGCGCTCGTCAGTTTCCATGACCGCTCACCCCATGGCGCTGTCTGTCCATCAGTGCGCCAATAACACGGAGCGTCCAAGGTCACCAGCGGAGCACAGGCGCTGACTGGCAACGAAAAGTATGCAGCAGACAAAAAAGGGAGCGGACAAGCAGCTTGCATGCGTTCACATTCAGAACTCAAAAGGAATGCTTAGGTGTACCTCGATCTTTTTTGACGATGTTGTGAAAAGGAATCGGAAGGTGGGGACTGGTCCCGCGTGTGGTTCCGGAATACTCGACGGTTATAGCCTAGTGAAACCCAGCGCTCTAGATCACAAAAGTAGTCGCGGTTTTCGTAATCTCGCTGTCTTTCCTGCAAACTTGTGCCACATGGCCTGTACTTCCGCAGTAATAGCCGATTGGTGGTTGACAGTATCACCAGGGTGTGCTGCAATAGAAAAAGTGTATTTTTTTTTTCATGGCTAGAGTTATAATGAAAATAGTATTATCATTTACATCACCAGGTGGTCTATATACGGGGCGTTTTTTTTAAGGCTTTACAGATTTGTTTTAAAGAAGCCGTAAAAGCTACACTAACGTGGCCTGTGCAGGTGAGTTAAACGGCCAGGGGGACATAGCATCGGGGTCAAATTATCACAATAAGTCAGCTGCTTAACTAAAATATGTTAATTATCCTTTGAATTAGTAAAAATAATCATATGGTCCCAATCAGAAACTTGCTGAGCATCATCGTAAACCCCCTCATCAGTCAATTTTAGGAAGACGCAGAGCACACGAAAAGAGCAGTGGACCGCTAACGTTACCGCTCATGCAGAAGGCGCAAATCTACCGGCGCGATAACATGCTCAAGCGGTTTTTCCGTCTCTTGTCATCCACGTTATCTCACCGTTGCACGAATAATAACTTTAGTGCACTGCTGCGTTTCACGTCCACCCAAAGTGTTTCTAAAAATGACTGATTTAGTGATTTTCGATCATATTTTGCAAATTTCTAATTGGAACCTTATGTTTATTTTCAATAATTAAAAAGTGAGTTAACAGACTTTAGTTAATTATTCAACTTATTGTGATGATTACTCCCCTATATTATATCCCTTTGGTCGTAGATCTCCCCTGCACAGACCGTATTAGTGTGGTTTTCATGGCTTTTTAAAACAAATCTGCAAAGCCTAGAAAAATGACCCCGTATACACCAGAATGCCGTTTATCAAGAAGCCTGCATTTGCCCACACCAGGTGTGGGCACCGCGTGTGCGCAGAAACGAGATTCGCGTGACATAAAGCGTCTGCATATATGCAGTGCCAGCAGCAGTACACCACAGTGGCGTGAAATCGGACAGTTAAGTTGGTGTATTAACGGGACTACCGTAACATCCCGAAAGATGCCCCACCACTTAAAGATAACCCACCCCATATTTCAGGCTTGAATTGCTATTCTATTTTAAATGTAGAAAAAAAGCCCATTCCTTGTAATTGTAGTGTGTGGATCGACGATGGCCTCACGGTAAATGTGGCGAGTTAGCCAGGGTGCGATATATGCAAACATTGCTGACTGGGAAGTACAGTCATCTTTGCTCCCTTGCCTCTGGCTGCAACAACAAGCTTGGTAGAGAGACATAATCTGAAAATAGCTTCCTTTTTTTTTACTTTTCTCGAGCGCACGTTGAAAGTTAGCCCACTCCTTATTTCTAGCCTATTTGCTCTCGATTTTTGGGTGGGCTACCTCATCAGATATTACGGTGGTAAATGTTGGTCCTTTGCCAGGCTCCCTTCATTTCATTTCTTGCGTGGTCAAAGTTCAAAACAGAGTGTGCCCCTGTGTTTACGGCAGGCAGTGGAGGGTCCCCTGCTGCGGCCGTCGTCCTTTGCGCGGCTGGGGCTGGCGCAGCCGCGCGGCCTGCTGCTGGTGGGGCCCCCTGGGTGCGGCAAGACATCCATCGCGCTGGCCGTGGCAGCCGGCTGCGCGGCCTCCACCGTCTTCTCCGTGGGGGCGGCCGACGTCTACTCCCCCTTCGTTGGAGACTCGGAGAAGGTTGTCGCCAGCGTGAGTGGCGGCTCGAAATATCCTCGGCTCTTTCCTAAAGTGTGCAAAGAAGCGACTATGATAGCTGTTTTAGAGGCCCACACTTTTACGCGTATCTCCTGTTCATTTACCGCATTTTTCGGTCTATAAGTCGCACCTTTGAGTAAGACAAGCTGTTTTCAGAAAAAAAGTTAGTATAAATATGGCACCTACTATAGGTGTGTATGGCAGTGGCAAATTTAGCTTTGTCCTCCGCTTCCTTTGCCACAAGCAGAGCCATACGTTGAGAAGCTGTCGCCAGTGGCTGTTCGGGGAGTTGCACGCTAATCGATTTTATACGCACTTTTTAACGGATGCGGCGTGAGATTCACGTGGTGTGATGTGACGTTGCCGTGGCCATCTGGCGAGTGCAGTGCGAGACTTGTATGTGCAGGCGTCCTCAACACATAAAAGTGTTAATCGGTGCGTTGCAGCAGCGGGCACAGCTCTTTGGTAGCACATTCATCTCACAGTCGGCGGACCCGGGATCGAATACGAGCAGCGTTTACGTGCTTGGAGAATGTTCTTTTTCAAGCATTTGGCGATATTGTAATGAATAGAAACATAAACTCGATTAATAAAACTTAAAATTAGCGTTTAATGCTGCAAACTTGCGCCGAGAAACATAAAATAACAAAGACCATTCTTTGAGGCGACAGAAGGATGACTTGCTCGAGCAGCCATCCGAAGCTCCTTTTGTAAGCGCGTGGGTATCTAGAAGTTTGCGAGCTCGAACAAGCAACAAAATTCTCGAGTCACCTTGGAACATTCCGGTCATGCACACAAAACACAAATAAAAAGGGCGAGCGCTGGCAGGGATCAAACCCCGGCCAGCAGCATGGGAGTCAAGCCCGCTGTTGGCTGAGCTATTTGCACGTGGAAATATTGATAGGAAAAGCCCCTGACAGTTATTCCTGTAAAAAAAAAAAAGGGATAATTAAAATAAGAGCACTGACTTGACACACCAGAAAAGACAATTTTATTAGACGTTTCGCCTCCCATGCGGGGCGCATCTTGAGTAGTTACAAAGCAAATGCAAGGTTCAACTTCAAGTCGACGCTATTCATCGGGAATGTCCGTATAAGCTTCGTGGAGAGGGCCGCGGTTTTTGTTACACACGGTGTGTCCGTGCGGACAAACCACGATTCTAGGAGTTACCAGAGCCTTTATCTATTCTCCCTTGCCAAAGTCGTAGCGACTGCAAAGTTAAAAGAATGCTCTATTGTCCACGAATGGTCCGCAAGTTCAGTCTTCAGTCGCGTCACATAGGATGCGTACGTGACATTGCGATTGTGTTCTTTGAGTCTGGTCTCTCTCCTCCGTCTGGTTTCACCAATGTAGGACGCCGGGGATATCACTGCAGGGGATCTTGTAGATAATGCCTCTCTGGACGTGTGCCGGGTTTGGGTCCTTTGGTTTAGAAACGGAGTTTCCAATAGTTTTAAATGGCTTGTAAACAGTTTGAATGCCAAGGGGCCCCGAAGCGCGGCTCAGAGGTCCGGAGACTCGATTGACATAGGGATGCGCACGACATTCTTATTTCATTCTCTTTCGCACGGTTGCACATTTTGTTTCATTTGGTTGTCGACCTTATGAACAAACCGCTTTGGGTGATGACAATTCTTCAAAATTTTCTGTAAATGAGTCATCTGATTTGCGCCATGGAGCTCGTTAGATGGCACAGTATTTGATATGCGTGCAAACGATTGCACTACCGATTTCTTGTGTTGCACTGGGTGATGGGACAAGAAATCCAAAAAAATTATCTGTTTCACATGGTTTGTCGTACACACTCGTTTCAATACTGTGTTTCGGTCTCTCCTCATTACACAGACATCTAAAAAGGGCAACTTGCCATGATGTTCTGCTTTAGAAGAAAACTGTACCATGGGGTTTTCTTGTGAGGCAGACCAGCATGGCAAGTTAGGCTAACCTGCTGCGTTCAACGCTTCAAAAAGTATGAATATCGCAGTTCACCTCGAAGCGAATGTCGAACAGCGTATTATTCACAACTAGTATTTGAATATTCCCACAGCACTAATAAATTACATTTCGGCTCTACTTTCTGTAAACCAGGGGTTTTCAAACTTTTCGTTTTCAGAAATGCCCATCTCTCTCAAACAGTAACCAAGAAACCTCTTCTGGTCCAGGCATTTGCGCGACAAAGTAGTGCCCAAGCTTAGACTTTGTAAACAATAATGCACATAATTGGGGAGCGTGTGGCACACGCTTACACATCACTATAGTCGGTGACAGGTGAAGAATGATGTGGAAGCTCCTTCCACCCCTTTCCACTTCAGCGGAGCAAACGGTAGAGAGGAGGTCGCCTCCTCTTCGGCAAGCGCTCTGCTAAAGTGGAAGGGGGTGGGAGGAGCTTCCACTTCGTTCTTGACCTGTCACCGACTATAGATGGTTCACACCATAGTGCTAAAGTGAAGGACCTGGGATGGCCGCGAGGAAATTTGCAAGCTAGGGGAGCCTTTAGAGGTACTCCAGAGAACCCAGCTTGAGATCTCATGCTCTGAACCAGGCTTCGATAGGACGCGCCCATTCTCCAAGACAAGTGTCAGCGAATGCTGTTTGACCAACTACAGTGGACCTGGTGGTATCCCTACGCCCCAGTAACGCAGTCAAGCTGCACTACGATGCCTGCAACGCGTACCCCACCCATGTCTTTCTTCTATGCCCAACCACCAGGGTTGCAACATCCGACAACGTGGCGCTGCAGCTTTTACGACGTCATTCGTCACCACTTCAGAATTAATTTGGATGCTCGGGCGGAATGGGACACTAAACGGACCCATCCCAGTCGCCATAGCGCCACTAATGGGCCTTTGCACCGAGTTCGTGCTCGTTTGTTGCGGCGTACCAAATGCATTCTCACCGGCCAAACCGCAGGTGTTCCACCAGGCGCGTCTGCGGGCGCCCAGCGTGGTGTTCATGGACGACCTGGACACGCTGGTCGGCCGGAGGTCGGCCGAGCACTCCGGGGCTCAGGACCGGGTCCTCTCGGCGCTTCTCTGCGAGATCGACGGCATCGGTACTCGTTTTGTGGCTCTCACCGCTAAAGAGAAGACACTCAATTATATTTTGTTTGATAATGAAACCAACTTCTTTCGAAGAGAATTAATTTATTTACCGCAATAATGGTCTTGCCAGACTCATTATGAGTGTCGCAACTCAAAGTGAGTTGTGAGAACGATTACGAAACGGGGTTCTATTTTGAGACGTCGCATCGACCTTGAAATAGAAGCATGTTTCGGAATCTCTACGAACTCAAAGTGAATCTCGCAATAAAAACATTGCACTAATCTTTCTTTTTTTTTTTTAGAGAAGTTTGTTATATTGCTCTTTTTACTAGGGGTGCGCAAAAATATTGAAATTTTCGAATACGAATAAGACGAAAAACGGGCTTTGAATATTGAATCGAATATTGAATATATGTCTAGTAATAAAAAAAATTGAAAAACAAGAGGTACTAACAGCAGGTTTTATTGCCTTTTTAAAATAAATCAATGCAACTGCATTTTACTGGGCTGCGGCAGGCTAAAGATATGGTGCCTGGAACGTGTCTCCGACTGGTGTATTTACCGCGTCCAAGAAAGTGGCCCCTCGATTTCCGCCTGATGACATCATAGAAGTGTCATGCTGTCGCCGGTCGCGACTCTGGCGGCGTCCCAACAGCAATGGTGTTTGTAGCAGATGCCTGATCTGCTCCAAGTCGCTCTCAAGTGTAGTGGTCCACGGAAGTTTCGGCAGCCAGAAGTTGAAACGCCATGACGACAGCGACACCCGTGTTCGGTCGTGCTACTCGCAGCTTTCTCGTTAGCATTTCTACGACCAACCGTCAGGATTGCGACATGCGACAGCATGACACTTCGGCTTCTGTGACGTCATTTGTTGCCACTTTGGGACCACTTTTGATGTATGGGTAGTATAGGACGCTTAACACACCAGTCAAAGACGCACTCCAGGCACCATACTAGAGATACTTCTAGTAATGCACTCATTACAAATTATCGTGTAGGAAAATTAACTGCTCAACTTGTTCAGAAAGTAAGTGGTCCCTATGCACAATGACAACATTTCCGCCAGTAGAAAGACCCTTTCACTCGGGAAACCTGCGAAATTTCACTAAAGTTCGAAGAAGTTAGACTTATGGACAGTGTTGCCCGGCTGCTACATGAATATTTCGAATTTTGGGAAACAAATAATTTAGAAAGTACTTTATTTTATATTTCATAAAATGTTTACCAACGTTTACACCATATAAAAGCGAAAATATGCGCTTTTAACGCTTTCATTAGTTATTAATATGAACCAGTGATGCCAATATACCAACAAATATTGCACTTTTCCTCCGCCAGGTGGAGTCAACTAGTTGTTTTTAAATTTTCGCGCATGCGCACAAAAGTCAAACTTCAGTCGTACCTTTGTCGAACATCCGTTGAAGGTTATAAAAAGTCTAACTTGGTCGAACTCGAACGTGGGCGGGTTCGCGACAATCCTAGTTTTGACTGCGCGGGAGTGGCAGGAGTTGTTGTCAATGGCGATGCAATGTTCTGCTCGCACCTAGCTTTTTTTTTCTTTTTTTATGTTTCAAACATTTATACGAGATAACTCTCTCGAGATTTATTTTATATTTATATTTCACCATTGAGGTTTATTTTATTGTATCAATTTATAGAATGCACAATTACATCACATATTGCTATAACAATGCCACACAACAAACGGCTCGGTGAAAGAGAAACCGCAACTGATCCTGATTGCTGCCATCGGACAGGTAGAAAATTGAGCAGACCGATAACACACGCATCATACGCATTTCTCAGTGAACAAACATATTCATAAGGGAATGCGTGGCAGGCAGATTATTCATTACTTGCTCGAATACTCACAGTTTTTGCGAATATTCGCCGTTTTTTCCGAATATGCCATTTTCGAATCGAATATGTTTCGAATAAGGAAATTATTCTATTCATATTCGAAATTTCGAATATTTGCACACCCCTTCTTTTTTTACTGATGTTGAGATCATTGAAGTGTTGCTGGTTGCTCATTTCATGCATTGTTTGTGGCCAACCAGTTTGAATGCTCATTTCTAGCGGTTAGCCCTGTTTTTCATTGCACTGCCTTTATGTGTCCTGTCAAGTGGTGCATAGCTATGTTTGTAACATTTAGAAGGGCATAAAAGAACCCTGTAAACTTTTGCTTGTTTATTCTAACCTTTCTAAAGTTACAGACACTTTTTCATGTGCTATCGGAAGAAAAGTAATTTGTTACGAACGTAGTTAATCCCAGCAAAAACAGTACTGTAATATCCAGAGTCATCGTTCATCTCCGAGTCATTGCCCACCTCACTTTTTGGGTGAATATAGATTTCCAAAAAACACAGAGTAATCACCCGTCCCCACAAATTCCCCAACACGGACTCCGCGATCCACAAAGATTCATCCTAACTGAATGACGCAGCTGTGGTCCTTATGGCTGGAGGACGTCCGTGACAAAGTAAAATGAAGGAGGGAAAGACACTTCGCTTTGTTTATGCATTTCCTCCTGAATTTCCACAACACCAAAGTCAAAGCACCATGCATACAAAAACAAAACAAAAAAAAAAAAATTGGAAAGATAACGCAAGCAGTAACCCATTCAGGGATTGCGAGGTCTGGAATGTAACTGCGGAGTGTAAGATCAAAGTTCGTCTCCACCAAAATGGTCACCGCAGGTCACCACAAGCCTGTTCCTTCTCTCTGAACGTCGCAATTGTAGTTGGTAAGGTTGTGCAATGTCGGAAACAAAGCCGACGGGTAAATAAAGACTTGCCGGAACCCCTCACACAGCCGTTTGTAGAGCATCCCATTTCAAGCTTTGTATTCGTGGCGCCGTCCACGCTACACAGCAATGCTGCCTCAACCCGCATTGATAGCACGCCGCGCACGGATGCAAGCATCAAACAAGATAGTTGCACAAGAGCCTCCTCCTTGCATTTGATAAGGCGCCCAACCTGGCCTTACACCAAAGCGTTTGCCAACGCGATCACGGGCTTTCCCGCTCCCCAGCATCGCTCTTTGTCGCTTCTTTCGCTTGCTTGCTCGTCGTGCCTAGTACCACTAAATGAGCTGCGCTTAGAGTCTAGGCACTCTGTTCCTTGACATTCTTGTGGTGCTTGTGCAGAACAGACGCAACTGCCGATTGTCATGATTCAAAAGTGCGACTTCCTCAGCATTAGCTTCGGTGTTAGGAAGCTCATGTAACATTGCTTTGCTCTATGGCAGGGGTGGCCAAACCGTGGCTTGCGAGCCGCATGCAGCTCTTTGCTGGTCCAAGTGCGGCTCGCGGATCCCTCGTAAGAAGACCCCCCCCCTTTTCGCCCCTTTCCGCGTTTCCCCAGGGGAAAAAAAAAATAAAGGATTTCAGAATAAAGCACACTGCAACTTGCTGTTTGAGAGCCTTGTACTCCCAAACGTGCAGTCGTACAGCTTTGTGCCCCCATACGTACTACACCCCCCCCACACACACACACAGACACACACTCCCCCGCCTCCCTCCTAGTCAGACGAGCACGTCCCCAAAAGGGGAAATGGAACGCGTTTTAAATCAAAAGACAGGTTGCGGTTTGGTAGTCTCGTGCTACAGCTATCTTACATACATTTGGACTGCTTTTGACTCGGATAGATTGAAAGTAGTTTGAGTTTCGTTTATTGCTCTGGACAAAAGTTTGACCCTTGACCGCTCCCCCCCCCTCGCCCCCCTGCGGCTCTTGGGAGTTTCGTGGTTTTGTGTGCGGCTCTCAGGCCGGGTCAGCCTGGCCACCCCTGCTCTATCGTAAACTGTTTAAGCATTAGTGGAGGACGGAAAAGCGTTTCCTATGATTTCAGATGAAGCTTCTGATAACTGACAACCACGATTTTAAGCCACAATATGTCCAAGTGTCGTTACTTTGAAGCACAGTTTATTTACGCTTGGGAGAAGAGTCTGTTGGTTCAAGTCATGGATGAAGAAAGAATAAAACAATGAAAACTGGGACAACACAACCACATCTTGTGGTTGTGTTCTCCCAGTTTTCATTGTTTTATTCTTTCGTCATCCATGAGCTTATTTAGTGGTGCTAGTCACGCCTGGTTGGGCATAGCAGTGTTAGAAATGTGCTTTCACAGAACAAACGTTCATGCTTTATGCCGATCGGCGGTGCTCATCGTGCGTATGCAAGCAGGGGACCTTGGGATAGTTACACATTCTTTCGTGAGCATTTCTTACATAAAACAATTAGGCTAATTCGAGTTTTGAGTTTAATGTATCTCTTGTGCAGCTGCGTTAGATATGTACAGAGCAATGGGCGTCTTTCTAGCTTTTTTTTTACAGAGGAGCTGTTAAGGGCTAGGTTCCCCAGGATCGTGTCCGTGTATGTCGACACAACCCTACCTGGACAGCTACCGCCATCTATAAGCGACGGCGGCAAGCACACAACCAGTATGGTTTCTGCCGTCGCTCATAGATGGCGCCAACCTTTCCAGCTATAATAGAAGAATGGATAGTTGGGCACGTTGGTGGGAATTCATTGTAGGAAACAGCGCGAAAAACAGACGAAAACGAAGAAGAAGCACACAATGTATCGAGTACAGCTCCGCTTGTCTTCCTTCTTCACGAGAGTGGAAAGGCTGAAAGATTTTTAAACTTTTTTTTGTGCTTACCACCGAGGCATGGCCCACCCCATCTTTTTCTTTGAATTTCAGGCGGCAGCAGGTGGGCGACGACTTGGGATATCACGATATCTGGTTTTAGTTACTCTAGTATTTATTTCACATCTTCAGTGATTTCAATGCCACCGTCGCTTTTCCAGTTTTGTATCGCTTGATCTGGTAAAGCAATTGGGGATATTTTAATAAACATGCGAGGTAAGCTCCAAGAGTGACCCTATCCGTGGTACAATTACCTTTTTATTCTGATCACCCTTATCTGTTGACCCATTTACGAGATAAAAGGTAGTAGTTTCATTTTCCTGATTTACATCTCAGAAAAGTGGCATGCCGCAATGTTTGGTCGTGTTTTTATTGAAGATAAAGGCCTCGCATCATTGTAGTTTTGGGTTTTCCGTGATGCTGAGGGCACATAGTTTTCGTTTGAACTCTAAAAAGAGGAACTAAAAATAGACTTTACCCCTCAACGGCTTCCAGTATTTGGGAACTCTGATCCTGAACTTACGAATGTTGTCTTCGAAATGAAATTTGTTGCCTTCAAAACATAATTCCTAGTCACAAATGGCGCGGGAGCAAAATTGGAAAATAGTCAGTCCTGCCATTTGTTGCCGAGCCGCAAGCTAAACGCTGAGCGAGCCTGGATCGTCCAAATTGGTTGAGTGCGCGAGTCAGCAAAAGCGGATGAGCTCTACTCCTCCTGAATGGTTTGGGGAGGGTTCCATGTTGCCGAGCTAGGCTCGTCCATAACGGTTAAGCAGTTAATGCCCTTTTAACAGTGACAAGGGAAGGTATCAGGTGCTTCACTATCTTTTTTCTTGCAGGCTCTGGAATTCTTCATCGGCACACTTCTGATGTTCAGCAGGTAATCTTTTCACTAACACCTTATAATAAAGCATGTGGGAATTGTACCAAAATGAGTTGCTGGGTAAATTGGTTATACATGTTGAGTTAAACAGCACAAATAAGGTAAGGAAGGAAGAGACAACAGGAACGAAAGAGCGCTGACTCACAGCTGAGGTTTCAATGAGAGTGTAGTAAAAGAAAAAAAAAAATCAATCTAAAACTGTAAAAAAAAAAAAAAAAAAAAAAAACTTTCAATTTTTTTATTTTGGTGAAGAAGAAAGAGCAGCGGAGCAATAGCTTCTCTTCTCAGTGGTGGCTTTCCAGGCGAGCGATCGGCTCTTCTTTTGCTAGGGAATCTGAAGTGCTCGACGAAGTGGAACTTTAGGCGATAGCGGCCTCGTGGCGGTTGCGGAACCATTCGCGCTGCTGCACACATCACCGCTCGTTCCACTCCTGCTTTTCTTCCTTGGAAGAAAGGTTGCCGCAATCTATGAGCGACAGCAGCAACCAGTTGTCTGGTTGCCGCGGTCGCTTATAGATGGCGGCAGCTTTCCGCAGTTCAGTGTCATCATTTTTTTGCTGGTGGACACGATCCTGGGGAACCTAGCCCTTAACAGATCCGCTGTAAAATGTAAGATGTAAAAAAAAGAAAACGGAGTTCCGCTCCTGTTTATTGAACATTCAATGAACGCAAAACCAGCAATGTCTATCGATAAAGCATGGGCTAACCACGGCAGCGGTACAATCGTCCTGCGCCACTCGGTTCACAAGGAGCTAGTCCTTGTCCACGGGTCGACACTTGTCGTACCCGTGGCGTCTGCCATAAACACCCTACCTGCGCAACCTTGCACTTGCCCAAGTCCTACGCCGACGTCCAGGAGAAAGAGGCACGCACCCCTGGTGCACGGGCTTTCTATTGGTCAGAAGGGCAAACAGAGGTCAAGAGGCGGCTTTGCTCTTCCGAATCGCCCCGCATGCACGAAGCCACGGAGGCTGGCTTTTTGTGAAATCGCAGGATGCTAGAAGCATTATATATTCATTGCTTCACTTGCCTGCCGCTTACACAGAGACCGAGGTAACTACAACCACGCGGTGTAGGCTAACGTAAAACATTACAAACGAGGCAATAACAGACAGAATAATAGCGCACAATTCCGTGATCCTTACCCTATAAAGCTCTCGAACTCTGGCTTGTGGTCCTCACTCCGTAAAATGAGGGAACTCTGATCCATGTTCAGGACCACGTGGGGGTCATGGTGGTGGCCACCACCTGCCACCCAGAGGCAGTGGACGAGGCGCTCTTGCGGCCCGGCCGTTTGGACCTGGTTGTTTACGTGCCACCCCCCGACCTCGAGGTGAGTCTGGGATTGGTTTCTTCCCCGTTACTTGCGCCTCGGCCTCCATAACCCTCCATTATTAATTTGTTTGTTAGGGCACCTACATCGCCTGAAGAGGCATTTAGTGGGGACAGACACAGAATGATTGACTGCAAAGCAGAAATGAAACCTTGATTCCACGTATCAAGTTAGAATTGCACCAGATGTGGACGGAGGAACTGTTATCTGTGTTGCATGACTTGATGCAGTTTCATGACTCGAAGCGCTTGTCTTGTCCTCTCCCTTTCATGTACCTGTTTTCTTGCGCTCATGTATATAGGATGTTTAACCAACTAGCCTAGACCTTTCTTTTAACTTGACGCAGTGTTGGGTATAGTACATCTAAAAAGTACTCGAAGTAAATTACCAAGTAAATTAGAGGTGACATACACAAGGTAAAGTCGTAAGTACACTGGGTGCAATTTACTTAGAAGTAAAGGACTATAGATGTAATGTAATTTTAAAGTGAAGTACAAGTACTTTTTAACACAATCTTTCATGATGCCCAGTGTTTTTTTAACTCTGGTATGCATTGCCCCAGGAGTAATACAGGATGCATCAGTTATTTTCGGAAATGGCGGCAAGTATTGGATAGAGTCAAGTGGCCACAGAGCAGTTGTTTTACTCTCGCTGGCAAACTCACAATCAACTTATAAAGCACTTACTCATATTGGTCTTATTGCCACCATTACTTCACTTGGAGAATGACCGGAGGACATCTTGAAAGATGATAACACATTTTCACATGACAATACACATTTTTTTTGTTTTGAAATCGTGCAAATGTACTTGTACTTTCCTCGGAGAGTACCAGAAAAATATACTTCAAGTAAAGTACATGTTTTCGAAATCAACATCAAGTAGTGCTTTAAAGGGACCACGAAACGATTCTGAAATCAAACTTCATCCACCATACGTTCTGAAAGGTGTGAAAAGAAACCCAAAAATGGAGAGCCAAAAAAAGTTCTTCGCTATAGAACTTCTAAAAAAAAAAAACGGACTGTTTTAGACCTTCTTTCCTTTGAAAGCTATCTGCCTTTTCACTGCGATGCATCCGCAGAACTGAAGCACGTCAACCAAATTCATGTTGCCTATTGGGTAAGAGCCTACCTCACCAGCACCACGATCATAAACAACAAATAGCCGGCAAATGTTTGCTAAAAGTTTTGTTAAATAATATTCAGATCCACATTTTGTAGCATAAATAGAGATGTGACGAAAATTGCCGAATTTGATAGTGCTCGGAGCAAAGTGCCATCTATCGTGTGTGGTAACCGAAGCAAAAGAAAGACTCGACTGTGCCTGCGCAGTCAACCCGCAAGCGTCGTCTGCTGAACAGGTTTGCTCCTGGTCGCGCTTCCTTCGCAGAGCAGACTTTCGTTTTCTGGCTGCTCATGTAGTGTTTACATTGTTAGTGATCGATCGCTCGGTCGCCATGCCGAAAGGCTGCAGCCTACCGAAGTGCCCAAATTATAGTTTCCGCAGTCCGGTGGTTAAAAAGAAACAGTTGCAGTTTCACCGCTTGCCACTCGATGAACCACGTTGAAGTACTTGGTGCAGGCTCATTGGTTTGAGGTACCCCGGGTCTAAGATCATTCGTGTATGCTGGGAACATTTTGACACCGAGCGTGATTGCAGCCACATTCACATTGTTCTCTGCGGATGCGGGCAGGTTCCAAAAGCCCTCTGCCGATTTCGATGAAGAACCGGAGTCTTTGTCGGAAGACTCTCCACACTTCCCAACAGGCATACCGGCGTATGGGACTAGTCCCATGCTGTCGCTGTAGGGCAACATATCTAATTGCATTTCGCTCAACTGTGATGTGTCCACGGCTATCGCGGTGTTGAGAGGCGTCGATTCAGAAAATATTTCGGTGGCATCAGCGCCATCAGCGCAGTAAAACCTACCAGCACACCGCCAACTCGCCGCCGCTAACGCTCCCATTCTCGTACTGCCGAGAGAACTTTGGGTTCCGATGCCGGTGGACGTCACGACCATCAAACTTACGCCGCAGCTTAAAGGGTCGATATTTCATTCATTTTTTTGTGTAGAAGTTAATAAATCGAGACGAAAACGAATGCCTGTTCGGCATTCAGTGAACATTGAAGGTAAATGTAAAATTTATTTGGCAAAAGTAAAAAGGCCATTTTATGGTCCTTTTAAATACAATGTACCGTATTTACTCGAGTAACAGCCGCACTATTTATGAACAAGGCCCTTGCGTCTGCTTTCCCGTGGCACACATACACAGCCAATCATTGTGTTGAGCGAAAAAGACATGGCAAAAAACTAGAATGAAAACACAATTCTACACACATATGCCATCTTCACAGATGGTATCTTCGCACAAAGACGTTATCTGTGTCCTGTAAACCGCTGGAATCATGCTGCCGATCGCGGTGATTGGCAAGCCGCATGCTCCGCTGAAAAGTGAACCCTTAGGCTTTCTTTATAAACGGTGCCGCTATTACTTGAATAAATACGCTACCTAAAGTACTCCCCAACGTCACATGTCAGATAGTCACGTGATCCACTATTGGATCTGAGAGGAGCTTATCCTATTCTTGCAGGTGACCGTTCTCCGAACCGCCTTTGTTTTGTTTTTTTTTGCCTTTTTTATGTTTTTTTAAATTTTAGTGACCGCAGGTTTTGGAATACACCCGGACTCGCAGATACCGATATTGTTGCAAAAAATGTAATGTGAGAGTTTGAGACGAACGTATTTCCGTCTCTGTCTTGGAGGTTTCCAGCGCGGCCACGGTTTAAGTTCAGTCATGCTAGCTCCGAGATTATAATCAGAAATCTAATCTTGAGTGCAATTGAGTATCTTTTTCTAACTGGCTAGTCTCTAAGCCACGTCTGAATAGGTCCCAATTGCACTCTCATAAATACCACATTTCCCCGTCTGTGACAGGCACCGAGATAAGGGGACATGCCAGTACCATCTAAGTGGTAGCCCTGGAACTTCATTAAAGTAAAGCGAAGGTTATGAGGTATTTGCGAGATCAGATATCTCATAATATCTTGACATTGTCAAAAGTTTTTCAATACCATAATGATAGAAGGATGCACTGAATATGGGAAATATGGGCAAATGGCAAGTGTTCCAGAGCCACCCGACAGATGGCGGCACCTGCATAGGTGGCGAAACTTCCATCTTTCTGTTACATCTTTGTTGTGTTAAGTCGGGGTAAACTTTTTAGTCGCGACTTCTCCCGACTTTTGGGACATTTTTGCAAGCGCGAGGCTGCACTATAAGCTCGATTGCAACCAAACGCAAGTCTGTGACCAGCCTTTAAAGCCTATACTTATAAAAAAAGTGTGTGCAGGTCGCACCGTCGTATAGGATGTGCCGAAGGAAATTTTGGAAAAAGGCTGCGACTTGCACGCCGGAAAATATGGTAGGATAAACCGCACAGGCGACAAAATGAAATGTCTCCTTCAAAGACAACTACTAGATGGTGGCTAGGCTCAAAGTAACTGCTTTCGAGATTGGCAGACTCACCTGGTAGCTGATTTTTTTGCCGAGACCATTGAATTGTGGCTCTCGGTTTTGATGTGCAAAATTGCTTTTTGTTTTTTTTTGTTCTTTTTTTTTTTTTCACATTCAAAGGATTTGTGTATTTGTAAACAGTGCTACTTTTGTTTCTTGTCGCGGAATGTTTTGGAAATCATATCCCCTTCTCTCGTCCGCACAGGCACGTCAGGAGATCCTCAAGATCCGCTTCTCCAAGATGTCACTCGGAGATGTTGACGCGACCGCCGTCGCACGGTCTACGGAACATTTCACGTCTGCCGATCTCGCAAACCTCTGCCATGTCGTAAGTTCTCCTCATAAGTTCCCACCAAAGAATCTTTTATGTATTTTATACAACAGTTACGCTCGACCGACAGACAGCTCAAGATGCCACAGGGCACCCTTGTCCAACAACGCCCTGTGTGGTGTCGCAGATAGTTCCGAGCTAATCAATCTTTTATACCGACTTTACGAGAGGAAACGGCCACACATGAATGTGATGTTTGGTTTGTTTAGTATGCTTAGAGTCCATAGATTGAGTTACAACCATAAATAATCTATCGCAAAAAGTGGTTTAGTGTCCCTCTAAGACACTATACTTCAATTGGCTCTTCCTTTTTCATTTCTCACAAATAATTTTTCTTTGTCTACAGGCTGGACTGGAGGCTCTTTCGGAATCTGGGTTTGAGGCGCCGTGCGTCGAACAGCGCCATTTCGAATGTGCCCTCGCCAAGGTCAACCCTTCGCTTACTCCGCAGATGCTCGAGGCCTTTGAGAAACTCTGTGCCAAGCTGTGCAGGGTCAGGTGACCAGCAGCCAAACGAGCAGGCTGCAAGAGGCACACCACAAATTGGAACAGAGCTAAGTGTTGCCATACTGTGTTTCACTATAACTTGGAAAAGGGTGAAGATCACAGCCCCAATGACTCAATCGGCATGCTGGAGCGAAGCGTGCAACAAGGGTGGAAGCGCTGCGCCAACTGCGCCGTTGTGCGCCAGTCCACTTTCGCTGCCCCATGCTGCTCTCGAGCACAAACGTTAAACCAAATCTTGCCGAAATAGTGTTTTTTTTTTCTTTTTCCGAGTTGCAAATGTTTTTGTTTACTGGTTACCACGTTTACCTTCTTGTGTTTGTTTAGATATAATTCTTAACCGATGTGGTCGTGTCGACGTCAGGGCGAATGACTGTCATCCATATTGTTTGAACCTTTGAAGATGCTAATGAAGTGCCAAGCACCCATTTTCATCTAAAGAGAACGACCATAATTTATTCCGGACCAGGTAAATAAACGCAGCATTTCGTTTCCTTTCACGGTCTCGTATTGAGGAGCTGTCAAGCGCCAGCAGCACGAGGAAAAACCGCTCAAATGAACAGCGCAAGAAAAAAATTTTGTTTTTACTGTTCAGAAATATGCCGTATTTGGACGAATACGACCGATATGAAATAAAAGTAATGCATTTATTCCTGTTCATGAGCACGAGCTCCATAGGAAGGCCTACACCTCGTACCAGTGCCTTCGAAGCACTTGTTTGAGCGGGGTACTTTTGTGCCTTTAGTGCAAAAGTTCTGCCAACAACGTGTAAGTGTCTGATCTCCAAAAATGGGAGGGGCTCTGTCAAAAGTACCAAGGCATAAAGTTGTCATTACTTTCATTTTCTTTTTTTTGCAGAGTGGCGTTGAACATGTACTCAATATACCGCATGCACTACATCGCATATATAAACATAACTACGAGCTTGCTAGCGTGCTTTTACCGATCATCTCTCGGTAAAGCGATAACTAGTCTACAAAATTAAACAAATATTTGTCATAGGTAATTTTTTTTACCCTCTGTTTAGGACTTTTTTTTGCTGAGACCGCTTCTGCGCTCATTTTTGTCATAAACGCAACAATAAAAGCGATACTTGGCTGTCTCGTCTGTAAACTTTTTCTCGTAAGTGACTTCTAAGGCAAATACGCGCTGTCCACCGAACAGCAAGCCTGTACAAAGACAAGGTGAATGGTAGGAATGTCCTGCTGAGTGACGTGAAACTGTCGTGCTAGAACGGATCTAAGCAATTGACTGTGCTCTTCAAGTTACGAAGAAAAAGTAATATTCATTTGAGTAGTTTTAACTGTTGCGAGAAAACCTTCCATTTTATGGTCTTAGTACTTGCTAACTTTGTCAGTCACTCTTTTATGAAACTCCCGAGTTTTTTTTACAGCGGAGCTGTTAAAGGGGCACTGACACCCCAAAGGTCGTATTTATTTTTATTGTCTAAAACGATGCAAGTTGCAGTCATAGACACGCAAAAAAAACCGCAACGCGAAAAAAAATTTTCTTGCGCGCGCGCGCTCCTTTTTATTTTTGGCGTTTGATTTTCCCGCCTCTCGCCTCCTCGCTTCTTTTGATCGGTGACGTCAAGAATCATGAAATTTAGAAGCTTTGTAGGCGATATCTCTATAACATTTAATTACGGCAATCCTAAAACATGTTGTTTAACGCAATTGCGAACGCACTACGGCCCTTCTTTTTGAAATGCCAAAAATCGGGAGTTCGTTGTGGTGCCGTCTCCTGGATTTGTATCCTCCAACGGAAAACAGGCGACACCGCTCAAAACCGGTCCGCCGGAACGCCGCCGCTCGCTCCTTTCCTCCTCGCTTTGGGTCGCCATGGCAACAGCAGGGAGTGGTGAAAAAAAGTGGACTCTCAGGAATCCGCAATTTTTGACGTCAAGGCACCGGCGCCGATCGCGCGGGAACTTCGAATTCGGCATTTGGAAATTGTTTTTTTACTTCACGAATACTGAATTCCCAAATTTCAAATTTTGAGGGTAATGTCCCGGCATCGTTTTCAATCGTTTCGGATAATAAAAGAAAATATCATTTTGATGTGTAAGTGCCCCTTTAAGGGCTAGGTTCCTTAGGATTGTGTCCGGTATGTTGACACAAACTTACCTGGACAGCTACTGCCATCTATAAGCGACGGCGGCAAGCACACAACCAGTATGGTTTCCGCCGTCGCTCGTAGATGCGGGCAGCCTTTCCAGCTATCACAGGCGACGACGAAGAGAAGCACACGTAACGAGCGCAGCGCTCATCACGTTTGTTACTTCGTCCTCGTCTGTTTTGCGCGCTGTTTCCTACGCCCTTATCAGTTTTGGTTTGAACTCACGATGGGTCAGCCGTGCGCCCTTTTGGGGAAAGGCGACAGGCTGCGGAAGGAGCGGCGACGTATGCAGCAGCGCGAATGGGTCCGCAAAGCCGTGTCGGCTCGACTTCTACTGTGTCCAGCGCTTCAGATTCCTTTGCCAAAGAGCACATCGCTCGCCTGGAAAGCCGCCACCAAGAACAGAACCAGCGATGTAAAGGGCGCCGGCAGACCAACGCCACGGACGACGATTGTGCCACGGAGGCCAAGCACAAGCGTGAGGCCCAGAGACGACTGCACTCCACACCGGCTGAACAGTTTCCGGGTACAACGGCGAGGTTCCAGAGGGAGTTCGTGGAGAACCTGTTTGGCGTCACTTGCACCGTGTGCGACTGACTCTGGTTTGACGTATCCACAATCAGCGGCATGTCGGACGAGAAGCGGGAATTGGGCGCGTGCGCCCAATTCCCGCTTTTCGTATATTGAGTACAGCTCCACTGGTGGTCTTTCTTCATGAGTGTGGAAAGGCTGAACGTTTTTTTTTTTATTTTACAGTCAGTCACGCTTATCCTAGTAAGGGCTTGAGCAGCCCTTACTCAAAGGGGCACCTTCAATATTTTGAATTTGTACTTTCGTCAGATAGATTTAGACTCCGTTATTTTGTTAACTCGAGTATGGGAATTCCTTTATGTTTGCTAAACAGGGACTTTGAACATTTCTAATTCCTATTAATGAAAAGTGTAGTCAGTAAGGATTGGCTTTTATTAAAATCCATATTGCATCTTGAAACGTTATCTTGCAGCGAAGCTGTTTATGGCTAGGGTTCCATAGATTTTTCGTGTGCAGCGACTAAAAGCTTTACGCTCGCACCGCCACACGCCTTCCCCATGTAAACGATTTGAAGTAAGTAACCAAAATAAAGCGTTGAGGAATGCACGTGCAAGGTGCCATTTGATTTCGGCTTTTGCTTTAGAACGGTTACTGCTACAGACGCCGGCACGTGCAGTGCGTGCAACACCATTCCCTGCATTCTCCTTGATGCTTGGGTAATTTAGCAGCATGTCTATCAGTAGATTAGTTATCAATAGGCACCATTCTCAAGATCAGTAGGCTCGGTTAGATAATAAAGGTTTTTTGAAGATTTGCCGCTGTGCGACCCGCGTCGGCCATGTCTATGGTCGCACCGCCATCTCTTCGTTGTCGTTCCAAGTGCCTGCATGCTTAGTTTCCTTTCTTCCGCTCTCCCAGAGTGGCGGTCCCATCGCACATGTCTAATTTCCTCCGGCTCCTCTGGGCGGGTCCGTGTCGTGTGCTAAACAGCTTTGCTGGTGATCCACCTTCGCAGAGTGGAATGGCTCATGAATTTTTTTCAGTAGACTTACGGAACTACTTGTTGGGTTGTTAAATAAACACAACTATTTTTTCTCATGAGGCTTAAGTTGTGCTTCCTCTATACGCTATGCTTTCCATTGCAAATCCATAAAAAGACAACCCACTACCAGGACTTTTCTCACTAGGTATCTGCCATTCCCATAAATTACAATTATGCTGACGAAAATAATCCCTGGAGAAGGGGAACAAGGGGGATAAAGGACAAACAAAACTCCAAACAGAGCTAGGTGACTGGTGCACGACCAAAAAAATCTGCCTGGTCCTGGCATCGAAACGGGGACCTCTCCATTTCCAGCGGAGTGCTCTACCAACTGAGCTAACCAGGAGTTGGACGTCGGTAGAGCATAAAAGTTTTATCAACTGCCACCAGTCTAACACCAACTAGGGTGAACGGCTTGCATTTTAAGGTTGGTGCATGCGAGCTGGACAAGAATGACGAAAATAATCCCTGGAGAAGGGGGACAATGGACAAACATAAAACTCTAAACACAACTAGGTGACTGGTGCGCGACCGAAAAATTCCGCCTGGTCCTGGAATCAAATCGGAGACCTCTCCTGGTTCGATACCAGGACCAGGCGGATTTTTTCAGTCGCGCACCAGTCACCTAGTTGTGTTTCGAGTTTTGTTTGTCCCTTGTCCCCGTTCTCCAGGGATTATTTTCGTCATGCTTGTCCAGCTCGCTTGCACCTCTGCAATAATTGCATTATCATCATGCAGCAATTATGCTGTGTGCTTTTATGCTATGGGCTGGATTATATTTAATGAAAGGGCATCTTTGGAAACGGTTCTGGAACATCGCATGGAGATGCTTTTTTGTGGTGCTATTTTTGTTTTTAGAGAAACAAGTCTGCACTTATCACCCCCCGTTTGACCCAAGTGACCAGTTCCAAGATTTATTTCAACTGCTGCAAAATTTTACTTTTGTGGCTCCTGAGCTGCTCCAAAGGGGCACCTTTGCCGCTCCCAGACCTGCTACAAAAGGCTGCAGCTCACTTCCACCCCCCCCCCCCCCCCCCCCCCCCCCATGCGACAACATATAATTGGAGTGCATCCCGCCTGTGGAGAGCTGTGAAGTGCTTCATGCCGTCGCTTCGAGGGAGCTGTAGTATTTGCTCTTTAACAAATTACGATGAAACAAAACATAGGGTGGAAAAGGAAAAGAGAAAATGTGTCGACAGATATGAATTTAATTGACAACCGATTCACTGCTGTCTATATGCTGTTGTTTTGGAGTCCAGAGTGGAGTCCAGTTTTGAAGAGACCGCTGCCATTTTGTGTCTTGCCCGGAAGGTCCAATTCCACGGACCCCTCGATATCTGGTCCGAAAATTTGCCTCAAGCTTCAGAACTTCTATCTTGTGAGAAACAAACTATCATAAAAGTCCGATAGGTGGATAGACATTTGTAGCATCAGTCGTGCTTCAAAAGCTTGCACTGTACAGCCACAGCTCCTTCCTTGCTCTGCAGCTGCGAAAAGCTCCGATTTTTGTGACATCACCGTTTCCTGGCATTTCACTGTTGCCAGTGTCAACAGTCCTGCACTTGCACCAAGTAAAGGATCCGACGAACAAGCTACAAATAATAAGTTGTAAGACTTCAGCTTGATTACGGCTCATTTTACGGGGCAATATTAGGTGCAAACCGAATGCGAAGTGCTGTTCACTTTGTATTGCAAATCTAAAATGTATGGACACTCCTACTATAATTTGACGTTGCTTGTACTTTAATGAAGCGCGTCACTTTAGTTGCGAAAATTAAATGAATGTTTTTGTAATTGACAAATCTTCACAATTTTTCAGACTATGGAACTCTACTTCAAAATCACATTGGGCTAGTTCCAAACAGTCCGTGCAGTTAAGGGCTCCGTTATACTCCCATGTCGAGCACAGCGCACACAGATCGCGATTGGTTGCAGGTATCCAGTTCCTGCTTGCCGGCCAATGAAAGGCCCATGATCTGCGTTATCCTACATCCGCCGCGCTGAACGTCGAGTATAACAAAGTTTTAAGTGCCACCTTGTTGGAACTTTCCAGTTTATGCAAGCACAACGACAAGGAATGAATCTATCCAGCCGGACCCATCTTTTTCACTGTGCAACTTAAAAATCGGAGCTGATAATTTCTTTCTGCCTTACCTTTTGCAAAGCAAGCCGACATAGTCGGAGGGATCACGGATTAGACATGAGCGCTGCATTGATGATTGGCTCGAGCGCAGGTACGATCGATGCTGCTCACTTTGCTTCTCGCTGCTAGCGTTAAGTGACAAATGTATGAGTGTTCCATAGTTGCGAACGTGGAGGATTTCTTACGAACAACATTCTTAACAAAGTCTAAAATGTAGTTTCGGGTTCCTTCAAGAAAGAGGTCAAGTCGCCGCTTTTTCCTTTTTGTCAAAAATAACGTTTAATACATGTAGACTCAGCTCAACACCAGGAAAGGAAACAGATAGGCCTAAGGCTCTCGTATGTACAGGAAAAAAGAAAAACGGGAGCGATGAGAAACCAATAGGAAGTGGGCGCGAAACTCGACGTGGACAAAAAGGATGGGTTTCACTGGTAAAAACCACTGAGTATTATATACACTGACTGCTGCTGCTAATGTTCTTGATGCAATGGTGGGTGGTAAACAACTGAGGACAAAAAAAAAAAAAAGGATGCGATGTGAACATACGGTGGTGCACCATTTTAGCTACGCTTCCAATGGTTATGCATACAAACATCGCGTCCCTACTGCAGACAACAACGACGCGGGCCGACCGATCGCGGCCCGCCCGACTCTCAATGAGAAACATGGCAGTTTGGAGTGCGGCGAAATCCCGCGCTCCGGTGTATAAATGCGTCGCGCGAAACTGAAAAAAATTCGCAACGACCAAAAGAGAGGAAGAGTGTAAGGTGGGGAGAGAGAAAAAGTATAAGGGAATAAATAAATAATTCTGGTGCCTTTTTATCGCTCTGCACGAGAAAAAAGAGCGCTCGGCGTGTGCGGACGACGACGGTAAAAGTGTGCACAATAAATCCCCCCCCCCTCTTCCCGACAAGAAAAGATGCTAAAGGATCTTACGTTTGTGCCACAAAGACGGATATCCGAAATAATTCGGGTTCCGACGTCGTCGACTGGCGACGACTTTCAATTGTGCACGAATTAAAAAATTCTTCGTTTTGCCCCTTTCGTCTACCTCTCCGTTTAATGCACAATCCATTAAGCAAGTTTCTTTTTAGTTATAGTTAAAATTTAAAACCGATTCTTTAATTTATCGCTCGATCCAGACACTGCCGTCGTAGTTTTCCGGTCGACAGCAGTCTGCGTCTCTAGTGCCGTCCGACAATCTTATGTACGTCGATTGAGTCTCGAAATAGTGTTTACACGTGTTCGCATACTTCAAAATCTAAAACGGTCGTATATTAATCTGATTTTGTACTTCCCGCACGCGTGTAAACACGAAACAAGCTAAATGAGAGAACAATTGGACAACATAATTTATGCGTGTGCAACGTGCGGTAAAGAAAAGACAACATGCTGTCGTACCAAAAACGAAAAAACTAGGAGGCATCGTAAAAAAAATGACTCGAGGCGACCCAAAAAATTCATCGAATGAACTCGTCGGGCAAATGATGGCTGGTAGCCGCTGTACAAGAAAAAAGAAAGAAATGCAATTAAAATCTGCCGATGATGATTCTATGATAGTCCGCCGACACGCGACTCCTCAGGGACTCTGAGAAGATAAAACGTAGTGCAGTGGGGTTGCACGGCCATTGGGACAAAGCCAATTTTTAGGTCTCGAATATCAATAACCTCTAGCATTTTTAAAATCCTGTGCCTTCACATATGTATATATATATATATATATGTAGCGTATACATGTTCCTTTCTAAAAGGTGCCGCTTAGGCATCGCCAAAAAGCTCCCCGCCACCCCAAATATTCCGGACGAGAGTCCCGCTGCCGTGACGTGTCGTTGCAACGTTGCGGTGACGACACAGTCGTAAAGTTGCGGCGGCAACATTGGCGCAATGTTTCCGTGACGTCGTGGTTGCAGCGTTGAGGCGACGACACTGCCACGACGTTGGGGTAGCGTTGTCACAACATTGAGGGCCAACGTGGTCACAACGTTGAGGGGGCGACACAGTCACAACGTTGCGGTGATGTTGCGAGAGAGCTACCGCGTTGCCTCGAGGATCTCGCTGGTTTTTTCGGTGGCTGCAGAGGCTGCCAGGCGACGCACCACTTTGTCCAGGCGTTCTTTCTTCACCTCCCTCTGCGATGGTCACAAACGAGCGACAGTCACAAAAGAGTGGTCACCAACAATGGATAGCATCTGTCACCTGCAAATCTGACAAAAGCACTCGCTCATAAAAATCTGGAGTTTGCGACTTCTAGAGCGCAGCTATTAGGTGCCCGTTCCCGGCTTGACTGGCGTTGCCGTCGGCGAAACTGCGTGTTGCATTATGGGACGTTTCCCATAATGACATCACACGTGACGTCACGAAGGCCATTCATGAAGGTAATGACCTTCAGTGAAGGTCACGACCTCCACGAGGGTCACCAGTGACGTCACGAAGCACGACCTTTACGAGTGATGTCACGACTGAGGGGGATGAGGGCAGGGGAATGAGAGGAGGAAGGAGGAGGAGAGGGGCATAAACTCCTCCCCATACCCTCCCCTGCTCAAGAGCTCTGCTCTAATTTGGCATTACAGGGAATTGTAAACGTCTTTTTTTCTTTTTAGGAGGTTACGCCACAAGAATTTAACGAGAGAGTCTGTAATGGGGGGGGGGGGGGGGGGGGGGGGATCGATGGCTGAGGCTGTTACACCGGAGCGCACGGAGCAAAAGCTTGCGCCGTAGAATCCATAATTTCTGGGCTCAATCCCCGCATTTGCCCATTTCAATCTAGATGAGTATCTGCAGGTGTGCAGTTGTGTATCACTACCGCATGATACATGTTAAAAACTCCAGGCTAGCAGTCGTACTGAATTAGCTAAATTTCTCACCCACGGCGTAACCCAGCGTCACAATAGCAGACCAACGCCGTCTAAAAACGAATGTCGAATTTGCTTTGGTTTTGAACTGTATGATGCAATTTCGTAACCAAATAAGGATGGAAGACGTACCAAGATTACGGGTCGAAAAAGTCGGCATATTAGCGAACTCGCGAGGCACTGCGCCAGCTTTATAAAGATTCGCAAACATTCCGAAAATATAGCTGCAACCCTAAAACTGCAACCACTAAAATGTGATACTTTTTTTTACTCTGCACGATGCTGTTCCAAGATGGATTTGGAGTGGAAACCAATGCTACCGTTTGTACCAGAAACCGCAAGTGTTGCCTTTGGAAATATATGCATAGGCTTTTGGCGGCGGGACAGTTTCCCGTTTGTCCGGATGACATGCGTGCCGTATGCTGTACGCCAGTGTATCTGAGGTTAAAGCTACGCTGGGTTTGGAAGTATTGGAACATCCGAAGGCAAAAATTAATATTGAAGTTGTTTTTATCAGATTTATTATAAGAAAACTGTAGTGATACGAAGGAGTCTCTCTTTGATCCATCACACGTTTCAGCAAGGTGCGATAATTCTAGAAATTTTCTTGAATATCCTTGTAAAACAAACAGTTAATTGTAATTTCACTGTAAAAACAATCAGAGAGTGAAATTTGCTATCAAAGGAAGAGCTAAGCATCTTGGACAACAGTATTTTTTTCTTGTTCGTATAACTAATCGTGCAAATATCTGACCCTTCCATGTTGTTTCTTGCCACCCCCTACGATAATGCCCTTGAGCCACTGTAGGTGTTCTATGAATAAGTAAATAAATGAAACCATTACTATTAAGGCACATAATTTGTGTGTACTTTCCATCAAATAATTTACCTCATACTGCAACTTCAGCAGCGTTTCAATTTGCACGACGGCATAAATGGCTTCTATGAATTGGTACTTCTTTTGTACAAGTGATATCTCTTCTCCAAACTGGACTCTACACACATGGCCAGTTTCTCTCAGTCTTTAACTCTTGTTCCAAAGCTCTCAAGGTACAGCCAAAGCATGACATCGAGGCAGGTTCAGCTTTTGTAAGGTCAAGGCCTGCCTGATCGTAATATTCAAGGTCCAATATTACATGAAGTCTGTCAGCAACACCAGCAGTCTCTTCTAGTGGAATGACAGCTATAAACACAGTGAACCTTTATGCAACGTCTGAGCAGCTTTTCCCCGTGTTACTGCCACAGATGTGCCCATCAGTTGAATGACGGAAGTGAACAAAACTTGCTCAACTTTCTTGGACAGAAGCTTCTAAAATTAAAGGACCGAAAAACAGTCCTGAGCTTGTGTGTCCCAAGCACACAATGAACATGAGGGGAGCGGCAGAAAATTCTCTTTCAAATATTTTTGACAACTCGCTTTTGCCATCAGCCTTTTCCCAAAGTCTAGTTCAAAATCCAAAATAGACAAATTAAACTTCAAAGAGATAAAACAATGAAAACAGGTGGTGTGCTAGACTCACATAAAAGTTTATTTTACAATATTATTAAACATTATTTTGCGTGTGTGTGTGCTCTAGGCATGTCAATGGAGACTGCCATGGACTGAGGGGCTTGCTGCAAAATAAGCCAGAAAAATAGGCACCTGCACATAATAAGCTCAATCTTTCATAAAAGGCGTGTTATAGTGGTGGATTTCACCTTTATAAATTTAAAGGCATAGATCCAGTCTCGCGAAAAAACTACAACACCCTCAACATCCTCAACGACGAGCACCGACGCAAACCGAGTCGTCCAAGAGCCGAACCCGCGGCGCCATCTCCCGACGGGCGCTCGAAGCGCTTAAATGAAAGCAGACGCCATCGCCATCTGCTTTCTGGGCCTGCCGGAAGATGGCACCACGAGCGTGGCACTCGGATGTCTGCGCCAGAACCCGCCATTTCAAAACAACAAAAAAGTTCTGACGTTTCGCGAGAACACAGTTGCGTCTTAAAGGGGCCCTGCAATGAGTTTTTTACTAATTTTTAATTTGCACCGAACCTGAGCGCACTGAACGTAATAACTTAATGAAACTTTTCTTTTCTCGAATTTTGCTTTATCTTAAAAGTTAAAGGCAAATAAAAATGACAAAAACGAGCAAAAAATAACCTCCTTCATGACGTCTTTGGTTGCTTGAGTGGCCGTGAACTAGAGGAGGAATAGCGAGCTCAGCGAGTGCTCACAGCTGCTGCACTCCGTGTCAACGGCGCGAGAGGGCACCACTAAAGCATGTTCTGGATAGGCTGCATGCAGCGGGCAGCCAGAGTGGCTCCCATTGCATTTGCTGTGCGATTAAACACTAATTCGGCATGACACTTCATTGGCCACAAACGACACCAAACACGGGGTAAAGATCAGTTCAGAATGGGAGCCACTTCGCGCTGCCATACCGCGAAATGGCCAAACCGCCAGACAAAGCTGCTCGCCGTAGACCTTCGGAACACTCGGAGCCGGTCGGATCCCCCAGTCCCTACGACCGCAGTGCCGCTGCGTGCATCCGGGGCCTTTCCGTGTCTGCGCCTGATCCCACTACTCCTTTCTAGTATGCGCCGCCTTTTCCACCACTTGGAGGCAGGTATGTCGACAAGTCATTTCTTGTTTCCGTACTTTATAAACTGCATTTGTTTCTTTTCTGATCTAAAATACTGAATCAAAACTACTTTTATAAATAATTGAAACGGTTTGCGCCACTTATATTTTGTATTTTGACTAAAAAGAAGCTTTTAGCGGCTCTGACCAGTAGTAAGATCCGGACCAAAGACGTCACATTTTGCGCGCTTTCGGTACCGCGGGTCGCCCTCGTCGGTGGAGGAGGTTTCTGCTTCATCCGGTTAAAATATGACGCACTGATATTTAGTTACTCTTTCCGTGCCCGCTGGCTTGCCCGAACCCCAAGAGACGTGGAAACCACAAAAAAGGTAGACTCTTAAATATGATTGCAGAGCCCCTTTAAGAAACACAGGGTCAAATCCACCGCTATAGTACACCTTCGATGAAAGTTTGAGCTTGTAACGCGAAGGCGTCCAATATTCTGGCTCATTGTCCGGCGAGCCCCCGATTCATAACACGTTACAGCGGCACCTTCTGCTCCAGACTGTAAAAAGAGCCCCTAATCCATCACACACGCTCGCCCGGCATACTTCCGCTCTCGCCGCAGCGACGACACGTCGCAACGTTTCCGTGACAATGTGGTCACAATGTCGGAGGAAAAACAAGATTGTAATGGTGGGGTGGCATTACGACACCACTGGGGAGGCAACGTGGTCACAACGTCGCGATTACGAGAGCAAACGCAAGGATGGGGCACTAACGTCGGCGCTGCTCGTGTCCGCAAAACCGGCGACCCGCGTCCGGCTCCGCTTCTGGTACACGACAGGAACGCTGCGAGGCTGCAACGGACAACGAAACGCAGCTGTAAAAGTCGCTCTTAAAGGATGTTATAAAAAGTAATTTCACAAACTAATACAGACGGTAATTTTGTATGCGTAATCGCAACCTTTTCCTTGGCAGTTCGCATGCATGCCAACTAGTAATATACCTTAAAAAAAAAAAATGTTGACCGCCATTATGAATGTGTGCATCAGGTAGTAGCGTGCACCACTTAGCTGACAACGGCAGAGGCAGTGAAAAACATCCAGGTTGCATGCCCGTGGCACTCTTGGCTAGGTGACGCAATCTGCCGCCCAATATTTGCGCTCGTTTGTGAGCGTGCCACCAGTTTCTTTTTACTATTGTTACCGATCACTAAGCGTGGCAGTAGGGTTGGCAACAAAGACAAGGCGATGCTGGCACGTGTAGGACTAGCTACAATGAGAATTTCTCAAAATTTCCGGCATTATGTTTATCCCCCTAAAGTTTGTTATTTCCCTACTCGTACACTTTGAACTGACCTTCGAGACGAGTACCGGGAACCTGTTAGTAGCAGTTCTTTGTATCGCACATGTTTACCACATTTCTCGGTATGCTACGATCACGGTAAAATAAAATGTGCTCAGTAATCCCACTTACATAAACGCCAGAACGTTCTCACGAATTTGACGGGGTGGGCTATGTTTCGGTTATTTTCCACTCGCAGCTATTTATCTCCAGAAAGGGGCTGGGCATGAACGTTGCTGCAGGTCGGATACTCGTGACAAGTATAGACCTACGTTCCGATTCATTTTAAAAGCACCTTGTGACGACGAGAGATTGTTGAGCAACGGTCACTTGCGAGAGATAAAAGACATTGCCGCATTTCTGCTTCGATACGGCACTTTGCTCACGGTAGAGCTTGAAGCAGTGCTGATCTTGCCAATAACATAATTTTGGAAACTGTAATTGGTCAAGGTTACAAGTTACCCCAAAAATAGTTACAAGTCATTTCTGCCGTTTTTTTTTTTTTTGTGGTCTTGAAAGAGGAAGTACTTGAAATATGCGAACGAACGAATCGTAACGATCAAATTGGAATAAGGGTAGCAAGGGGACCTGGAGATTGAATTCCTGCCCCGCCAGATTTTGTCTTTTGGCAGTTTTTTAACCTTTATTCCAAATAGTCCGCAGTCCCCGAGCATTTGGTACGCGCATGACGCCGACGTAACTTTAGTCTACATGAGGCAGGCAGCGGTGCATGAGACTGTACATGCTCACTGCACACGCTCACAGAAGGACTAAACTTTCCTCGAGCATTGGCGTAGCCGAACAGGAAGGAGAGATCTGCACAGTTTAACTAAGAAACAGTTACACTCACTGGAATTTCATTCCAACTTGGGAAGCATTCAGTTGCCGAAATTGTCACTAATCAAAGTAACTTCCATATTTTTTATCGGTTATTTTGCACCTCTACTAGAAAACTAGCGTAACGAAGTGGAACATTTCTTTTTATCCGCGACGACGCTGCACGGCATTTTACGTGCTCAAAACGCAGCTCGGAGAGCGCTTTCGAGAACACAATGCGAACATGACTGAGTTCGTTCTCACCGAGTACGTCCTCTTGGGGGTGAGCTTGGTCTCAAAGACGTCGAAGGCGTAGCTCTTGGTACAGACTGGGTACCTGCAATGGCACGAGAGACCGGCCCGGCGTTAGTCCCGAGAGTTTGCTTCAAGAGGCATAGCTGTTCAGCGATCTCCAAGGTCTCTAAATGTCTCTAGTGCAAAAACCACATTTTAATGCGTGGATGCATTATAACTAGGGTTCCGCGGTTTCGGACAAATCCAATGAGTATGCCAGTGATGTGATTGCTGTGCCAATTGCACCAAACTGCGCCAAGGGGCTAACTCTGCTACATCCTGCTACATTTCGCCGAAATACGGCTAATCTGCGCCAAGCCTGCGCCAAAGGACAAATCTTGGTCGCCTTTCAAAAATGAAACTAAACTGAGACCCGTAAGCGAGCATGCGTGAGCTAGGTGGCACAAGACGCCGCCCGATATAAAGTACCCTGCACCAATCGTCTATTCGGTCTTGCATGATTTTTCCCGCCGTCTCGCTATGGTCTCGCTTTGGTGGCTACCATAGCAACCATAGCCTCGCGTTTCGCGCTCTCGTCGTCTCGGGAATCTCGTATCGCGTCTTTTTTTCTTTTTCTTTAATTTTTTTTAGCGATAGACGTGGGTGTGTGCGGACGCTCCGACGTTAGTTAGTGTGCCGGGTTTCAGACATGCCGTCATGCTGTGAAACGAAACCAGGTTTTTGAGTGGCGAGAATTACTTTGTTAGCTGAAGCGCTCGCAGTAGCCGTGGTCGCGCGACGTCGTGGGTTGCCGTACCCACGTCGCTGCAGATATGGCGCTTTCTAAACAGAAACGCATCGACATTCCTGCTCTTGTTTCAATCATACGCTGCTATAAAAATCCCTCTTTAACTCAATGACTGCTGCGTCGAGGTATTGATTACCTAGGTTTCTCTCGGTGAACTTTCTTTCGAGAGGGACCCCGGTACGTGAAAAATCTGCCGCAAACGAAATTTGATGACTAGAAGTGAGCTAAAGCAAAGAAGGCAATGTCTCCACGCTAAACCTGCACAGCGCGTTTGTTTGTCTCGAGTTCATTCGTTGCACAAAGCACTCCAAGACTTTATGACCCTGATTCGCAATGTCTTGTATCGTTACGCTCAGCTTCTTTTTTTCTGTGTGTTTAGCCTGTACCTCGCCTGCTGGCCTGGCAAGCACGTGCCGCTGGATTGTTTATTGTCGTATGCTGGACAGTTACATTTTGCATACTATTTTGGGAACCAGTTGGCGACGGAGCGGAGTGGCATGGTTTCGGTTTCGGTCGAACAGCCGTTGTCTCCGCTCGCGCGACGAAGCACCTGTAACTGCAAGCCTGCCGAAGTTGCCCTCACGTGCATGTGAACATGATTGCACGAGAGGCACCAGCCGGGACGTTTGCAATTCATTGTTTTATGTTTGCTTACTTTTTATAAAAATCTGCCACGTTGGGAACCAGTAAAATAATAACAAGTTCTTTTTTTCGTTTTTTCAGGGGTGGAACTCATGAAATGTGCTTGGGAGCAGCCACGGGAGCAGCTGACACAGCTGTGTTGGAGCAGGTTGGGAGCAGTTAAAACTACGTTCTGGAGCAGGCTAGGAGCAGCTCAGATCAGTTTTCATTGCACTTCAGCTTGTGCCTTAGACAAGCACGGGAGCAATTTCAATCGTGCTTGGCAGCACAGATGAACATGACTGGTTAGGGACCTAGGTAGATCGGATAACAGTGTAACAGATGCGAAAACTTGTAACTTTGTGAGCCTTAATGAAAATCAAAAAGCAAGTACCCTATGTTTCTGAAGATAGCGCCCTTCATATTTTCTGAGCGGCTTTCAGCTGCTCAAAATGGAAACCAGCACTGCTTATCGCACAACCCTCACGTGCTCGGCATAGTAATTATATGTGCGAACCACGTGACGTGCATAAGCAACGGACGTGCAGTTGCACAGAGGAACAGGCCGACAAATATCGAGTATATCTTATTGTGCAACTCGATATCGAAGCAGCAGACTACGATTAACGAAGTTATCGTGTTTGAAGCGATAAGTAGGAGCGACGTTAAAGTACGCCGAGTAGATCTACCACTCGCGTAATAGCTGCCGGCCGGCAAGGTTTCGGATCGGACCGCGTTTCAGTTCTATCAAATCACGATTTATCTTGCGAGAATAAGGTTCCAACTTCTAACGATGAAGTACTAAAAGGAATATTTTGCTCATTTGTTCTCAACTGGCTGACGTCCGGATCTCGGATCCCGGGCCGCAGAGCCTCAGGCAATCTGGCGCTTAACGACTCGACCTCACCTCAGCCGACTTGCTTAACCGCTTATAGTTGAATAACAACAATCCAGTCAATAAAACCGAAACCAGAACAAAATAAAAAGTCTTTTGGCGCACGTTTTGCGATTTGGTGCATAATGGCGCGAGGTATTGGCTGTGGCGCAGTTTCTGCAACATGGCGCAGGGTGGCGCAGATACATGCGTCTGGCGCAAAATGGTGGAAATGGCGCAGCCGTTCCACCCCTGTTTTTTTTATGGAATTGCTCTGCAACGCTTACAGCACTGTATACTTGTGGGATGTCTTAGCAGCAAAAACACAAGCAGTGAATTCCGCCCCAACACGTCACACACATCACAACACAACACAAAGTGCCCTTCGTTTGTCCAGAACTTAAAACAAATATTTATTTTTCTAAAAATAAATGCTCCAAAAGTCACTTTTTCTGCTCCGAAACACTGTTTTGGCTGCTCCAAAAGCCACTTTTGCTGCTCCAAAACACTGTCTTGGCTGCTCCAAAGACCACATTTGCTGCTCCAAAACACTGTTTTGGCTGCTCCAAAAGGTGCTCCAAAATGGCTTAGGCCAATCACATCACTGGTATGCAAAACACTCACCAGTAAAATTTTAGTCAACTCCAGATTTATCCGAAAAACTAAAAATTTCAAAATTACAATGGCATTTTTTTTTTTAATACCATAAGAGTTGTTAGAACACAAGGTCAATGGTCCTGAGAGAGGCCACTTTAGTTTCTTCTCAAATTTCGTCAAAAATGTGTTTAGTGGTTTTAAAGTAACGTTTATTCGAGATAGGTATTTGCAAGTTTTGTCACGGGACAATTAGTATTTCCGATGGCAAGAGCACCAATGCCAAATCCAGCTAAAGGAATATCATTTCATAGGGGGTGACCTTAGGGCACTTTTGTGTTTGGATACCATTTATTTTTATTTCAAATTTACAATAATTGGGAGCACAGCAAAATTAAAACTCTGTATTTTGGAGAATCTGGAATCTAGCAAAGACAAACTCTGATAAACCCCAAATTTTCGGCTAAAAACAAACTCCTAAAAACTCCCTCCGAATTTCGAGAAAAATAAACTCCAGAAAGGCGGAACCCCAATTGTAACGAAATTTCCCATTCCCAGAAATGTATTTGTCCGTCCGGGCATACCACGTGGTAGGGCACGTCGGCACATCTGGTTCGGTTACCGCGGCAACAGATACAAAGCAACGTACACGAGCACACGCTCAAAATTAAACCGATGACGACGACGGGATCTTTGCCGTCATCGTCGCGCATCACCGGCCCGCAAAGCCCGACCGCACGGCAGTGCGATTTCCTCCACCGTGTAACGCGAGGAAGACGGAGCCTCCGCGACAACAATGCCCGCAATGGTCTCTGCCAACGAATGCTGTCACAAAAGTCGGAGCCTCGCGTTGCCAAATGACGCAATTCCGGCGGCCGACGCTACGAGTCTCGGCCAAAAATACTGCCACGCGCGTCGGCAAGTGAGTGTGTGTGTGGCCGAGTGGTTACCGCGCTTGACTGTCACGCGGAAGTTGTAGGTTCGATTCCAATCGGCGGACTGACCTTTTATTTATTCTTTCAACTCGGCGTTCTCGTAAGTTCGAGAACATTCTCGTCTGATTGGGTTAAAAATGTTCTACCTATGCACCGAAGGCTCTACCCCGAACGCTCCAAAAACCCACGAGGGTACATAGGGGACTCCGCATGGCGAGCGGAGTCGGTCTCGCCCCAGCGTTCGATCCTGCTGTTACGCTGCTATCGACGCCCGCAACGCTCTATTGTTATTTTCTGTTTCCTTTTTGTTTTGGGCACAAGTTCGCCCCATTAAACGTTTAGTTTGTTTCAGTTTTCGTCGCCTTATCAATTGTCATTCGTGACAATACGAAGGAATGCGACCATTCTCGCGGCGTCCCAACCAAGGGGGAACCCCCGGGTCCCTAGGATCCCAGTTTGAGAACCCATCTTCTGTGCGGCGTCTACTCCACCGAGACGTCCTCGGGGCCAGACTCACTTGGGCTTGGTGATCTTGTAGAAGAGGCGGGCGCCCTTGTCCACCCGGCACTCGCACACGTACACGTCCTTCTCGGCGCAGCCCCGGGGACGCCCCCGGCAGTAGGTGGCCAGGTCCAGGACGCAGCAGGTGCCCACCACGCACTCCAGGGGCACAATCTCGTACAGCGGGATGCGCAGCACCTGTTTAACAAAGGAAGAGATTGGCCACCAATCGGTATTTTCTTGCTTTGGCCCACTTCAGACTATTAGGCGAGATAGTCCAATCTTTGGGCCAAAGAATATAACTCGATCTTTTGCATAAAGCAGAGGGACGCAGAAAACAGAGCGTGTCTTAGCCACTTTTACTTTTTCTGCACTTTTATACTTTTAAATGTATATTACAGTCACCTCACTTGCTTTTAGCAATTTCAGACGTTCAATGGGGATATGGCTCTCTTTAAATCTTGACGGGGGCTTTTAGGCTTGTTTAAGAGGTTGAGACAGGCACAACGCATATTGCGTCTTTTCCTTTTACATCACAATATCATGTGAAGTCATGTGACATGCTAGCATTACCGCATGTTACACATCACGTGTCTCCTCCCAACATTGGGGCGACGGCGTTGACAACGTTCCTGCAGCAACACAAGCACACAGCAGCTGTTAAAGCACCCGCCACGCACCTCTCGAGTCAACCACGACCGTTAGAAAGAGTGGAGAAGAGGGGCCCTGGGGTACACACTACACACAGTATACAGCTTGCAGCGAATCGAGTCTCACCTCGTTGTGAAAAAACTTGCGTGTGGGTTCGTGAAAGGTCTCGTGAGGCCGCAGGTAGTGGTGCCCAAACAGGAACTTCTCCCCCCTGCAAGGATGAAACGAAGAACCGACGACGACTTTACCGAGGGCGTGACTGCTCATATTTCATGTGTTAGGTAGTCACAAACTAGATTTTGTTTAGCAGCGTGTTTGTGAAAAGAAATCGCCTGGCTCGGGTATTACGTCAAATGCAACGAGGGTGCAAGAGCGCTTGACGGTGTCCTTAACAGGCAGCCCTTTCAATCGGAATGAGATGCACTGCGACGTGTGGCACGAGAATTTGGAATGTGTAGGGTTTCCCAAGCAAACCTTCCGCCATAAAACGGGCTGAAAAAGTTGGCGCCCGGATAATAGAAACCTAAAACTTTCACCGAACGTGCACCGAGCAGGTCAGTTTCCCTGTAGGAAATTGCAAACAACAAAAATTGCAAGCAACAAAGGAAGCAACAAATTTGCGAAAGCCGAGGTTGGGCGCATTCGCTGAGGACCGAGTTAGAGACGTTATTTACTTGTGGTGCCTGCCATCTCCTGGCAGGTGCAGTGAGCAGACGGATATAGCAATGTATATTACTGATTCCCGTTGACTCCATTAGGAACAGGGTTCGACTGTACTTCACGCTCTATAAGCATGCTGAAAATTGAATTGAAGAGCAAACGCTACCCACAAATTGTACGGCTTTTCAAAAATATCAAGTTTTTCTGAAGATTCCCGCAGCGAGACAGATTGATAGGTGTTTAAATTTTCAAAATCTATCTAGAAATGGCAAGCATGTAACGACAATGAGAAACATTCTAACTTACCCTCCGGGAGATGACAAGCCCACACTAATGCACATACACCGTAATACTGCCTTTCTACTCATGCTTGCAGGCAATGATGTAGAACTTCCATTTCATATTTTTGTCATACTTTTCCTCTCATCAGTTCCGTGGAATTACCTACTCTCAGTTGTAGCCCTAAGATATTTCAGCATAAAAAAAAAAAAAAAAAAAAAGAAGCACGGAATGCTTCCATTAAAGCCGTCACAGAAGCATTCCCAGCACTGCAGGCGATGCAGCCGGAGCAAGAGGCGTGTTGAAATGCAACGCTGATAATAATAATAATAACAACAACAATAATAATAATAATAATAATTATAATAATGTTTATCATGATCAATTGGGGGGCTAGTTGGTTGAACATGTAAGAGAAGAAGGGGACAGGAAAAGCACTTACTTACAACTGTCAATTTAATAGAGCAAATAAAAAGTCGTGACAATATTTTAAGACAATAAAGTTGCAATATTGTCTTAAAACTTTTTATTTCGATTTCTAAAGCTAAATATGTTGTCTTAGTGGCAGCTGAGAGTTTATTTCTACCTTTCTCTTCTCCTTTTTCACTTCCGCCTTGTCTTTGCCGACATTCTCTATTGACAGTTGTAAGTAAGCGCTCTGCCCTGTCCCCTTCTTCTCTTCTTAGGCATTTGCACTTGTTAATTCACGGTCTTAATAATGTTTATTTGCAGCAAAATGTAGATGACGCCAGAGTCCAGCAGAAAAAGCCATCACATCGACAACTCAACAAAGCCGAAGACCATATGGGCAGCTTCCCCTATGCCCCCCTCCTTTTTTTGTTATTTTCTTTTCTGAAAGACACCCCGGCAAGACTCCACGACGCAGCAGGACCAGGAGATCAAACCAACCTGGCAGCTGGCCGACGCGACCACAGCACTAATAAGAAACCATTTCACGCTTTTGAACTCTAATACAGCGACGCCTCTATGTGCACTTCCGTTCCCCCCAAAAAAGCGTCCATGATATTAGTTATCTTTAATAGGGAGGCGAAAGTGCACATATCTGCCCAGTTTTTACCCGGGAAAGTTGTCTACATAACGGAGTACCCGTATTAAGAGGGCCCGTAGTAACCAGACACGGCTGTGGCGGCAGTTAAAAGGGGCTCGCCTCTCGTTCTTCCACAGCCGCTCCACCCGGAAGATGTCCAGGCTGTTTTCCGGCAAGGAGGCCGCTCCGCCGTCCTCCTCCTCCGCCCCTCCCCTCAGGGTCCGCAGGAGGGTGGTCTTTCCCCCCACGCCCGGCTCCGCCTCCTCCGCCTCGTCCGGGTCTCCCGCCGCGTCCGCGGAGCGCCTCGACCTCTCGCTCCGCACCTCCTGGGAGAGCGGCTTCAGGGGGCTCTTGTCCTTGGCCAGGTACACGCAGTCCCCTGGGCAACCAAGAGGAAATACTCCAACCAAAGCCCTAAAAAGTGTGACCCGACGTTTCGAAACGTGCTTGGTTTCTTTTCCTGGGGCGACTGAATCGTGCGGGGCAGCAGGACCTCTCGTCTTCTTCGTCCGACAAGAATGATCCTTTTCTAGAGGCGGACCTTCGTGAATTGTCTTTGTGGAGTAGCATAAACCGCGAGCGAACCTGGACGGCGAGGCATCGAGGGACTCGTTCAAGCTTCCTAAAGTGCACTCGATGTGGCGCGGCTCCGGCAAAATGCCTGTCTCGAAAATGAAGCTCGGTTCTTGAGGTTTTGCACGGAGTATTTCCTTTTTATTACATTCGCCCAAGCAGGCAGATTTCTGTCTAAAAAGTGCCAGTTCCCCGAGCGTGTTTTGACGAGCTACTGACAGAAGAGCGACGGGACACGTGTCGCTGAAGACTCTCCTTGACGGTTGTAAAAGGATGTAGCGATAAAGAATTCCCGGTTCCTCGCCGTGTCCAGCAAACAAAGTGCCGTGAAATTCTGCAACAGTTACGCCGCCATGTCTAAGCCTAGCGGACTTCCGTCCCACTGAATTCACCGGATGGCATCCATGGGACGCCGACGTCACGTGGCACTATATTCCCGCCAAATTTAGCAAGGAAAGTCAGCAAAGAAGCTTTTACGGTAAATTTAGCGGGCCACGATGCACGTACGCAGGCGGGATTTGCCACGAAGCCTCTGCAATGACGGCCGTCGCCGTGAAAACGAATCGATAAAGTAATTGCCTCGATCTTGCGCGCAAAGTCAGAATTACAAAGACACAGACCAAGGACTGGGACCGTTATCTATGTCTCGCGACCCGACGTTGTCACGCGATCGTGCGACCCGCAGTGCCACCAACTAACCGACCGTCGCATGTTGCGTGACTGTTAGACGACGTCGTTGGAGTCGCGTGCTTCGTTCGGTCCTAATGCGATGGCACAGTATCGAGTGACATCGCGACTGACACGATGCCGCGACACTGTGCAACTGCATGGGAACTCGCATTGACGCGTTTTCGGAACAACGTTGCGCGACACTCTAGTCTAGAAAACCGGCCCACGTAGGCGTTCGCCTTTGAACCGACAGACACGAGACGCGACGACCACATTAAAAGTGGGCGTTCTACGTGGAACGCCCACTTTTAAGCAAGGGCACTTCCCCGTGTCCTTGCTTTGCGAGGACATGGGAAGACGACCACAAAAAAAAGAAGGAGGCGTCTCACCCTGCCGGACTTGCAGGGTTCCTTTGAGCAGGGTGAGGAAGGACTGGTAGCCGCCATTCTGCACAGGAGGACCCAGGGGGATCTCCTGCAAGGGGGAAAGCCGCGAGGCTCACAGAAGTGCTCGCTCGTACGAGCTGGTCCCCGAGTTGTGCCTCAACGGCAGTCACACCTTTAGAATGCACTCTGACCAATCTCTCCCACTTTCGGCAACTCCCGCTGTCAAACGGAACAACCAGGGCTGCTCAACCGGTTAGACCAGGTATTCTCAAACTTTATTATCTTGAAGAATCCCTATCTGGCTCTCTGGCTCGACCGAGAGCCAAGAAACCCCTGCTGGATTGACCGTTGGTATACTTAGGCAGTGTGCAAGTCTACAGACCTTGTGTACATCAATGGGTAGCTCAGATATGCTAAACTGGAAAAAGGTTACAGGACGACGCTTAAGCTTCGGCTTTAAGAGTGGAACGCAATACCTAAATATAAACCCCCGCCGTGCAAGCGTGTCTGCAAAGCCTAGTCAGTAACGTGTCTGGCTCGCAAGCGAAGGGTCGTCGGTTTGAATTCCGTCCGCCTAAACTTCTTCAAATTTTTTCGAAATGAATTACTTTACAAAGTGAAATCATTTGAGACACGCACGAGGTCATGTGGCTGTTACATCATTACCCTATCGGCCAATCAAGATTTTCCTGTCATGCCGCCGACGCCGGGTTTTCTGCGGTACGCGCCCCCTAAAGCTGTCACTTTAAAATACTTAACGGGCAGTCAATGAAACTTGGGAGCTTGGGGAACCGATGATAGTACTCTGAAGAGCCTCGTAATTAAGTGCGATTAAGTGCAATTAATTACACGTGGTGACTGTTTTTGCTTGCACTGCTTTCTTTCTTTCTTTAGCTAGTTTAAACTTTTCTGGCATTTTTGTTTGTACAGTATAGACCACTTACAACGTAACTGCTTATAGTGCAGGACCGGGTATAATGCGGTTTTTTTAAACCACCGGTTCGCCTCCCATAGAACTCCAGGTAATTACATACCGCTTAAAATGCAGGCGCGCGAAGGGAAATACCGGTTATAGTGCGGTTTCTGGCACAGCCCGCTGACCGCGCCGAGGACCGGAGCAGCGAGCACGCTTCCCTGTGCGACACTAGATAACGGCGCGAGCCGCAAACGGCACTCGCGGGGCAAGGAGGTTGCTCGGAGAAGCAAAGAGAGAGGCTTCATTTGCCATAGCGACGGAAGGACGCACGCACGTGTCGTTCATGTGCGTGCGTCCCTCCGCTGCGTTGGAAACAAAAAACCGAAACGACAGACCAATCGCAGGTCGAGAAATGTTTGCACGCGTTGCATGCCAATCGCGGGCCGGCGGCTTCTGTCCGCAAACATGGCGTCGGTTGTGGCGTTCATCTCATCGTTCCACGTAAAAACGCTATCCTTGACAGTGAATTTTCGTTGTGTGTCGCTATGATAACCCAGCACGTACTAGAAGGGAAGATCCACCTACTCGTGCGGCGATGTGGCGGCGCTCTCAAGACGGCAGAAACGCCCGTGTCGTCGTGTTTGTTTACTTCGGCTAAAGTGGTGCTTTCTAAGCATTTCTGTTTTCGAACATCGCCCGGATTTCTTATTTGGAGCATTTCATGCCTGTGCTCAAGTTCAAGGTATTTTTCTGGCGCGTACCGTATGAAGGATGCGAATTTTCACGCGTTTTCATCTCCGGAGAAAAGTGATTAGGGTTAGCAATCCTGAACGCTCGCAACGTCCGTCCGCAACCCGCGACGCCGTTAAAAGGCTGCGCCAGGCAAAAGCCGCTTATTTCTTTCAAAATGTGTGACACACTTGAGAGAGATGTGTACTAGTCTGGTGAAATAAAGACTTTTCTCAAACTAAGCTTTATTTTTCATCTGACATAAAATAAATTTTTTTACAAAGGTGGGTTGTCTCATGGCATGTATTTTGGCCCGAAAAATTGATGTTTTGGTTATAACGCGGTACCGCTTATAGTGCGGATTTTCGCGACTCCCGCGACATATGTTATATGCGGTCTACACTGTAGTGCTGTACAGACATATCATAGGCTTCCAATTGGGCCATTAAGGTGTAAATAAATAATGATGATAATGGTAGCCTAATAATAATAAAAATAATACAGTTGGCTTCTAAGGTCCCAAAAACCACCAAATTTTGGTTTGTAAACATTTGGGGGTTAAGGTTTGGAAAGAATTTGCCTTTGGCGCACCAGTGTGCCGAGCCACCCGGTGAAATGACGCTTTCGTCGCCACAATGTTATTCTTCAAATTAGGGTTACATGAAGTCCCTATTTACCAGTCTTCGCTATACAGGGTGCCGCACTGTGTCAAACTGGCAAGTAACTTATTTCTAACAGCTTCGAAGTAAAGAAAAAGTATTTGTTATAGACGGTGCTAAGTCCAGAAGGCTTCGAAGGCTGGTTCAAAACACTTCAGCCGAGACCGCACCTTGAATCGTACATCTTGTCTCTGTCCCCGTCTATTTTTTTTGGCCCATTTTCCAAACTTTGAGACGAACCAAGTGGCTCGATTAACCCTGACGATGTTACTCTGTGTTACGCAGTCCTTCCACCGCACCAATGATTGCGGTGTGCAATCACGGCTGTGATTTGTGGCCACTCACCAGACAGACCTCACGGGGGTTGCATAGCTCGCACAGGTAGTTCTCAATGTCGCCGTTCACCCCCATGCAATCACAGTGCTGCCACACCTGCAAAAGGGAGCCAAAATGTCGGAAACAAGCCAAGGCCCAGAGAGCTCTAATAATGAGTCTTTCGTTAGGGGCATGGTTTTACCCGGTCAACATCCCAGACATCCCAGACATCAACACCCACCTAGCTGTGTTTAGAGATTTGTGTTTGTGCTTTGTCCCTCTTGTTTCCCTTCCCCAGGGATTGTTTTCGTCACCCCAGACAGATTTTATCAGGATCGAAATAAGCCCAATTTGTACCCAAAAGATTGTGTGTATTCCAGCTTTTTATACCACTTTCTTTCTAAAAAAGAAGAGCTTAAAAAAAATGTAAGTGGTGAGATATGACACATAGGATATAAAATAAACTTCCCCACAAAAAAAAAAAAAAAAGATTTACTGCAGTATTTCTGTTGCGAGACTTGTTCTAATATTGTGCTGAAGTCACTCTTGTTTTCCAGTCATGATTGCATTTTTGTTATTTATTATATTTTTGTATTTTACGTACTCCCCCCACCCTCTATGTAAAACCTTCCCCCAGAGGGCTTTTAGGTGTATTTTGAATAAATAAATAAACATATATTTTTCGGGTGGGGGGGGTGGGGTGGGGTTGGGGGGTGGGGGTATTTTTTGTGATATGTGTCCTATTCGAGCACATATAAAAAAAAAGTTTCTTGGGAGTTCAGCATTTCTTTAAGTAGCCATGTGCAAATAGTGGACTCTGAGTTTGAAGTGAATTACGGTTTTGACTGAATATTTTGAACCAAATATAGAATAGTTTCTCAGTCTTTCACTACCATGCTTAAACGAAAATTCAGCCAAACTCGTAAAGGTTGTTCCCTACCTTACACTTGTCCACTTCTAAGCTCGGTTAATTTGAATATAACCATATGAACTGTGGCACGTGAATGACAGACTTGTCACAGCTGTACTAATTGACTGGACTCATAAATATGCAAATATTCGTCCTTCTATTTCAATTTTGACAACAACAACAAAAAAAATACACGCACGAATGGTGAATGCAGGTTGACAAGATATCACTGCCTAACACAGGGGTTCTCAAACTGGGTTCCGAAGAACACAGAGGTTCCACGAGCTGGTCTCATGGGTTCCGCGAACACCCATATTGCAATCCCCCCCCCCCCCCCCCTTCCCACGCCGCAGGCTGCGCGGCAGGACCATGCAAAGCGCCTTCATCTCACTTTGTACTGACATCGCAATTGATATGGTAGGGATATATGGGAACCAACACAAGCAAAATTGCCTACAATTGTGCATCTATTGCTTCTCGGTCGACAAATATGGAGGGGGGGGGGGGGTGTTCTGCGGCAGTTTTTGAGACTTCCTGGGGTTCCGTGAGATTAAAATGTTTGAGAACCCCTGGCCTAACATATTCCCTTGCATAATTGCGGTGGGTTAGCCCCAATGAGTGCGCTTCTCACCAAGCACCCATGCACTGTGGGGAAGCAACACCTGAGAAGCCCGCGAGTACCGCTTCTCTGCAGTGCACAGGTGCTCAGTGAGAAGCACACTCAACGGGGCTAACCTGCCGCGATCAACGCTTCAAAAAGTATGAATAATGCAGTTCACCTCGAAGCGAATATCGAATAGCCTATTATTTGAAACTACTATTCGAAAATTCAAATATTCGTGCAGCACTGCCTTTAAAACACTGAAACACCGTCTACTCCATTTCTTTGAATGAATTTCAGGTTATTGTTGTGACAACCAAGGGAAACCACCACAGGTAGAAAACACCAGCTTCCGAGTTTCGTAAACCGTACGACCCGAAAAAGAAGGGAGCACTCTGTGAACAAATGGCGACCAAAAGAGGGGAAAGAGAAAAGGAAAAGGAAAGGGAGGCTTACAAAGCACTTCTCGCACTGTATCATAAGTCCTTCGTCCTTGAAGATGTTGCACACGCACCGAATCACCTCCTCGTCTTCCTCCGCTGGTTTTTCTGCGCGGGAAGAAAATGAGCACGAGGGCGCTCCTTACCATGCTAGGGCTCGGTCGGATGGCAAGAGCAACACCTTTCATTCGATTTGTGCAAGATACAACGCAGATTCAAGCTTCATTCAACATTTCCTATACTCAATCTCAATCACAGTTTCTATATTAGATGCACATAAATCATTTCCTATACTTGACAAGTACAACATGTTTTCCATAAACCTTTTCACCCTTTGTCGCATGGGCGCTGCCATCTTGGAATCATGTGACGCGGCCGCCATGAAGCGGCTTCAACTCGTCGCTCCTCTCTCCCCTCCACGCCCTGGCTAAGGCGTTGTATTCGTGTTTTTCGACACATTTGACTGCAACTTTTTGCCTTGCTTTTTGAGGTGTCATCTGATATTTATTTTTACTATACACAACTGCATGCCATCATAATGTGCACAACTTCTGCAATTATTTTAGAACAGATCATGACTATTTTCACTGTTGGCGTACCCAATACATGAGGAAAGGAATCAGCGTTTGCACTGGTGCACACTGAGTATGTAGACGACTCTAAGACACAAGAGGGTTGAGAGGCCAATTATTTAGGGCAGCGCAAATTTCCTTAAGTGATAGTGGCTAAGTGATAGTAGTGCGCAAATTTCCTTAAGTGATAGTGGCTAAGTGATAGTAGTGCAATAAGAAGTGCAAGGTAAATTTATGATCACAGATTATGATCTTAAAGAAAAAGGCGAATATAGTCAACGCAAGGAGTCACAATACAAGGAATACCCAAATAAATTACAGGAAGATTTATTGTTGAATTCTTAGGGAATGCGTTAGCATGACCCTTAGAAAAGCCACACACGTTGCCCTTTAAAGGGTAACTGCAAAGAAAAAAAAGTTTTTTTTTTAAATAGCCTAATTGGGACAAGCATGTCAAAAAACAATTTTTCCGCGAGAAAAAACATTTTTTACAGCAATATTTATTGCGTGAGACTCATTTTAGTTTGCGGCTATTTCGTCTGTTTTAAATCGCGCGCCACGAAGTTGTGATTATGTGACGTCAATCCCAAAAGGTTCTCATTGGCTAAGAGTTTGATTGACAGCTTAGATCCGGTTGTTAAACCTTTGTTATATGTTGCAATTTCATTTTGAGCGGCATATTTTTACGTTTAAAGAATAACCCAAGTGATGAGAGTTATTATTCTTTACAAAAGGTTTACAAGACGGGCACTTCCGTTTGGATTCATACAAACAAAAGCTTCGCCATTCTTTCATGGCCGCCGAAGTCTCTGCTCCCGCCTGTCTTGCCTACCTCGACCAATTGTTTCGCCGAAGTTATCAATGTTTCGTCGTTTCGTGCTGACCCAGGTGCTTGAGTGAGACTTCTTGAAGTGAAGTAGTGTGTGTTTAGCAGCTGTCGCAGGTGTTAGTGATAGGCAGCGACGCGGGGTTTTGGCTTTCATAGCGCGGTTCTGTCGTTTTCCTCTTTGCTTGCTTAGCATGCTTTTTTTTTTTTGTGTGTGTTTCTTTTGCTTGTTTGCACGTGCAAATGCTGACTTTTTGGAGATGTCAGATGTGTGATCCCGACAATGAGCCTTCCAGCAGCGATGTCGCCCCGAAAGGAATGCTATTTGGCTGGAGGCAATCGGGCGTTCGCGTAGCGACCAACGTGTCTAGTTACATTCTCGTCATATCGCTCTGGAGGCCGTCGAGATTCGCCCCGTGTGCACCTAACGTCCGCGACTAGACAGACAATAAAAAAGCACTATGTCCACTACAAAAAAATGGTCTCAGTTCATGCATCTGTAGGCAGGTACGAAATCGTGCCCAAATTTATTCACACCGCACGATGCAACACGTCGCTGTACAAACGCAGTCCAACACGAAGCATAAAAACGGCAGATTTAGGACAACAATTCGGAGTCCATTGTTCAATTAAAACACTTGAAAACGGCCGCAGCTTTTTACTCACGGCATGCGTCGGGAAACTTCCACATTTTGAAACACAACGAGGCAGATTTACTTTTAAAAACGCTCCCAGCGTCCTCCCGGACCAGTTTGACTGGATCAGCTGACGACGACGGGACTTAACTGGTTGAACGTCAACCCCACAACAACCAATTTGCGCTCCGTGTTAGCACCGCATTACACACACCACGAACGTTTCAGCTCTGTCGCATCGCCGTGTTGCACCAAACAGAACGAGATCGCCGAAACCAACGCAGCGCTGTCGTGAACCTTGGCTTGTGGTTGCGCACTCGTGGATTCTGTGACTCCCTTCGCTTTCAAAGCGCGCACGACGATTACGAACGATACTTTCCGTCTTCCGGGAACATCACAGGGGCACTTCTCCGGTGACGTCTTCGCTACATATGCTCGCAAACCGCGTCAAACCAAAACAATACCGCGGTACCGCGGCCTGGCGTAGTTACCAGATCTTGCCGGAAGTCGAGACGCTGCGTCGTTCAACTCCGCAACGCAAGGAGAGTGAGGGGCGGGGCGTACTCCTCTTCCGCGGGGGTCGAAAGAGCGGGAGTTTCAAATGTGGAGAGGTTCTGACTCTACTAAATTACGTCCTGTGGCGTAAATATTGATACAAAAAATCATTTTTTTCGCGGAACGTTTGTTTTGTGACATGCTTGTCCCAATTAGGCTGTTTAAAAAAAAACTTTTTTTTCTTTGCAGTTACCCTTTAAGAAACGTTAACGCTAACTTTTTCGCTTTTCAGAGTTTCCGGCTTAAGCAGCGTCAGCGTAATCGCGCGGTGCATTATGGGGCATTTCCCATAATGACGTCACACGTGACGCCACGACGAAGGTCACAACCTTCACAGTGTAGGTCACGACCTTCACGAGGGACGTCACGAGGGTCACAAGTGACGTCACGAGGGAGGAGGAGGGGAAGAGGAGAGGATACACAGGAGAAGGAGGGGCATACCCTCCTCTTTGTACCCTCCCCTCTTCAAGAGCTGCGCTCTAATTCGACATTACAGGGAATTGTAAACGTCTCATTTTTTTCTTTTGGCTTTCTCTCTTGCTTCCTTTATTTTATGCTACCTCTTTTTTGCCTCATTAGCGTTTCCCAAGGTTCATGCTAACGAGTTCCCCAAGAATCCACCAATGGATCTTCCTGCCATTTTTTTTCGCCCCTTCTTTGTACTCTGCCTGTCAGAGTATGTCGACGTCCTTGGGTACAGACATCCATATCACTCGTGGAAAGAACTACATCCATACCACTCGTGGAAGGAACCGCATTCATCGTTTTAATTACACACACACATCACAGCCCACGCACTGCTACTATAGAAACCCGGAGCTTAGAACTGCCGATGGCAGAGTGGCAATTGAGCACTCCCGCACCCCACCCTACCACGGCGCAACACCTCCTAGATAACAAAGCCCTAGTGCTGAATGAGATGGCGTCATCAGAGAAGGCCAACTCTGGGCACAGACTGGACACGACAATTGCGTCAAGGTTCAGCTCAAACTTAACTCGAAACCGAGCGCTGACGCAGCACTTGTTTCCAATCTGTGTCCAGCACTGGCCTTCTGTGATTAAGCCCTCTCATTCACCATTATGGCTGTTATCTAGTTGTTGCGTGGCCCCTCCTCCTCTCTGGCTCCCCAAAAGCTGTGCGCGTGACATAGCCGGAAACGAAAGGGCTCCTTTAGACAAACACCCGGCGGTGTCTGTCAGTTTGTCAGCGCCGGGGAGAGAGGGAGAGGTTCACTCATACTCACGTCAGCACTTCGGACAAATGGGAGCATCGCACGCAACAACCGACAAACGAGAGACACCGCCGAGTTTTCGTCAAAACGAGCATTCTAATGCTAATGCATTAAAATAAGAAAAAAAGAATATTGTTCAAAGAAGAGAGGGCTATAGCTGTAGCTGTGCGTAGTAACATTAACTTTTCTGTACATCCACTACTTATTTACTCTATTCCACACAACACAGCCTTGTGGTCACTAAGTATGTGGGAAAGGGAACACACTGCACACACGAGTCCCTGCCCAAAGCTAAGTCGGGACAGGTATTGTTAGGAGTGAGGGGTTGCCCTACATCTACCGTAAAATCGTGTAAGGGCGCCCTCCCCTGAGAGATTGCCCATTCCGTTTTTCTGGCTAAATATCTGTAACATAAAAATTCCGAAACATCGCCCACCCCCCCGATTCGCGTTGGACGTCAAGCGGCCTCCGACGGGAATTGTGCATCAACGGCGCGATCGGCGGTATCGGTGCGTCCGAGAAGCGAGTTCATAGCCGGTTCCCGCGTTGTTGTCTGCGATCTGCGCGCAATATCGGTTCGCGTAACACGCTAGTTGTTCCTGCGTGTATATTGCATTTGAAATGCGAATCTGCTGCGTTCGCGATTTGCGGCATCCGTTCCCGTGTTTGTAGCGGATTCCCGTGTTTTTGTCTGCGATCTGGGTGCGCAATATAGATTTTTAGCTGTAACACGCGCGAGTTGTTCCTGCGTGTATATTGCATCGTGAAATGTGATTCTGTTGCGTCTGCGATCTGCGGTATTTGTTTCTGTGACATGAGAGTTTGTAGCGTATTCCCGTGTTTTTGTCCGCGATCTCTGTTTCCGTGACAGGCAAGATCGTAATGGGTTCCCGCGTCTTTATTGCACCATGAAACTTGGATCTGCTGCGTCCGCAATCTGCGGTATCCGTTCCCGTGAGACGCAAGTTCTCAGCGGGTTTCCGCGAGTCCTTCGCACCGTGAAACGCGAATCTGCTGCGTCGGCTACTTGCGGTATCCTTTCCCGTGACACAGGAGTTTGTAGCGAATTCCCGCGTGTTTATCGCATCGTGAAACGGGAATTTTCCGTGTCCGCGATCTGCAGTGTCAGTTCCCGCGTCACGTGGTTCGTAGCGGGTAACAGACGTTAACCGAGTTCAACGGTGAGGAATGTTAGAGGCGTTCACCGCCTACCGTAGAAGACGCCACCTGGCAAGAGCCAAGTGCACGCATTTTGCTCGACATCAGGGGCGGTGCACATGCGAGCGCACATTGAGCAGAGTTTTCCGCCCAGCACAACGCCGACGCCGTGAATGCAGCTGGGAAGTCCCCATAGAAAGAAGGCGTCTGCTCACCATTGGTAGACGAGTAAGTGGTGAAGTGTGAGGGCACAGGCTCCCCGAGGATGTCCTCTAGGATGGGCACCACCAAATACTTGGCCTCCTCGTAGCACCGCCTCAGCTTCCCCAGCGAGCTCACCAGGTCCACATTCTCCTTGTGGTAAAGCTGCGACGGGAAGAAACAGTTTTCTAGTCAATCACCCGAGCGGGCATGCAGGGTTTCTAGTTTTTGATCACTCTATCACTAAACACCAGGTCTACATTGTCCTTATGATACAAGTACAGTTTGAAAAGGCACTACCTCCACATTCTCTTTATGGTACAACTGCTGTAAAAAAAACACCAGGACCACATTCTCATGGTACGTGGGCGCGGGTGTCCACGTAAACAGAGTATCAAGTTCGCTTTTGGAACGTGGAATTGATGCAGATGCACCAAGACCACTCACTTATGTAAACCCTTCTCTGGTGCAACCGATCCAAATAAATAGTTTTTATGTCTCGTACATTTTCTACCACAATGTAATGTTCGGTTTTTTAGGATGCTTTGAGATCATAGTTATGACCGTAAATAGACTCTCGCAATAAGTGGTTTGGCGCACCTTAAAAACCCAGGGTGCAGCGAGGCTCGAGCCCCACATTATCGCCTTGCGGCCCACGACGCCGCAACATTAGCCAGCAAGAACACCTAAGAAAGGGTCGTGCGGCGAGAAGAGGGGAAGCAATAAAGTAATGCCCCGCACTTAAGGTGGCGTCAATGACTCCCAATGCGGAGACGTACCTCAGCGTTGTCAAACAGGAGGTTGAAGTCTGCCGCGAAGGTCTCCAGGTCCTTGTACTCCCCGGTGATGATGTTCTTCTCGATCGTGTTCAAGTCGATCGGGGTGTGGATCTTCTCAAAGTAGTCCGGGCACCTGAGCGGCACAAGCGCGGACTTCATGTTACCGCACCGTCTCCGCAAAAACCAAACGGCCTTGCAGTCGTGGCTACCAGTGGCCAAAGGAGGCTTCTTTTGCAAATTTTCTTTGTTCCAAATTGGCAGAAAGAAAATTTTGCAAATTTTCTTTCTGCCGATTTTAGGTGTCTGTCGACCCCTTCTGGATCGGCAGAAGTGATGGGGGACCCCATCTACAAGGGTGGAGGGGGGGGGGGGGGGGGGGATTGAAGGATTGCAATGACAAAAGGGTAAGTGAAGAAAACTTAATGCCTGCAAACCAGCTTAGCAGCCCTGAAATAGGTATAATAAACCCTAACTTGCTCAGAACACAAGGTTTCGTATATTTAGCTTTGTGAGCCAGCCAGTATCACTAAGAAAAACAAGAAAAGTTTTGGTGCTCGGCTCGACCGATGGACTCAGGCTCTGGAGACCCTGAAGGGTCCGCGGACATCCATCCGAGAACCGCCTCCCTAGAGGAAGACAAACTACCCAAAGGGAAGACGCTGCACCATTTACAAAATTACTCGCAAAAGCATAACTGAGCACTACCGTAAAATCTTTTACGAAAATCCCCACCCGAGACGTCGCCCGTCACATTCTTCCGGCTAAATATCCATAAGCTTAAAATTCCGAAGCATTGCCCACCCCCGATTCCAGCTAAACATCACACTACGTTCAACAGGAATCGCGCCAACTGCTTGATCGGCGAAACCGGTACGCGAGTTTATTGCATTGTGCAACCCAAGTCTGCCGTGTCGCCCTCGATATAGGTTCCTGCGACATGTGAGTTCAGAGCGGGCTCCCACATATTTGTCGCACTGTGGAACGTGATTCTGCTGCGTTTGAGATCTGGAGTATCAATTCCTGTGATGCACGTGTTTGTAGCAAGTTCCAGCGTGTTTATCATACTGTGGAACAGGAATGTGTCTGCGATATCAGTTCCTGCGCCACGTGATTGACAGCGGGTGCCATGGTGTTTCTTGGTAATTTTTTATAAACTTTTGCTTTCTCATTTCTAAAGATTCCCCACCCAATATCTTTTGCCATTATCTCTTCAAAATAGGTGGGCATTCGTACGGGATTTTACGGTACTATAACGTGATAAAGGAGTTGGTGCATGACGGTAAAATATAAAAACAGTGCATAAAAGACACACACGGATGAAAGAAGTGAACGGGACTGACTTGCAACTGAACAATAAATGTTCGGATGAGAGCCAGCACTTGTCTTGTTTACATCCTTAATCGGTCCCATGCTTTTTGTGCGCTGTTTTATATTTTATAATTGGGCACTACTAGTGTGCTACTCGTATTGCAAGCCTTATTTCCGCACTATGAAGATAGTCTGTAGACACCTCAGTTCATGATAGCTTGGAGTTAACTAATAAGCTATCATGAACTGAGGCAACTACAGTTAATACTGCAAGTTCTGTGCAGTGCCATCAAAGGCACAAGCACAAGGCCTGTAGTTTCGCTGGGCTACTACGGCATATGGATCCCCAAGTGGCGCTTTCAGATCCCGGCCAAAATGCCCGCAACCTGACAGAGGCTTTTTGTGGAAACTTTGCCACGTAACCAAGATTTCCGCTGCATGTCAAAATATCTCCACGTGGTCGAAATTAATCGTCACTCCCTCGCTGCGGCGTGCCAGATGCCCCTCAACAATTCGGCGCGTGAAACCCCCCAAATCTGACTGCGACTTTCTGACTTTGCTGGGCTAGTTACGGGGGTTTCAGCCAGACAACAATGTGCAAATGCATCGATGGAGACCCGCACAAAAAGGAAAATACTCTACAAAACCACAAGCTTGTGCGCCCCCGACTCCTACAGCTGAGCATGCTACTCAATGCACAAAACTCTCGAGACGAACACAATTTTCGACATGCAAGCAACTCCCACATTGCAAGCAACTCTTGAGATGCAAAGTAAGAAAGAGGTACCACTTACTTGCGCTTGGATGGGAGATTCACAAACGGTGTGGACAGGACCTTCCCATTGTCGTCTGCAGCACATGCAAGAGACAACATACTGTGGGTTCAACTCAAGAATCCAGTAATGCCATTTTCAGCTCTCTCTCTCTATCTCTCCGCATTATGAGCCAAATATGCGGCACTGGCAGCGGCGATGCTTTCGCCGCTCCACCCCGGCGGCTCCCGCCGGCTCCGCCCATTGACCAAACTCTTTCAATACACGGCTCTGCTCTCGTCGTAACACATTTTATGAGGTTTCAAGGAAGACAGTCCTAAAAAGTCGCACGTGAACAAGCCTTTGATGTCACGGTGTCACGCTATGTCATGGTATCACGCCTGCACGATGTCGCACGATATGACAGTCTCACAACATAAAGTGAACACCGTCTGCCACGGGAGGATGCAAGTCCGCCAAACCAGTGCCCCCCTTCGACAAGGCTACATCCCAGCACGTACGCGCCAAGAGCCGGCCCTCTAAGACAGTCCTTTAGAAGTTTGTTGACGCAGAGGATCGCACAGAACCCACCCTTGCAGGCGAGCACGGAGCTGCAGATGTCCCTGAAGACCTGGGCCAGCCGGGCGGTGCGTGCCAGCTGGGTGTTCTCCTGGGCCCGTGCCAGCTGGCGGGTGCGCACCGAGCGGGAGGTGTTGAGGGCCGTGAACTGGGTGCGGAAGGCCTCCCCCTCCTCTTCCTCCCCCGGCGGCTGCGGGTGCTGCGCCGGCGGGCTCGGCCCGGCCTGGTGCTGGCAGTGCTTGCTGCTCCCAGACGCCAGCTCCGAGCAGGCCCCGCCCGGGGGCTGCCCCCCGCTGGGTTTGAAAGGGAGATCAATAAGCGACGTGCCCTTCTTCATGCCCCTAGACAACTCTTTAATGTCTGCGAAAAGCGATTTAAACGACTGCTCCTTAAATTGTGCATTCCATGCATTATAGGACTCTGAAGGTAAAGGCCATTGGTACTTTTTTAACTCAAAATATGTTATATCACCCAATTTCTATGAGGAAACCGTCATGATGACCCGTCACAAAGTCCCATTATAAAGTTTCGTCACAGAGACCTGTTACGAAAAACAGTCACGACGGACTAAGATGTAACGCGACATTAGGACATCACTATGACATTACCTTGATGTTATGAATCATCACGACATCACAATGACAACATCGTCATGCTATGGGGACGACGTCACAATGACATCGCTTGTGATGTCACGAAGTAACGGTGCTGTCGTGATGTAACAATTACGTCATCAAGCCACCACTGTGACGTTACATGATGTTGACACGTCATCACAGTATCTCATGACATCATTGTGACATTACATGACACCACAATGTCATCTTCAGAATGCGTGACACCATGCCATGTGACACCGTGGCATCATGTGAAACAATGACGAAAGTCATGAGCCGACGGGACGCCATGTGACATGCTGACGTTACATGACTCTATGACATCACATAACATTATGATGTCACTTGATATAATGAGTTTGCATGATGTCACAAGGTCACTTGACGTCATATCATGTGACAACGTGGCTTCACATTACACCGTGACTTCGTATGCCAGTCATGTGACCTTACGACGTCACGTGACGTTACACGCACATTGCGCCCGTCTCATTCACAACACATAGCGCCCCCTGGTCTTTGTCAGTACGTTGAGCTAGCATAATTCTTGTTGGACCCGACGACTGGGCAACTCACCGGTCCCTGAGGGGCTTGGGGGGCGAGCGCTTTGCACGGTCGTAGTTGCGCAACAGGAAGCAGCGGTGCTTCTGGACGAAGCAGCGCTGCTGGTGGGAGAGCGGCTTCAGCTGCAACGGGCCCAGCCGGGCGGACGACGAGGCCACCGTCGTCACCCCTTCCGGCTTGCCCTGTAACCGTCAAAAGGGCACCCCTCAGCACCCCGAGCTCTCGCCAGACCCCTCCGTGGCCGTGTTCCAAAACTTACTCCATCTCGCTCCCGAGCAACGGTTTCGTACCTTGCCGTTTAAAAACCTATTGGCTGGCAGCGTCACTCCATCCGTTATCACACGACATGACCCAAGGAAGTAACTCGGATCTAGACGAGCAACATTTGGAACGCGGCTCGTACGTCGACAAAGACCTGTCTTTTTCCCCGGACTTTCCCAGATATACGACCTACGAAGGCCAAACTGCCAAGAAAAAAACGTTTGCGGTGCCAAAATCGCGAGCTGACGACTGGCAACTCAGGGCTGGCCCCAACCTATTTTCCTGGGACAAGTGCGACGACGACGACGAACTCAAGATAGTGAACAAGAATTGCCCTCTAGTAGAGGCTAAATCAAGTTTTGAGACCGTGTGAAGTGTGGCGTGATACATGCACGGAAAGTATTGGAGGCCAACAACCTGGACGTGTTGACACGCGACGTCAACATGTAGACGTTGCTCATTGACGTACGTTGTGTGTCAACGCACGATAAGCTTCTTCGCCCGAATCCACGCATTCTCCGTGTAGTCGCAGCGAAGAAGAGGTCGGGGAAGACGGTGAGGCGACGCTTCGAAAGGAAGCGAAGGCGGACGGGGAAGGCTCACGTCTCTGCGGTGGCGCAGTCTCTCCCGCTGACGCTTGCGCACGGAGCGGCTGGAGGTGCCCTTGGCCCCTTCCTTGGCCTTGTCCTTCTCCTTGGCCTGGCCGTTCAGCCGCTGCGACTTGCCCCCGATGAAGCCCCGGCACTGGTCGCTGCCGCACTTGCACTCTTGCTGCAGGGGGAAGCAACGTGCCGACCGGTGAGGCACGTTCAAAACATTTCTTAACCCTGCCAACTCTAATCTGCAGAATTCAGTTTCTCAAACCCGTCGGACACATCCGCGGCATACCACATGATTGCCTGTATGAGCTGTATCCCCCATGTTTAAACCAAAATATTAAAAAATATATTTAAAAAATTATTTGCGCATTAGTCGCGCCACCCTTTTTTCCAAAGCGTGTCGACCGCTTCCGCAGTGAAGCACGCGCTCCGCGTATTCGCAATCTTTACTCCGCCATGCATACGCCTCTGCTCGCGCCTTTTGCCGTGTTTTTGTGTGCAGACAAGAAAGAGTATGGGATAAAAGCCTGGGAAATTTGTACTCCTCATGGTTTTCTATCGTCCGCGGTCATCTTGCACCCACATTGTCATAGCTGCTGGGAAATCTGACACTCAGGTTTCCGAACGTTCCCGCTAGGCTTCGCGATTGTTTCATTTTGCCGAGTTAATTCATGCGAGCCCCACAACCTGAGAGCAGTGGGCAAGCACCATTTTCAAACTGTCACTTGTGCCTCGAAGTGCGGTAGACGTGCGACGGGTTGTCAATACGATGTCGACAAGACCTGCATAAGGTGCTAGACGAAGCGCGCGATCCGAGGCAGGCTCACTGGTACGCTGCAGCCGCTGAACGTCGGCTTGGAAATGGACATCGAGGTTAAGTTCTACGAAATAAATGGTCAACACAAACTTTGAAAAGGCACTTACTGGACAGCTCGAAAGAGCAACTCTGGCAACTGTCGACGCTGGTCAGACCCTAGCGCCGAGGATACCGCAGGTTACAACGATTGTGACCGAAATAAAGGTATTCGAGGCCACTGCTTGCGATCGCAAATGCATCAGTTTTTTTATGCACATCCAATACTATTTTGTTTTCATACGTCGTATATGGGCAGCACAGAAAAAATGAGTCCCGAAATTTGAAAAAAATAGTGTGGCCCTTATGCACATTTATACGGTATTCCCTAACCCTGCATTAACTTTAGATGTCCAAGAATTATGAGTACATTTCCCGTACTATCAAACCGTATCACATCCCTAGAACTTGACGTCACTTGGCTAAACAGAAACAACGTACCCAATGCTATATAAAAGTACACACTGTTTGATTGCTTGATTCGGGCATTAGCTTTTGTCTTTAAAATCTCGCGTTGTTCCTTGCCTCGTAGAGGTACCGACGTATAGTCAAATTGCATAAAAGCAGCTTTTTTATTTTTTTTTTCCACATTTTTGTTAATGATGGTGGAAACAAACAGTGTTGCAATGTGTGTTACAGTCAATGGCTTCCAACGTTGCTCGGACACCACTCCCAGACCGAGACGGGAGGGCGGTAAGACTTGGCGGAGGACGCATACCTGTCGCTCGTTGTTGAAGTTGTGGAAGTTGTAGTCGTAGCAGATCTCAGTGTTGGCAGGGATGTCCTTGAGCGAGAACAGCCCCACCCGGTACACCCCGTTTACCGACCTGCAGGGGACAAAAACCTTCTTAAGCGGGTACGAGGGGCTTGAAATACCCCAAAATTACAGTCACATATTTTTCAAGTCGCATATTTTAAATCTTTACAGCCCAGAGTATCTCTCCCCCAAAACATGAATGCACAATTCCACCTCCAGCTACTATAAAACCAGCAAGTTCCGAGTCACCGGGAGCTGGATTTAAAGTATACGAGACACTTTGAAAGTGATTTTATTAGCTTTGCCTTTTTTCGTCAAGTGCCATAGTCTTACAGGGATTTTGAGAACGTTCTCGTGAATGAATTTCAGAAAACTATGCATCATTGTTTTCTACGATCACTGAACTGCATTCTAAAATTTTACAACTTGCCCCATAGATAGAACGTAGATAGAAAGTAATTAGCTGCAACTTAAAGGGAAGCTGAAACACTTCTTGAAAAAAACGAGTTAGAGGTGAATTCTGGCGTATTTTTATCCCGTGAATCTGAATATCACTTTTGTTTTCCCTGGAGATGCAACTAAAAGCGAGAAAAAGCGAAAAAACATTCGACCAGTCGTGACGTCATACTAGGATCTTCGGACCGCCAAGCGCGTGTCGCTCGTGTGGGCAGCGCGTGCAACGGCAAGCTTGCCAGGTATATTTCCCGCACTGACACCAGTCGTGACGTCTCTTTCTGACCTTTCTGAAAATAGCAAGAGTGCGCGTGCATAGCTTTGATAGGCGCTGAAGATGCGCGAGAGCAGAGATTCCGAAAGCTCCTAGTGTGACGTCACGCCCCGGGAAGGAGGGGCTTCGGCGGTACTTTAAAAATTAATTTCTGAAGCCTCCGTGCACCAAATTGAAAAATAATCTTGATATTCCTGATCCTGGAGGTAGAATGAAGGCCATTGAAATGTTTTTTCTCAAATAGAGAACCGCTTCAGTTTCCCTTTAAGGTATTTATCATCCCATTTACTACTTGTCTGCAACTGTGGTTTATTCATAATCAGTAACATCCCTTCATAAATATTCTATTAGCTTTAAGATATATGGTGGACACTTGTAAATCACTGTGTGAAGTTAAAAGAAGAGGTTTCTATTGAGAAATTACCCCAACAACCCATAAGAAATGGCCTAATTAGAATTATATTGTGCCATATTTTTTGTTCGAGAAAAGGTACCTTAAAGCTGGCATCAGATTCAAAACCAGCCTTACAAATTACATCTTTATACTGTATTTGAGTGAGATACAGTAATAAATAAGAAAAACATAATAACCCTCCTCCCCACTTAGCCTTTTGAGTGTTTTTTTTCCCCCCATATGTCGAACAGAAATTTTGGTCTCCTGCAGAAAAACTGTAGCGTGCTTTATGAAGTTGTTTATCGAGGGCACTCTGATCTATAGGCTCAGAGTTGATCAATGTCTGGATGCCTCCAACCCAGGATATTTTTCTCCAATTAAATTTTTCTAGGCGGGACTACGCAAAGGTGCACCTCGGCCTCACACCCCGGGGTTCCTCTTTCCGAGTGGCCTTAACCGACATTTTTTTAATTAAGAACTGTGACTTTCTTGTTTAGTTCATAAGTAAATTAGTTTATTACTAATTTCTAGACCTCGGCGTTCACCATAAAGCGCTAGGTTCAGCGACGTAGATTCGACTTTCTGGAACAACGAAGGAAAGAACCGAGACAGAACTCCCCCAAACAAAAACCTCCCTTGCGTCGTCAACGGGTGTTATTGCGAGACAAAACATTGACCTGTAAGTAAAAATAAAATCGCCAGCCCAGTTGGGTGATGTTGGGGGCAAATCGAAACTGAAACCCGCACGGGAGAACGACCGAGTATACTCGGGCGCGGCACTCGAAAAGCTAAGGGCTCTCCAAACGGGACATGTTTTCTGCTGTGCACATCTTAAAAAAGTGTGCACGCTTCTCAGAAATGGTAACTTGCAGCGTGCTCGTACGTTTTCGGAGGGGATGCCACCAATCGTGCAAACAGCTCGGCTCGCCTTCTCGCTTCGTGTGCTCCCCCTTCTCGTTTTCAGAGGGTTGGGGACTGACAACAACAGCAAAGGTTTTGACGACAGCCAGCAGAGCATCGAAATGGCTACGTCCTGCCCTACGTTTTGAACACGCTCCAAGGCTCTGCCCCAAGATGCTAGCAAAGGGCGACTTGCTTTCTTACATACTGTAAAATACCGCAAAAGTTTTTATCGTTAACATTTCCCGAACCTTGGAATTCTGAAAATTACACATTAAGCGCCCGCTCCCTCCAAAGCGCCGGCATCAGCCGAAAATGTTCGCCTCGTCGTGGCGGCCACAAGACCGCCAGCGGCGACACCTGGGATATCATGCGAAAACAAATCTGCTTTCTCTGATTTCGTTCACCAAGGTCTTTATTGGCCAGCATCTTGGATTTTACTAATTTGACCAGACAAGTGCCCATGTCTAAATTAACCCAGTTTCCAGTAGAAGTGGGGTGGGCACGTCCCCGGTATTATCTTACGATACATGTTCTATCAAGGAACTTAAAAAAAAATTTTACTGGTGAGTTCAGCGTCCTTCATAGGCCTGTACCAAGTTATGAACACCTCGGCCGGGATTATCCGTAAGTTGGCGTTTTGCCTTGCGGCAAATCACATGTCTACAGAAAGGCTACAAACAGCCTACAAATGGGCTACAGACAAACTATAGAGATGCTACAGATGGCCTATGATAGTCTACGGACAAGCTACGCACGGCCTACATGCAGGCTACGGACGATCTACAAACAGACTACTGACCCGCTGCAGACGACCCCGATAACGCACCGGGGTGAGGGGGGCAAAGAAAGGCCACCCACCACTTCTGCATCTCGCAGTTGGGGTCGCAGGCGTGGTTGACGAAGCGGCCCTCCCCGGCCATCCGGTACCCGTCGATGACCATTCCGGAGTCCAGATTCAGGCAGTAGTGGTGCTCGTCGTTGCGGTAGCGCTCCGCCATCCGGTGGCGGAACTCCTGCTCGCTCACAATCTCCCCGACGTACTCTAGGATGAACTCCCCTGCGGGAAAAAAAGGAGAGCAGCCCGCTCAGCCCAGAGCTCCCACAGGGGCGCCAAAAGGGTGCGCAGGAGTGGGGAAGCAACCGACCTGGTCGAAAGCTTCCTCAAGGGCGACAAAAAGGCGTAGACGGGATGAGTGTTTTTTACGCAGAATACAACCACTTGATCGGCGGAGGCAGAGTAAAGACGTAAAGCATCACCTTTGAGATATCGTGAAAACAAGACCTTGGAACGCATGTGGCGTTTATACCAGCAAAAAAACACCTGTCGGCAAGAAAGTAAATAATGTCTTTTGAGCGACAAGTTTTTCTTCGCTGAAACAACTGCTACGGGCACCCACGTCAGTCCTTGTTTTGACGATAAGAGGCTTGGCTCGACGTTGGCTCATGAAGAAATTTTGTCTTCCTCCATTATTTTCTGATTAAGGTAACACCATGTTCTCAAATTTTTGTGTTCCGCCACAACCACTATTTTTTTTTATTTATTTATTTAGGTATTTGTATTTTTTCAGTGCTCCTAAACAGCCCGGGGGCCTACATAAGGGTGCACCGTTTACCCATACATGCAGTGTTTCATAAAGGGCAGGCACAAAAAATGCATGCATATTATGAAGAAATGAAAATGTGATATATAAATTTAAAAGAAAAAATTGCATGAACTTAGAGATAACAATTTTTGCTTTTAAAGCTCAAGAAGGTAAGGCGAGGGAAAGGAAGGCTGCAGATGGAATGCTGGAGGGAGAGGGGGAAACATCCACCTGTCTCTAACATTCTGTCTGCTTCCTCCTCCCCGGCCTTCCTTTTCCTTGCCCTACCTTCTGGAGTTGCAATGGACTATAGTGGTCAAGCACTTGCATTCCCTTTGGACCGCGCGTTCTTGCGATTTGTTATCACAAGAAAACACTAGGGAACAACACAATGGCACACTGGCGCCATCCATGAGGTGACCCCGGAACTGTATTCCACCAGAGCGAAGGTTCTGCGGCATTCGCGAGACCAAACGTACGTACCGTCTACAAGAAATGGTCGTTCATAACAACGTTATGAACGACCATTTGGCTCGAAAACAAAGTTTTTCGAGCCAAGAAAGAAAGAAAGGTGCTCGCAAAAAATTGGGAATATACGGAAATTACAAGTGTTCCACGGCTACCCTACAGATGGTGCCGGTCTGTTCTCTCGTCGTAAGAGATTCTAAGTACGAACCAGCCTTTGTGTTCTCATGGAGTTTCAGCTTTCTGGTACGCGCAGTTTATTTACGCAGGCGCCAGAACAGGGTCGTTGCTTCACAAACACTCGGCATAATGAGCACTAAAAGGGGGAGGCGGACCGACCTGACTTGATGGCTTCGCGCGTGCGTATGCCCCATCCCCGGTTGCGCGTCATGAAGCGCTCCAGGCCGGGGCTCCAGTCGTGCTTCTGGATCTTCTGGTTGCTGCACTGGTCCCCGCACGGGCACAGCGCGGGGGAGCACTCCACGTACATCATCCTGCGTCGTGGGACGGGAGACGTGAAAAAGAATTCTGCGCCGGAGGTGTTAACAGAGCCTTTTCGGGATCCCCCAAGTCGGTTCCAAAACCACACTTAAAACTTAATGGGTTTGTTTTGTCCTTGTTAGCCGGGAGTTTCTCTCGAAAGAGTTGCTCTTAACCGTAGCTTTTACGGTAGAACCTCTTCCGCTTACTGGCCAATGTACAACTTCGGCCTTCTGCGTGGAAGATAATCTCGTTAGCCTCTCCAAAACTACGAGGGGAGTCATGTTGGGACAAGTGGAAATGTGGAGAGGATATGGGAAAAGAGGAAGCAAGAAAAAACGAAAAGCGCCAAGTGCACGTCGGCTTTCATGACTCACTGAAGGAAGAGTGAGTACGCAGGAGAGTTGGTGAAAAGTTTGAGGCTCCTTACCACGGGAGACACATAAAAAAAAGTTTCTGGTTTTAGTTACGTTATGAGATCAACTCTCAGATAATAAGGAACAAATTCGACCCACTTAGCTCTTGACAGAGTTCACCCGTTGTCAGGAGTTCCATTATGGGACCTGGACTGAAAATGGGTGATTTCCACTGAAAGCTAAGCGGGTTCAATTTGTTTATTATTATCCCAGAGTTTACCTTATAACAAAACTAAAACCAGACTTTTTTTATGTGCCTTCTGTGCAGTCTTGGGTAGTAACGCGTTACTGTAATTTCGTTACTTTTTTGGTAACTTGTAACTGTAACGAGTTACTTTTTAAAAATGTAACTTGTAACTGTAGTTCTATTACTTTTTTTGAGGTAACGATGAAAGTAACGACGTTACTTTTGTCGTTACTTTCCAGTTTTTTATGAATAGTATATCACTGAACGAGTACAATTTAGCCATTTTTTGCGCTTTCCAAATTGTCTGTTTCGACATTTCGAGCGTCAAGTTATTTTTTGCACAGACTTGTGAATGTCTGTGCAAAAACAGACGTACAGAACGTAGTGAAGCCAAACTGGCTTCACTACGTCTACAATTCTGCATTAAAAAACTACACCAGGAGCATAAAACAAGCCAAGAATAAATTCTTTTTTAATGACTTACTGTCCATTTTGAGGAGTAACCCGAGAAAGTTTTGGAATCTGGTTTCACCGAAGAACAACAACTCTGCCATCCAACTACGTACCGACAACGGCGATCCCATTCCAGAGAGAGACATTGCTACAGTGTTTAACGAATATTTTTCTTCCATTTTTACTAACGAGTGTTTGAACACTGTTCCCAGCCTCCCCGAGCAACCTTACGAAACCATGCCTCCAATCAGTGTAAGCGCAGCCGGTATTCAAGACCTCATTGCCAAATTAAAACTCTCATCGTCCGCCGGTTCCGACAACATCAATTCCAAAATTCTAAAAAATACTACCAGTATCTCAAGTGAGTTCTTAAAATTAATATTTGACCAGTCACTATCTGAAAGCTCCCTCCCTTCTGACTGGAAGGTTGGCAGGATCGTCCCAGTTTTCAAACTGGGAAGTCGCTGTTTGGTTTCAAACTATCGTCCTATATCTTTAACTTCAATCGCATCTAAACTTCTTGAGCATATACTATATTCGCAAATTATGAGTCACCTAACAACTAATAAATTTTTTTTCAAAAAGCAGCATGGATTTAGAAAGGGATTCTCCTGTGAGACGCAGCTTTGCGACTTCATCCATGACCTACATACTAATCTCGAGTGTCGGGCTCAGACTGACGCCATCTTTCTGGATTTTTCGAAAGCTTTTGATCATGTTCCCCATCAACGACTACTATCCAAACTGGCTTCACTACGTCTTGACCCGCTAATCTTCTCATGGATACGTGACTTTCTTTCTTACCGCGTGCAATACACCGTTACTAATTACCATGAGTCTGCCCTAACAAACGTTTCATCTGGTGTTCCTCAAGGGTCCGTACTGGGTCCCCTACTTTTTTTAATATTCATAAATGACCTTCCGGCCACCATTTTATCTAATATTCGCCTGTTTGCAGATGACTGTGTCGTATATAACAAAGTAACAAGTTTGCATGACAACATTCAACTTCAAGATGATTTAGTAAAAATTAATAAATGGTGCGAACAGTGGCTGATGCCATTAAACAAATCTAAATGTAAACTAATCTGTTTCACTAGAAAAAAACTGTTTTGTCCTACCAATATTACTTGGGCTCCGATTTAATTGAGACCGTTCCTTCGTACAAATATCTTGGTGTAAAATTAACATCAGACCATTCATGGAATAATCACATTGAAGCCATCTCCGCAGACACCTCCAGGACCCTGGGAGTACTCCGACGTAACCTTCGACCTGCTCCACCAACTGTCCGCAAACTGGCCTACGACACACTTATCCGACCTAAATTAGAATATGCTGCCTCCATCTGGAACCCCCATCAAGGCTACCTTATCAATCATCTGGAAGCAATTCAAAACAGGGCCACTCGTTTCATCCTCTCCACGTACGATAACTCCATCAGTGTCTCTTCCCTAAAAAGTCAACTCAACCTTTCTTCTTTGCAGCTTCGTAGGAACATCTCTCAGCTCTGCCTCCTTCACAAAATTTATTATGACTGTCTTGAACTTAAAACAGCATTATTATCACCTCCCGATCGAACATCATCTCGCCTCAACAATGACTGTACCATCAAAAGGATCTCTGGCTCAACAAACGCTTTCAACCGATCTTTTCTCCCACAAGCTATCAAAGACTGGAACAGCCTCCCATCCTCCATCGTCACCATCGTAGAACCAAACGCCTTTAAATCAAGTCTTCAATCGCACTTTTTATGTTGTTAACTGTTTACCAACCTTTTCCTGAATGTATTATTTTTTGTCTGTTTTTCCAATGTATAATATGAATGATCCCCCCCTTATGTAATGCCCTCACGGGCCCTTAAGGTTCAATAAATGAAATGAAATACGTTCTTTCTCGCCAGTCACGACCCAAATATAGCCAGAAGTAGATTTGGAGAAAAAAAGTGTAGTTATCTTTAGCACGCGCTTGTAGTTTGTGACTGAACAACATCTTAGTATCTTGAAGAACTATCTCTTTTGCGGTCTTTCTTTTTTCTGCGCAAACGCTTTTAATCGGGCGAATCAAACGTGAAACAACAATACACGCGGAGGGCACTGCGAATGTTTCGTATTTTGATTAGCGCCACCACTCCGCGCTGCGCATGTTTCGTATTTTCATTTGCGCCACTAATTTGGTGTATCATCAACAGTCGAGGCAAAATTTACTGCTGTTTGCGCAGAGTTTGTTTCTGGTTTGCCGGGTACAAACTGAAATATGTCCAGGAACTCTCTGAACCCAGAGCAACCGTCAACGAGCCAGCAATGTGCTAGTGCTACCAAGGATATGAATGTTGATAAAAACAAAGAAGAACTACCATGGCCGGCGTACAGAGAGTATTTTGCTGTGGTGGAGGTGGTTACTAACAACTAGACCGCAGAAAACGGCACTCTAGCTGTTGCCTCAACGCCTACCCGGCAATCAAAAACCTTTCCGGCGAAACAATACGGCAATCCCATCCAGCGCGTTAGACGAGCGCCTGTTCAACAGGGGCAGGGACGTGTTCGTTATCAAAGGGAAAATTTCAGACACTAATTTCGAGAAGCAACGGCTGCTAAGTTACGATATGAAGTAAAAAGCACACTTTTTAATTTTATGCAAATAAACTTGGTGAAAAGCGTTTTCTAGTTTTTCGTAATTTTTTTTTTTGTGTTATAGAAAAGTAACTGAAAAGTAACGTCGTTACTTTTTAAAAGTAGCTGTAACTGTAATGAGTTACTTTCTTGTTGCGGTAACTGTAACGGTAACTTCGCTACTTTTTTCTGCAAGTAACTGTAACTGTAACGAATTACTTTTTAAAAGTAACTTACCCAAGACTGCTTCTGTGGTGAGTAGCCTCAAACTTTACAGTTCTCGTAATAGAACCCCCGACGATAGAAGTCGATTCGCAAAAGATTATACCGGAATCTAGCAACTCTTTGAAGAGGAACCTCTGGGTAACCGCAACAAATTAAACCATTTCACAGTTCCTACCATAATTTTCAATATACAAGTTGCATACTTTTTTTACAAACTTCCGTCGATGCATTTTATGAGACAGTGCGAGATATGTGCATTTTCTTTCATGAGCAAGAACCTCGACTGCGCAAATTTGCCAAAAGGGGGGTCATATTTCTCGTTTGGTTTATTGGCTAGAATGTTGAAACCGGCTCCCGCTTCCGCACATACAGCGACCACAATACACATGCGTGCTTATCGATGCAAATTCACCGTGCTGATTGTAAAAATATATAAGTGCAGCTTATCTTTTAACTTTTTTGTGAAATGGCCATTTACTATAAGGCTTACAGACCATAAAATGTGACAGCTTTCAGCAGGATTCAAGAGTGAGGAATTCCCGACAAGAGGATCCAATTTGAAAGGAGCAGACGGTTTCTCTTAGGTGGTTTCCATTAAAACCTCTGAACAATGCTTTTCGGACGACAGGAACAAACTGAACCCCTTTCTGGTTGGTTTCTTGCAGGGTGCCGACAAAAGGAACTGCCGGTAAGGGGAAACCAACCGGAAAGTTCCCTTCAGGTTTTTAAATGGATTCTACCGCGACATTTTACGGATGCTTCTTCGAAAAACCTACCCCCTGCTAAAAAGCCTGATGGCCCCAATGTGGGTTTCTTTGAAAACTATTTAAACATCTACAGAACTCCGCCCATTCGTTGTTGTTGAGCCCGTACCAACCTGTTGAGGCAGTCGGTTCCGCAGCCTTTCTCGGCTTTTGACTTGGGACGGCCGCAGTTACAGCTCTGGACCTCATACTTCGACACCGGCTTCACGTCCACATACACGTCTGCCACAGAAGAAAAAAAACTGCCATTATACGATTGGAAGGCAATGAAACACAGACTAAAAAGTTTATTTTCCTGCACAAACATAAAAAAATATATATATATATATTTTTTTTAATTAAGCAAATCAGATTTATCTCATTTAAATCACCATAGCTAGAAAGTAGTGACTCTTTTTGGTCTATCAATCTGTATGATCACTGATAACAATGTGAAAGGAAGAATTACTGTGGACTGAAAGTAGTTTAACAACATTTCATTGATGCCATACTAGAACAAAAACAGCTTGATTTTTTTTTTTTTTTAGTTAGCTAAAGAGCTTCATTTTGTTCTTATTTCAAGTTCTGGTTTGCTTGGAATGGGACATTACTTTTTTAGTTTTTGTTCATTTCTTTTCATTTCTGACTTGCTTGCAACAAAACATTAGATAACTGACGAACGAAGTGCAAAGTGTATCGAACATTTGGCCTAGATTGTTCATGCATCGGACACGACGCTCGAAGTAAGTGTAAACACGAATCTTCTAGGAGTATAAAGCAACGTTCCCTCTCGGCCATGCACGCGGAAGTATGGTTGCGTCTCTTTAATATGGACAACACCGTCTCCCCAAAAGTTGTCCATGATGCGAGTTATTTGTAATAATGGGACATGACTGTATACTAATTATGCGCATTTTTGGAACACTTTGCTATGTGTACTTAAAATATCTTTGCAGTTTACTGATAGCTAGGGTTCGGAGTTTTCGGTTTAAACCGATAAAAACCGATAAAAGTACGCCGAATCCATTTTCGGAAATTCTGTTTTAACCGAAAAAAATCAGTTTTTAGGTTTGGCACTTTTTTTTTTAACCGATAAAAGTATGTCGCGTCCATTTTCTAAAATTCACTTTTAACCGGAAAAGGTCACTTTGACCTTCCAGTCGTATCGCAGAGCCGTGGCGAAAAAGTGGAACGACAGTGTCTATCGAAACGTGTCCAAATGTATGGGATACACGGGTGCCATCGCGACGTTTTGGTTTAATGAGCGCATCATCGATCGGAACGTGAAGTCCGAGATGCCCCATAACTTCGCCATGTACGAGCGTGTTTTCAAACTCGTTCTAAGGAGGACTGACTTGATGCAAGCTCTGAATGCTGTGTTGAGCTTCACAAAGTCGCACAGTCTCTCTTTTGGCAGTCACAATGGGTTGATTGGCCGATTTTGGCTCAGGCAGCGCTTCATCTCCTCAGCCTGCCAGTGTACAGTATTAGTGTTGAGAGGGCATTCTCGAACCTTAGGGCCATATTAACAGGAGAGAAAGAGTGCGGATCAACGAGGAGAACCTGGGAACGTACATGTGGGTGTAATATAATAAGATAAAGTTATCCTGATGTACATAAGGTGAAGTCGCATGTTTTTTGGGCATAGGCTTCATATCTGACTTGTTTGTGCTTCTCGGGTTTTTTCTTGTTTCTTTTACAGTTACGCACATTTGCCGAATAAAGTGTCCATTTCTTTTTCAATGTACCTGTGCCATTATTTTTTGAGTGATCACAAATGTCAGAGCTACAAGGATCATAGGATCCGGTGTCCGTCAGTGTTTATTTTATATTCACCGAAAAAAGCCGATAAACTTTTGTGGGCATAAATATACACCGAAAAAAACTGAAAATTAAAGTTTAAAATAAACACCGAAAAAAGTACGCCGAATTTGGAAAAAATAGAAACCGAAAACGCAGATGCCTACTGATAGCACATTAACCACACATTTTTAGTATAGACATCTTAGTTGCCAGACTGGGTCGACGTGTCAACCACAGCGCTAATGCACAAAGTACATCAAAAGTATGCTCTAACGCACTTTATTTTTGCAGGCTTAATATTCTGCGACTTTGGGAAAGTATGGGCCTTGGGAATATTTTGCGGGCAAAACATTTCGCGATTTGAAGTGAAATGCTACGTATCCATTACCGTGAAGCGATACATTCACAAGACCAATCCTTCGCAATATTTTTGAAGTCGCAAAATTAGGCTTTTCGCAAGAATCAGGTCGTTTACAGTATTACAGGCATTGAAAGTATTTACTTCAAGAGTACCTTTTTTGTTTGATAACAGTATGAAACAAGTCTATTTTTTTCTTATGGCTTTTCGGAGGGTAAAGTGCTCCAAATAAATTTGCTTGTAGTGAGTGAGCAAACGACGTTCAAAACAAACGGATTATATAGGTATTGTTATTCGTTAACAATACAAATGTCCGATTCACCCCTTCAAAAACTCGTCGTTCATTGGCTACGGATGGCTGTGACGCGAGTCATCTCGTACTGCCTTTTGAACTACGACACAGAGGGCACTGCGATGCAGACGTTGAGGTGCGCCAATGTCATTCTCCTTTTTCTCATTTAGTGTCACTACATGAAGGCAGAAGGCAGAGTTTTAGAGACTGAGAAACCAACTTACTTGACTTGATTCTTTTGTAGTTATTGACGGGGTCATAGCTGAACAGGAGCTGGAAGGAAAGAAACAAAACATACTGAACAAATAACGAAAACTCATTATGTATAAGCATAATCAGCTACTGCAATTACTAATGTAGACCTTTTGACAAATTACTCATGCACCAAGGAGAACGCTGGAAACATAGGTACACCGCATGACACTGCTGGTGCAAACATGACATTGGCGTTTGTTTTTTTTTTGTTTTTTTTTTCACATTTTACATTGAAAAGCACCAAATTTTACTACTTTAGTTAGTACCACGACTCGGCACTTTTCCGCACTACATAGTTTTGGTGACAGTTGTTTTCCTAGCAGAAAAACAGAAAACTGGTGATGGCTCGTTTGCGCTAACAGTGTTGCGAAGCACACATGCACTGCATGCACTCGCCTCAGCATAAAAGGTTCAAAGTAAACAAAAGAAAAATAAGGTGTTGACACATGCATTATTAAAGTGCCACTTGCTTTAAGATTTCGATTTGGAACTGCAGCACATGCAGGATGTGTAACTACACTTGGAGAAAGCTCCTTGGTGCTTAGGTAATTTAGCAAAAGGTCTATTGCATTCCTCTCTCTAGAAAAAAAACAACAAAGGCAAGGTGAAAGTAAATAGGGAATGGCCGTTAGGCATCTGCTGCGTGCACAGCAGATGCTTAGAGGCCGTTTCTGTTGTCGACGAGTCGAGGAACACTGGACGCGCACCTGCTTGTGCTTGTGCAGCCACCAGATGTCGTAGCAGAGCTGGAAGTCCGCCCGTTTCTGGCGGAGGTACTTTCCGGCGTGGATCGGGGACGGCATCAGCCCGCCGGACTTCTCCTCCGGCGGTGGACTCTCCTCCTTGCTGGGCTCGCTGTTGGTTGCCACGAGAAAGAGAGAGCGCCGGTCAGGGAATGCCGGCAGCGCAGACTCTGAAATCTCCCGAATTTCCACGACCGCCTTTCCCCTAAGTGAAGTGCTTTCACACAAAATGTGTTGTAGAACTGGGTATCGTGAGAAAGGTGACAAATTACGCCCGATCATAACACTGAACAGACGCACAGGTCAATGAACGCTCCCTATAGGGAGCGTGCGGCTGCTGAGTGCACGCCGACAGCAAGTTTCCGCAGTTCTTTTGCAACGTTCATTTCACATCGTCGAGACTGTCGGTCTTAGCGGCCTATAAGCGCAAGCCCGTTCTGAGCACGCGCTGTTATCGGCGAAATCAAATACGACATCCAGTGAATACCCCCTAGGGGCTATAAAGTACAGCCCGCTCATAACAAACCCGGATGTAGTGAAATAACAAACGGATTTTAATTTTTCGTTACCACTTATATACCTGCAATACAATACGGGCCCGCTTTTAACAAAAAAAAAAAGTCAAAAAGCCCGCCACAAATTTACCGAAAAAAGAAAAAAAATGGTACTCGTAATAAATGCAAGAAAAAGCTATTTAAGGTGTATATATCTAGAAGCTAGACACAAGAACAAACAGCTGCGTACCGATAACGCAACTAGCATGCACGCCACGCCTCGTCCGACCAAGGAAGGCCCTCACGATGCTCAGAAAGTTTGCCTTCTCCGCAGTACGCGTGACGTGCACCGCTGCAGATGTCATGGGGGGCATTTAGGCTTTTCGACGTTTCTGTTCCGCATTTTCTTGTCCTCTGGCCAACCATCTCGTGATATGGGCATGTAGGCGCATGTTGGTATATCGGTGTATCCATGAGCGCATTCCTCTTCTGCTTCTCGCCGACCACGAACTTCTCTCAAATCGCTCGCCGCACCTTCCAAATTTCACCACCTCGCTTGTTTCTCTCTCCGACTACAAACTTGCACCAAAGTATCTCTTGGCAAAGACGCGGACCGCCCACCTCGCACTGGGACCACGAAACTCTGCCTGACTAAATCTGTCGTGCAAAGGGGAGGGTCGACTTACGATCACATAAATACGGTACTTCGCCAGTGCCCAACAGGTTGGACTTGGACAGAGCCTTTTCTCGCACTTCAAAGCAATTCAGCAGGCGATCATAAAGGCCAGTGAAGGCGTACGTGATGCATATAGTCACGGATCAACGGCTGCTTTCATGTGGAATATTTCTTGTTTTAGAGCGCAGCTCTTAGGGGCCCGTTCCCGGCTTGAGCGGCGTCGGCGTCGGCGTAACCAAGGTCATCCCAAGGTCACGTGGCACCCAATGTCATCCCAAGGTCACGTGACCCCCCTGAAGTCACGTGACCCCCCCCCCCCCCCCCCGAGGTCACGTGACACCCCCCAGGTCACGTGACCACCCCCAGGGTCACGTGACCCCCGCCGAGGTCACGTGACCTCCCCGATGACGTCATCGATGACGTCACCGGCATCCGCATCGTCATCATCACTGATGACGTCATCAGTGATGATGACGATGACGATGCGGATGCCGGTGACGTCACTGATGACGTCATCAGTGATGATGACCATGACGATGCGGATGCCGGTGACGTCATCAGTGACGTCACTGATGACGTCATCAGTGATGATGACGATGACGATGCGGATGCCGGTGAGGTCATCAGTGACGTTACTGATGACGTCATCCGTGATGATGACGATGACGATGCAGATGCCGGTGACGTCATCAGTGACGATGACGCCATCGGGAAGGTCACGTGACCTCGGCGGGGGTCACGTGAGCTGGGGGTGTCACGTGACTTCGGGGGGGCATCCGCATCGTCATCATCACAGATGACGTCATCAGTGACGTCACTGATGACGTCACCGACATCCACATCGTCATCGTCATCATCGCTGATGACGTCATCGGAGTCCGCATCGTCATCGTCACTGATGACGTCATCAGTGACGTCACTGATGACATCATCGGCATGGTCACGTGACTCCCCAAGGTCACGTGACCCCCCCCGGGTCACTTCACCCCCCAGTACCCTTCCCTCCTCCTCCTCAAGAGCTGCGCTCTAATTCGGTGTTACAGGGAGTTGTAAACGGCTTTCACTTTTTTTGCTTTTAAGGTTACATTTAGCGAAAAAACAAATATAGCGAACTGATTTAAGATTTTTGCTGCATTCGTTATAAGCGGGCTGTACAGTATACATGTTTTGCAAAACGCCTTCCGGACATCTAGAAAAGACACCTTGTGGGTGTCTCTCGTAGCCTGGGATATCTACGACTCATTTTGGACAAGCTAGAGGACGGCCACAAGACATTTCGAGCATCTCGGTTTGTGTAATGTCTCGCCAAGATATCTGCCGGACATCTTGCCAGGATACTTTTAGATCTCTCGCAGAGCTGTCTTACGTCTAGAAAGACGTCTCGCGGACGTTTTGCGTGGTCTAGGACGTCTACGGCTCATTATAGTCAAGCAAGGAGACGGACAGATACATGACATCTCAAAATGTCTTTGTTTATATAGCGTCTTGCCAAGATGTCAGCAGGACATCTTGCTAAGACACTTTACAGACGTCTCACAAAGTTGTCTTCTAGACGTTTAGAAAAAAGTCTTGAGTATGTCTTGCTTAGCCTGAGACACCCATAGCTCATTCTATTGCTGGTGACATGATATGCCCCAGTAGCAGCTCCACCTGCACTCACTCCTTCTCTTTGACCGGGATATGGCTGCTCGAGCGACAAAGCGTTATAGAGAGTATTCACCAGATGCCATGCTTGAGTGCACTGTTCACCGGGCATGCTCAGAAAGAGCTCACGCTTATAGGTTTCCAAGACCAGCAATCTCGACGGTGTGGAACGCACGTTGCAAAAGAACCGTGAAAGATTGCCATCAACACAAGCTGAACAGCTACGCATTCAGTTATGGCCGCCAGCAAACACCCCCTGTAAAAGGCAAAAACTGGCGCTCAAGGCGGAGCATCTACCAAGTTCTTAAACCGTCACCGACCATAGGTTTCTCGGAACGTCTTGCGCTCGGGGGATGTGAGGCCCGCACGTGCATTTTACGTGTCTGTGTGTGAACGTGCCCTACGAGCAACAGCAGAAGCGAGGCAAGCATGGTTCGGCATAATTCAACGAGCGGTACCGGAGCGCAGCCCGGGCATTGTTAGCAGCCTGCACGGAGCCGGGCACGGTGCAGGCAGTGGTTAGTCGCATGCCGTCCGGTGAGGACTCCCACCGCACCAAAGCACTGAGAGGGAGAAAGAGAAAGAGAGAGGAAGGGGAGAGGGGAAGAGACGCCAGGCTCAGCACGCTGCCACGGGCAGGCCTACACGCCGCTCCGTCTGCCTCTAGAGGTTGGTTTGCATGCTTCCGTACGAGAGAGTTTGAATGCGCTGTGCTCGCTTGCAAAAGTTTCGCATAGGCGAAGAATGGCGTCGACACTGCGCATGCGCTGAACGCTAACCGAGTTTTGCACTTTGCGGATGCTATTTTTGCATGTGGTGATCAAAAACGGCGCAAAAGACAAGGACAAAAGAGGAACATACCCAACAGGACGAGCGCTAGTACCGTCGTGTATGTTCCTCCTTTGTCTTTTGCACTGCTTTTGATCGCCATGTACAACAACTACCAACTAGCTCAACTTTCATCTTTATGGCGCTATTTTTGCGTACACTATTTCTGAAAAATTGTGCGCGTCCACTAAGGGTCTTGCATTCCTGCAAGGAGTCATGATGCACGAAAAAGTGGCTAAAGCCGGGACAAGCGCAGTTAGAAAATAGCACCTCCCGTGTCCGCGGCTGTGGCTGCTTTGGCAGTTGTCGTGAGCGCGACGTCAACGGCCTCCTCACAACCCCGATTTTCTATACGGTATGGCACTGCACTCCTACAAAAGGTGAGCTCCACGAACGGTTGGCAAAGCCAACAAGGTAAGCAAGGATCACAGACAACTTGCTGCTCGCAACGTGTAAACGGTTCTCAGCAAAGGTCAGTACTCAAGACCTTTTTTGAACAGGCGACGCAAGTGGAGACGACCAACCGACCGCTCGTGTCGCATTCTCATATTTGAGCAAATCTAAAAATGCTTACTCATGTCTGAATAGCGGATTTCGAGTTTGAAGCGAATTCGAAGCAAACAGTTGTTTTCGCCGAATATTTCTGAATGGGCTATTTTGTTATTTGCAGCTACTTTTCTTCCATTCCACCAAGTTTCTAACTTCATAGACCGAATAATTTTTTTCTGCAACACATGGTTAAATATGCAAAGCATACAATGTTGAGGAAAAAAATTACAGGAAAATATATTGGTGGATTCTTCGATATGTGTTAGCATGACCCTTGACAACTTTACACACGTCCCCCTTTGGGAAATGCTAACGCTGGCCCCTTGACTTTTTTCTTTTGGCTTTCTCTTTTGCTTCCTCTATTCTTTGCTGCCTTTTTTTGGCCTTGTTACGGAGTCATTGTTAGCGTTTGCCAAAGGGGGGTGTGTGTGGCATTTCCCAAGGGTCATGCTAAAGGATTCCCCAAGAATCTATTAATGGATCTTCCAGTAACTTTTTTCTCCTCCCTATTTTGGTACTCTGCCTGTCAAAGTATGTCGATGCCCTTGGATACGGTCATCCATGTCGCTCGTGGAAAAAACCACATCCATACCACTCATGAAAGGAACCGCATTTATGTCACCCGTGGAGGGAACCGCATCCACCGTTTTAACTACACACACATCACAGCCCACGCACCATTACTACGGAAACCCAGAGGGAAGAACAACCGGCGACAGCAGAGTGAGCACGGCTGCACTCCACCATGCCACGGCACAACAGCTCCTAGATAACAAAGCCGTCGTGCTGAATGAGATGGCATCATCAGAGAAGGCCGACGCTGGGCAGATTGGACATGACGACTGCGTCAACGTTCGGCTCAGACTTGACTCGAAGCCGAGCACTGACGCAGCACGTTTCCACCTTCTCTGATGACACCATCTCATTCAGCACTACGGCTTTGTTAACTAGGAAGTGTTGCACGGTACCTCTTCCTCTCTGGCTCCGTGCAGCTGTGCGTGTGACTTTGCCGAAAACGAAAGGGCTCGTTTTGATGAAAACCCGGCGGTGTCTGTCAGTTTGTCAGCGCCAGGGAGAGAGGGAGATGTTGACGCAAACTCACGTCAGCACTTCGAACCAATGGGAGCGTCGCACACGACAACTGAAACCACCGCGTTTTCGTTGAAACGAGAGAAAACGAGAAACTTTCAGGAATAGGCAGAGGTGGACTTAGCATCGTGCCACCCTAAGCAGTTTTTTACAGTGCTTCCCCCCCCACCTTCCCCCCTGCTCCCCATGGTCAGTGACCACAGGGGGGAAGTAACTAAGCTTGGAGTTAAAGTTTACAAAACTGGCTAGAATTACCAAAATAGCTAAATTCAAAGCTAGATTTAAAAAAGAAAAGGGTCAATTATTTGTAGGCAGCCACAAATTGGCCGCCTCCAATATTCTGCCACCCTAAGCAGCTGCCTACTCTGCCTATTGGAGAGCCCGCCCCTGAGAACAGGCATATAAAATGCAGCAAAGTGGTAAGTTGGGCCAGTTGGCTCATATTACAATACATAAAAGTGCCCAAACCAAACTAAAGGCGCACTAAGGAACTTTGTAGTGAAATGAACCATCTATTGAAATGTGCAGAGTTCAACAAGGGACTTCATTTAGACATTTTCTTTTCTGCAAAGACACTTAAAACAGATGTTCCCTTTAGGGTGATTGTAACGGAGAGGGGATCTTGGCAGTCCCACATGTCCGGCTTCCTCGCCAAACATCTCTCAACTTTGGAATTGCATGACCCTTACTTAATTAGAAACTGGGAAACAATTGTTGAATATTTGAAGGCTGATGCTCACGAGATGCATTGTGCTTTACCTTTACACGTGGAAGGTCTTTCTTTACTCCATTCCGCACAATTATCTTTTTTCAGTGCTTAGAAAATGTGTAGAGCCAAACGGCAAAGTGTCATTCGTGAACTCCAGCGGGATCAGAGCAGAGTTTTCTTGAGCTTCTATTTTTTAATTATCGCATTTGTATGTTTTCTTTGAAGGGGACATGTACGTCCAAAAGGACATTTGTATTGGGTGTTGTGTCGCGCCGATGCTGTGCAATATATTTGAAAGTAAATGTGACAACGCCATTGCTGAGAGGTTGGGGATCGACAGCAAGATGAAGATTTTTAGTTATGTTGTCGACTACCTTGTGTTTAGCGATATGGCAGAGCGATCGCCGGACGACGTTGTACTTGAAATGCTCAATGTGTTTGGCTCATGCTCCAACAGTTAGAGATTTACTCATGAGAAGCTCGTAAAAGGGACACTGCAGTCCCTGGAGTTAAAACTATGCATTCTGGAGGGCCACGTATGTTGGGTGTATGAACCAAAGTCAAAGAAGGTCATCCTGCCATTCGAGTCCGCTCACTCAAAAATATTCAAAAAGGGCCATTGCTAACACGTGTCTGGGGGAATCCTTAAAAAGATGTTGCGAACATTCTGTGCAAGACAGTTTTAATTTATGGACTCGCACCTACAAAAGACAGGTTTCCCACAAAGCTGCCTGGCTGAGGTCGCGGAAAGATTGTTACAGAATTTCAAAAGGGCAAAACAACAGGCAAGAGAAAAGCCTAAAATGAGGCCGACAATTATTCCTTACTTGAATGCCATGTCCCATAATTTAAGAAAAGTTGCACAGTTTTTTTAAAGTTCCTGCAGTATCCTCAGCTCTCGATAAAATGGTATGTCTGTGCCACAGAATCAATAGACCCCAGCCAACTAAAGAGCAGTGCAACATAAAACACTGGACCAAATATGCTGTGTGTGCCATGTGTACATTGGCATGACGGGTAGGTGCGTCAATGACCGTGAACGCAAACATGCGGCAGCCATGAGAGCAAGCCCTTCTGGTAATCTCGCCATCCATTGTAGTCGTTCATGCTCACCAGTTCTGCATGTTGAGATTCTAGCGAAATATTAAAAAAAAAGGTGTGTTGAGAAATCCACGAGGCATTTGAGATTAGGGCAAAAGGAAATGAGTGTGTCAGCGAACCCTCCCTCACTCTTTCAGGAAAAGAGTGATTTTATCAAGACTTCATCGGTTGTTGTGACGAATGAGCAGTCTACAACGGCATTTGTTACGTGTTTTTCTAAATAAAATTCAGTTGCGAGTGCGCCTTGTGCTGTTTCCACTCTTCTTTGTCCCTGTCATTTTGGGAGCTTTTATATATTTGCATATAAAATGTTTTAATTTATCTATTGTTCAATACCTGGCGGCCACACATTGAACACTGATCTTCAATGTGTTGTAAAACCACAAATAACGGTTCAGTCTCAAAAGAAAATCCGACATTGTATTCTTTATATTTTTCAATATCTAGACACGTATTAAACAATTATTTGTTGCACAGTTTTTTTCCTACTGTCCTTGCACACAAAACCAAGGCAAGTTTTAGTTATCTTAAGGAATAATCTACTGGTCGAAAAAATAACCAGATATTTTAATTGATCAATGGAAACTGCAGAAGCATGTGTAGTTCCCTTGAGCTTGGCCAAAACTTTAAGAAATAAGCTCAAAGACCAGTGTTCCCCCGTTAAAGCCCAGCTGAACTCATAAAGGTAGTTCCCAAGATTCCATTTGTCCACATCTAAGCTAATTTTAATAGGGCAATATTAATGGACTGTGGCTTCAAATAATCCACTGATCACATTTGAATAGCAAGTAAACAATGCATTTCACATAAAATTAATCCTAAAGAGATGTCCAACTACAGTCAAACCTCGATATATTGAACACGGATATATAGAATTATTGCCTATATCGAACGCTTTCTATATCATGCGGAAGATCGCATGCATTTTTTATTTTTTATTTCGAACGGGGTCAGGCACAAAATGGATATATCGAACTCCGCCACCCCAAACAGCCCGCGCTCTTATGACAGGCGGCGAGCTTTCCCGCAACACCCTTGAAGATAGCGGTGGTGCAATGGGCGTTTCCGACTGCCTACACAGATGCCGAGGGCGCCATTTAATTGTAGCGGCGCACGCACGCCGCCGCCTGGATAGTTCGTCGCAACGTCAACGACGCACTGCATTTGCCGCACCGACTCCTCCTCCTCGGTATTATCGGTAGTGCTACGCGTGTGATCGTAGTTCTTTCGTGTCTCGTGTTGCCTTGCGTGAGTGATGGCTCCAAACGCTAAAAAACGGACGTCCCTGACATTTGGTGCAAAACTGGAAGCTATCCAGCGGGTTGAGAATGGAGAAAAAAAGTCGAGTGTCGCCGAAGCTTTAGGCCTACCAAGAAGCACTTTGAGTACTCTACTGAAAAACAAGAGTGACATAAAGGCCAAGGCAGAACAGAACCAGCACTCAGGCGCGCGGCGTGTACGCAAAGCTGCCTTTGAAGATGTTGAGAAGTCGCTGCACAAATGGTTCATCGACGCAAGGGCCCGAAATATTCCTGTATCCGGACCGATGTTACAACAGAAGGCCAAGAACTTTGCGTCAAGCAGGCGACAGTAGCTAACTGCTTTCGGCATGCAAGCTTCGTTGGCCGCACTGAAGAAGCTTCAGAGGAAGCAACCAAAGAAGCAGGAATGGACGGTGCAGAGGAAGAATGCGAGCTCAAAGAAACCTGGAGCAAGTTGAAGTGCTTTGTTGGTGCTGAGCCCCGAAGCATGTGCATTGATGACTTCGTTGGCGGTGACGACACCACCGGAACAACGGCGGAGTTGACGGACGTGGAGATCGCAGTGGAAGTTACAGCTGAGCGGCCAAGCGAAGACGTTGCCAAAGTTGATCCCGCAAGCACTGATGGTGCTCCGCTCCCGACTTCAACTGAGGCTGTAGCTGCTTTGGCCCTTCTACGCCGCTACTGCGGCGCAATAGAAGGCACGGGCTTATCGCTTGTTGATTGTTTAAACTACGTTGAGGATGCCTTAGTTAAACACGCCTTTGCAAACAAGAAGCAGGCTACCCTGCAGCAGTAATTTCAGCCAAAATAAATACTTTGTTTGAAGCTTCAAGTGAGTATTTACTGCACCACGGTTGGTTCATTGATTGATTTGTACAGTGGGGTATTCTTTTTTTTTATTTTCCCTTATTTTAATTCAGCCTTGGAGTGCAAGATTTCCCAGCTCCCGCAAGCTGAGCGGCACGGCGGCGCGACGTAGCAGACGACACGCGGCTGCTCCCGCCTCTGCGGTCGGTCGGTGCGCATGTGCCGCCTGTCGGTGCTTCGCGGAGCGCGACGGCCACGCGCGTTTAACAAGTTTTTGACGTGATTTGATATATCGAATTCTGGCTATATCAAACTATTTCGCCATCGCCGCGCAGTTCGATATATCGAGGTTCGACTGTATACCTAAGTGAGGAGATCTGTAAACCTTCTTGCTATATGCAAATATCCTTTCTTAAATCTCGAATTTGAGAAAAGAAAAACAGAAGACAATCGGGAATAATGAACGCAGGTTGCCAGGAAATCTCTGCCTGACACTTACTCTCGCATAATAGCCAGAGTTTAGTTTTGAAGCTTTTACTGTAATGTCAACATTCACAAAGCTTTTGTTTCTTTTTAAATGCACCAAGTGCGTGAGTGCGCCACCCCGCTTTTAAAGTGGGCTTTCATCCTAAGCATGTTACAGGAACACTCTTTGTATGTTTCGAAGTGTTGACCGCGGCAAGTTAGCGCCATTGAGCACACTTCTTGCCAGGCACCGGTGCACTGCAGAGAAGCAACACCCGTAGAAGCGAGCCCCGTGGGTGTTGCTTCTCCGCAGTGCACCGGTGCTCCGTAAGAAGAGTGCTCAACAGGGCTAACCCGTCGCGGTCGACAGTTAAAAAAATATGAATATCGGAGTTAAACTTGAAGCGAATATCAAACAGCATGTTGTTTGAAACTAGTATAGAAACATACGAATATCAGAGTTAATCTCAAAGCGAATATTGCATTATTCGAAACTATAATTTGAAAATTTGAATATTCGCAGAAAACCAAAAAAACTTACTCTGGACCAAAATCTTCTTTTTTCTGAAGTTACAGCATTTTGTGTGTGAAATAACAATTGTCTCCGTATTCCCGGTGGCGTTGCAAGTGCGAGATACTTGGGTTTTGCGTTGTGGCGGTAGGACGCTACTCTAAAACTCTCTCGCATATCGTGCCCCAACGCAAACGCTAAATTTAGCGCTATCTTGCGCTAAAATTGCGTACGTTATTTTAAAACTCTCTACTGGCACACTGAGGCCATCTATCAGCGAGCCCTGGAAACACATTTAATCCGCGTACAAGCTTTTGCGGTATTTGCAAAATCCAAGTCTATGCACCATGTGCAAGAAATGGTTGCTTATAACACTGTCGGAATTATTTCAACCACACAGCAAAAGAATGATCGTAAACGAATTAGAAAACATCTATGCGGACCAGAAGTGTTCCAGAGCTACGCAACAGATGGCACCATCCCATGTCGTAAGCGATTACAAGCGTGCACGGTGCCCTCAATCACACACAAACACGGCTGTGTAAACCAGCCTTAGGTGCAAGCATGGCAGAAGCTACAAGAGCAAGCGAAAAGCTTTCGGCGTCGCTGCCAAGCACACGCACTCATGCAGCGCAAACGTTGCTCAGGGCAACCTCCTTGTGCTTGTAGCTTTGGCATCGCTCACGCATAATGACAATTGGAATGCAACGTTAAAGTCTGCGATGTGACGCATTCTGAGGAAGGTAGAGAGCTCGCGTGAGAAAACCCTCGATAATAAACACAGTTTGAAGTCGTATGAGCATTCAGACGGGCGAATTTTCCGTCTAAGGACATGTTGGTCGAATCGAATGAGGCCAGTGAACTGTCATGACAGCTCGGCTTCGGAAACCCAACGTGCGTGGGCACTCAAAATCCTACGCCATTCTGAATAACGTGCAACATTTTTGACGAGAACCATGGTTTGACAAAAGGAGTGCCTGTTTTTCATGACAATGTCTCTCGTGATTAGATTCCTGTGTACCGGTTCAGCTATGGTTAAAATTCGGTTCAGCTCTTGGTAGGGAGGACAGTGTTACACTCGAACCGGGACAAATAAGTTCTTTTTGTTCCAACACAACCCTCTGAAAAGCTGTTCGATTCAATCATTTTCTCTGCTCTAAACTGTTCCAACCCAGCGCAAACTTCATAAATTAGGCAAAGCAAGAAAAGCTGCTACCTTGTCATTCTTGTGGCAAACTCGAAAGGTGCCCAATCGCCAATCAACGAGCTACGAATGCAACCAATGATGGGGCAGCAGCAAAGTCCCACTGTTAGCGGTAGCTCTAGCACAAATGAGCCACCAAGCAGCAGAAAGGCAACAACTACACTTACTTGAGGTTGAGTGAACTGAGCTGCTCGGGTAGAGTTGCCTCCGTCGTTGAAACCTCGGCAGCATCCTTACTCTGAGAGGACGTCCTAAAACGTGAAAAACGAAAAAAAACTATCACCATCCGCCAGCTCTCCCGCAAACTCACCGTATTTTAAACAACGATGTCACAGTGTTGCAGTCCCGTGTGGGAGTGTTGGATGATCGGAAAAGAAGCCTTTTGCTTCACAGTCCATTGAACACTAGCTTCATTCTATTCACCGGCACCACCTGCACCGGTGCAGAAAAGTGTAGGGCAGTGTACTTCCAGTACGTGTATTGAGACACGACCAGAAAAACACCATCCTACACTTTTCTGCACTGGTGCAGAAGGTGCACGTAAATCGAACAAAGCTACTGGTCACACCGATGATACCAACATCTTTAAAAGCCTTTGAAGGTGTTAGAACAAAGTGTGACCAATTTGTATTAGCCCCACCAATATAAGACAACTTATAAAACATTCCACATGGGTAAGAAGAAAGAGGGGAAATAGAACCGCAACGTCTGGGCAGTTGCAACGGTGCAGCCCACTGGAACAGCCAAAATGTTGAAAGTGACACGTTTGTCGTCTGCTATGCCCTTTCCCTATTCTCCCCTGCCAAATCCCTTGGGAGTGGCGGGTTTGTCGTCTGCTATCAAGATTGGGCATGTGCCCTTTCCCTCTTCTTCCCCACCGAATCTGCTGAGAGCGGCCAGTTTGTCGTCTGCTAATGGGATAAGGCGCATGCCCTTTCACTCTTAAGGCACATTCACACTGAGCAGAAAACGTGCGTTGCGGTCCACGTCGACGCCAGCGTCGTAAAAGACAAAGCAGTCACACAGGGCCACCCGACGGCGGCGTCTTCTCGTGGAACCTCGCATCTGTCGAGAAAACACTAAATTTTTTTATTCGTCTGCTTCGTACGATTGTTGTTACTTTGCCTTCGCGACTGCATATGCAGTGGGAGACAACCGTCTTCACTGAATTTACAACGGCAATGATTATATATATGTTTATACTCCGACTATATGCAGCATTGGCAAAAAGCATGGACTCGAGCGGGCAGCTTCAGAAGGTGCTCTTTTGCCGCGTTTTTGTGCAAACAAAGCACGGTGCTATGCCAGCGCGTCCGTACCTTCAACACTGCCCGCAGCTTGTGCAAGAGTGTTTTCGATGGAGAACTGTTGTATTCCGTAGTGGTGGGTGCACACAAAGACTACACAACAGATTCGGAGTGATTGCTCCCGCACAGTCGGAGGTCGAAACTTACCGCGAACTTTGGTGGCAGCTTTTGTGCAAACGATGAAGAGTAGTTTCATGGCGTCATACACGCACATAAAACACTGCTCACAGTCAGATGTTCCAATCGGCTTGCTTCTTTCCACGCTGAAATGCTACCAGCCACGTTTGGCGAGTGCACGAATCCCCCAACCCCTCTGCCTTTTCACCCTCATTGTGGGTCAAAAATAAGAACAGCAAAAACATGTCCTAACAGGAAAAGGGCGACACGTCAAGTCCGGAAGCTCGCCGATTGGCTCAAGCACGCGCGTCGAGGGAAAAATTGGGTTCTTAGGCATTGTCTCCCTGCGTCGTCCTCCTCGCCGCGCGACTTTTTTCAGTACGAAATTAAGCAAAAAATTTACCCACGACGCACGTCTTTCCGCTGTGTGAATGCGCCTTTATTCCTCGCTGAATCCGTTGAGCGCACCCGGTTTGTCGTCTGCTATCAAGATCAGGCACGTGACCTTTCCCTCTTTTTCCCTGCTGAATCCTTAAGAGAGCGGCCGGTTTGTCATTTGCTATCGTGATTGGACATGTGCCCTTTCCCTCTTCTTTCCTGCCAAATCCGTCAGTTGCGGCCGTTTTGTCGTCTGCTATTGGGTTTTGGGTGCCCTTTCTCTTTTTTCCCTTGCCAAATTCATTGAAATGCCCGGATGTATGCACACCACACTGCAGTTGAACAAAATGGTGCCAACCAGAGAGCCCTCGATGAAATGATCTACGGTCACTGACGGGATGAGGACGGCAGGGAGTCGTTCAGTTGTCCCGCCTCCAGCGCAAGGTCCTATCTTCGATAACACATCAGTGTCTCGTCAGTTTCGAGCATGCACGTGCACCCAAAGTACGGCGGAAGGCAACATACTTTTGGGACTGAATTCCGAGCCCGAAGTATAATCTACGGGGCGAATTTCGGTTGAAAGAGAAAAGAATTTCTCTATACTTCGTGTCAGTTTAAGTCCAGCTGCAGCGGACGCTACGAGCGACCAATGAAGAGGCGTCAAAAGCGCAAGTCACTAGGCCTTTCCTGTTTATGATTGGTTCAGTGATGATAGAACAGATACAAAAACATGACAAACACCATGATGGTACGCTTTGGACGTTGTCTGATTGGTCCCATTAGCTTGTAGCATCAACAGCGTCTGGACTTGAGGTGAAACGAAGTATAGTCCGCACATAAAATATTCTCGTACAAAGCCCACTTTGACAACTGCCTGCTTTTTAGCCAGACATAAATCATCACTAGCATACAGAAGGCTCGCAATAATTCAAACTCATATATTTCATACTTCCGGTTAATTCAAAGAAATTGAAAAGCTTTTGGTTGTCCCGCTATGTTTGCAATGCATTTATAAGTCACTTAATTCGAACGGCATTTTCGTTAATTCATACTTTCTGTTCTCGCAGCCCGTTGAGCACCGGTGCTCGCTAAGAGGTGTGCACAATGGGGTAATAGTCCACAATAGACAACTGCTTTGTTGGATGAAAGAACTTGATTTTGCTTTGAGGTGTCACGTGTTGTCTAAACAGTCCGCAATCTTATACATTTCACCGGTGTTTCATGTGTGGCATACCTGCTTATGATTACGTAGCATGCCTGCACAGAAGAGATCACCAAATATCTGCTGAGTATGTGTAGCCATCCAAATATAATAAATCATAATTTTATCAAGCGTGATATTTAGATCAATTTCTGATAATTCAAACTTACGAGAATTCAAACAAGATTCGTGGATTTCGGGGGTTTGAATTAATGAGAGTCATTCATTAAATCCATCACGTCTTGTCTTAACAAACGATTTAGAAAAGCAAACCCTCGTATAGTCCGCACCGCATTAAATTTCAACTTTCAGACATGTATAGACCATGGACTATAGTCCACAAACAAAAGTACTTATGTGTAATTTTCTGTTTAGTTTTCTACTCTGCTTTGAAATACCTAAAGCTCTGAGAGTACTGTAATAAATAAACAAATAAATAAAAAGAAAATAAAAGTGCATTAAAAACGTGCTAATTCCACTCACCCGTCCTCCTTGAAAGAGCTCGAGTAGAGCCCAGCCTTGAGGTACTTCTTCTTGGGCAGCTGGTGCTCTCGCCGCCTGCGCCGCCGCGTGCCGTGCTGGGCGCCGCCGCCGCACGACGGCTTGGTCACCGTCACGACCGGCGTGTTCTCCGGGAGCGGAGGTCCGCTGGGCAGACGCAACGAAAAGTCGGAGGGCACCGAGAAATCGGGACGACGCTTAAAGCCCGCTTCAGACGGGGCAACTTTCTCAGCGATGCTGGGGTTGCTGGCGGGTCGTTCCCTAGCTTTCCCTAGATCAACACGAATTGCTGAGATCGGGTCCGGCTCGAAACAAACGAGCAACTAGGAGCAACGCGAAGTCGTCTGAAGCGGCAGCAGCCAATCAGGGACGCGATATTTTCACGCGATGCCCCGTGCGGGCGATGATAACAACTAAAGACACTTTTCTGGTTTGAAATCGATCGTTCCTGGAAATAAAGAGTTTCAGAAAGATGAGTTGGCCTTTTCAACGACATTTAAAGTTTTAAAAACATCTTTATAGCCCATAAATGCGTGTCTAAATAGTAAAAAAAAAAAAAAAAAAATTTAATGATGACACGGTCGGCTCAAATTCCTGGTGCTGCGACGTCGAGTTCCTGGAGAAATTGTCCCGTTTGAAGCGGGCCTAAACGAACAGTTTTCTCTTGGCATCAAACCTAAAAAATTTAGTTAAATTACAGTGCCAAGAGCCCATCACCGAACGGTGCGGTTATTGCGTCTTCAAAAGTCGACCCTCAATTTCCGCCTGACGACGTCGGAGAAATGTCATGCGGTAGGCGATACCGCCGAGACCGGTTATAACGAAGTCGGTTATAACAAAATAGCGACAACAGCGAAGCGATCACAATTTCCCATTCCCTTCTGCATTTCGTTATAACAGAAGTCGGTTATAACGAAATAGCGGATAAACCGAAGTGATTTCCGATTCCCGTTGACTTCATTATAACCGGTTTCGACAGTACGAAGAGAATGGCGGAGTGGTCTGGAGCACGAGCATCCTATTTTCAGTAACGCTTCGTTGTCTCGCAAGCCTTGTTTGTGAAGGCGCCGTCTGCTAGTCGTAGCGATGGCTATCCTACCTCTTGTAGACCTGTCAGAAATCCGTCGGTTCTTTATGATCGAGGATTCAGCCTCTGAGAAAGGGGAGAGGAAATACTTCAAAGGGCACATTGCTTTTTGTCGAGTAGGTAACAGCTGAGGAGCAGGACTTTGTTGCACACATTATCACCCCCACTCACCATCTCTCCTCTCTCGGCGAATTCCTTCGTACACATTTTGATTAACTTACAGGCCGTGTGAAAGTGAGACGTCTATGCAAATAATTTGCAGATATTTAGGATTTCTGGAGCCATAAAAAGACGAGTCGAAAGTCATTTTAGTGCGCCGGTACAGTGTTGCGTCATAATAAACATGGTGTGTACTACAACAATCCTTTCGATGGAAGAAAATTATCCATACCCATTGATTGGCGAAGCAGCCTTGTGCGAAGCGCTGTCCAGCTTGCATTTCTTTTTGGGTGGCTTGCTGCCGCCAGCCACACCGGAAGCAGACGACGTGGCAGACGATGTAGACGCGGCATCGGACGACGCAGCAGCAGACAACGTTGGAGTGGACGTAGGAGCGGATGCTTCTTTCGACTTTACGGCTTTCTTCTTGGGATGGACGACTTCCTTCTGAGGTGCTTCTTTACGCTTGGCTGCGGCCACAGCTATGGCTTCGACTTTCGCTTTGGCTTTCCCTTTGGCAGACGGCACAGAGGCGACTTTCTTGGCACGGGCCACCACGGCCTCGATTGCTTCGGCAATGGTGTCCACGACTGCGGCGGCGGGCTTGGCCAGGTCGGGAGACGAATCCGGTGCCGGATCCGGAGCCGGAACTTTGGCTAATTCCACCTCCGTAGCAGATTCCTTCATTGCGGGCTCTGGTGAAGCTGCCAGAACACAATATGCAATAATGATTTCTTGACAAGCATTACATGCTGCAACCTTTGCACACAATTTACCTGAGGACAGTGACTGCTAGGAACTTAGTAGATGCTCTGCCTCCAGTGCGAGCGTTCTGCTTTTGATAACAGTTTGTCACAAAAGGCCAAAGCCCAGCTGAAGACAACAAGTGAGTGGTGGAGGCAGAGCTTCTGCTGAATTCTTAGCCTGTCACTGACTATAGGTTGATATTGTTCTTAGTGGTTGCTGCCATCCTCCAACATATGACTGTCACTTTGGAGTCATAAATTTAGAATGTTGATATGGAGTTACATGCATCCCAAGCGATTCTGTACTCATCACCATTTAGTATGAAATAAAAGTTCTGTAACATTATTTTAAAATGCATTAGATACAGGAATAGAACACAATGTAAAACATTTAGGATCAATACCTCAGTTCAGACGTGTTAGTTTTGTTGATCCCCAAAACAAACCAACCATAATCAACGAGGGTAAAAGTTTCCTACGAAAATGCGCTGTACAAAAATAAGCTTTACAGTGATACACATAGAAAAATGGCCTTCTCACCTGCTTTCTTTTCAATGGCCATTTTCTTGGCAGGCTTGCACACAATTTTCTTCTTGCGGCCTTTCCTCCTGCCTCGGCCCTTCACGGATTTCTTGCTGGCCACCTTGGCCTTATTACACGGCACAACCTTCTTGGCGAGTTTTTGTTTTCCCTTCTTTCCGACCTTCTTGCACGCTTCAGGTTTTTCCTTTTTTGGTTGGTCGTCTGCATCTGGAAGGCTGCTTCCTTCGAGCTTGTCCTTTGCTTCAAGCTTGCCCTCTGCTTCAAGCTTGCCGTCTGCTTCAAGTTTGTCGTCTGCTTCAGGTTTGTCGTCTGCTTCAGGTTTGTCGTCTGCTTCAGGTTTGTCGTCTGCTTCAGACTTGTCGTCGGACTCTGACCTTCCCTCTGCTTTGGTCTTGTGCTCGGCCTCCAGCTTGTCATCTGCAACGACGCCATATAGCTTGTCCTTGTCATCAACTTTGCAGTCTAATTCAGCCTCTACTTTCTCGTCGACTTCGGGTTGATGCACGCCCGTCTGCACGGAGCCAACATCCTCGGCCGCATCATCTTCCTTCATCGACATGTCTTCGCAAGAATCCTTCTCCTCCAAATCAAATTTGTAGTCGGATGCCGCCACAGCAGCCGCCACGGGAGCCTTCTGCGCTGCCACCCTTTTCCGCTTGACCTTCACAAAACCTGTCCTGTTCCTCATCTTCCGCTTTCTGTGCCTCTTCCCCATCTGAGCTGGGTCGTCTCCCGCAGGGGACGCCTCATTCTGCTTTTCCTTGGACCTCCTTGCCCTTTCGACAGCCTTCAGCAGCTTCTGCTGCTTCTGCTTTAGCAGCGAGATCTTCTTTAGCGGGTTGTCTGGATCACTGTCGTCCTCCACCAACGTCACAGCCTCGCTGTCGTCGCTCCGCCGTGCCTCTTCGGCAGCGTGCTGAGCAAGCAGGGTGGACAGCGGAAGGTTGTCCTCATCGTCTGCTAGTGCCTCCTCCAACGTGGCTTCTGGTGTGGCTTCCGACGTGGTTTCAGCCGTGGCTTCTTCTGTGGCTTCTTCCGTGGCATCTCCAGTGGCTTCTTCCGTGGCATCTGCCATGACTTCTGCCGTGGTTTCTGCCATAACTTCTGCCGTGGCTTCTGCCATGACTTCTGCCTCGTCCTCTTTGCGCCTGACAGGAGACCGTGACCTTGACCGCGACCTTGACTCTTCGCTCGACTTTGCCGAATCTGCAAACTTTTGAACGCAACTTTCGATGGCTTCATCAACGGACGTAGACGACGCGGGGACTCTCCCGTCGTCGTTGCCATTGCCGCTCGTCCTCTTCGTCCTAGGGTGTGGCCTCTGTTTCTTGCCTCTCGCCTTCTTCTTCTTCTTCGGAGCTTTGGGCTCGGGACACGGCGGTTTAGATGGGACGATGGGGAACAGCGCTTTCTTTGCCGCCTTCGTTAAGACTGGCGTTTCACACGATCGGGGTGGACAGGGCGTCTCGGCTGCCTCGCTGGTCTTCTTGGCAGGGACTTCGGTGGGGGCTGCCGTCGTCTGCTTTCCGTGGTTTCTCTCCGCCGAAGCATTGGGGGGCTTGGGCTCTTTCTCCTCCGTTGACGACTTCTCGTCGCTGAGGAGACAGTGCCGCTTCTTGAGGGGGAGGCAGCGATCCCCGGACGGCGGAGTCTGCAATTCTGGCGACGACTCGGGGACCGCCGGCGAAGGCTGCGTCTGCTTCTTGGGCTTCCCTTTCTTTGCGGGCGCCGCCTTCGCCTCTTCCTTCTCAGTCTTCCGCAGTTCGGTCTTCGCCATGCTTACAGACTGCCGGAGCGGCCTCTCGGAGGACCGCTTGGGCCGCAGGTACTTCACGATCCGAAAGATGGAGGGCACCGCATCCGTCTTGGGCACCGTCGTCTGCTTCGAGATGAACGCGGATGACAGTGCCTCCACTAGCGCGTCGATGGATGCGCAGCTCTCCGACTCTCGGCACGCGCGGCTCGACGATTTCCGCAGGCCGCCGCGCCGGTTCCGCCGTGACGGCTGTTGCACGAACCTCTTCTTCTTCATCTTGCGTTGGTACATGTGCAGGAGGTGTGTCTGCTCCTCAATGCTGCACTCATGGAGCAGGGCGTCTATGTCAACCGACTCGTCTCCGCCGTCTTCCCTTGGCAATGAATCATGAGGGGTTTCCGCTTCTTTCGAGACTTCTTCAGTCTTCCGCGACGAGCTCTTGACCCTGCAGTCGGTAGAAGTGGACTTCCGCGGCTCTTTGCGGTAGCGGGACTCAATCGCGTTAACGTCCGGCTTAGAATCCAGCTCCTTTGGCGGAACCTTGCGATCCGTGGTGGCCTTGCTCGTCACAACGTCTTCCTTGGAGGCGTGTCTTCTCCGCTGTCGAGAGGTCGTTGCCTCGACCTTGACCGCTCGCCTCGTCTTGTCTGAACGGGGAGGCCTGCCACGCTTCCGCGGAACGGGCTTCTCCTCCGCCTTCGTCCCCTCTTTCCGCTCCTTGCGTTCCTCCTCTTCGACGGTCTTCGAGGAAACGTGCTCGGTCTTCTTCGACATTTCCTTCGGCTCATCTACCTCCGTCACTTCGTCTTTTGGCCTCGGCTCCTCCATCTCGATGCAGTCGCCTCCGCAGAGGTCGGCTCCAACCTCGAAGTCGCTCGACGCACCCATTGACTCCTGAAACTGCGTGCAGATGGAGTCTTGGACCCGCTGAACCAGCTGATGAAGTTCGCTGTCGCCGCATTCCAACCGCCCGCTCTTCCGCGATGAAGTCTTGGATGCGGCGCTCCGCGATGCCCTCCCGCTTCTGGAGAGTGGTGCCGAGGCCCCTTTCACCCTGGTCTTCGCACCACTCAACCGCTCCGTGGGCTTACAAGGAGCCTCCCCTTCTTTTCTACTCCGCAGCCGCGGCGGTGAAACGGCACTCGCGTCCTTGGGAGCCTCCTTCTCCGCTCCTTTCGACCTCAATCGCTCGGAAGGAGAAGGTAAGACGACATCTGCAACCTTCGTTAAGTCAACTCTATCGTCGACCGTTCTGTCGCTGAAACCGTCTTTCGCCGAAGAACCAATGTTCGGCAATGTTTTTGGCGACGCAGCTGTCGTCGTTGACGCGCACCGTGGCGGTGAAGACGGCAGCTCTTTGGCGGCTTCGGCGTCTGCCATCTTGCATTCGATATCCAGCGGTAGGGAAGTCCGCTCCGACGGATCGTTGCGAAAACCTACCTTTTGCGAGGCACAGACGCGCAGGGACTGCACGGCGCTGTCCACGCACGACGCACCTTCGCCGTCAGTGCGTCCGGATTTCAGCGGCTCCGTCTTGTCGCTCGGCCGCAAGTCGTCGTGAAGGGCGAAGTGCGGCGACTTATACGGGTGGGGCTCGTCGCCGTGGTACCCAGGCGCGTCGTCCTGGCAACCCACGATGCGCTGCGGCGACTCCCCGCACGACTGAATCCCGCTGTCGGGCGAGACGTTGGCTGGTGCGTCGACGCTGAGGTACGGCAGCGGGTGTTCCACCGCTCCACCGTCATTGGTCAGCGCTGTGCCAACCGGCGACGGCTTCGCGCCCTCTTCAGTCCCCTTCGCGATGTCCGCCGAGTCGCGCAGGCGAGCGTCCGCGATGCTCGCAGGAACAAGCTTTGTCGGAGAGAGGAGCGGGGGCGTCCGTCTGGGCTCCTCGCGACGAGGCAGGCACGGGTCCGCCTTGCGCGGCGTGCGGCACGTGGAGTAGTCCGAGACGCTGCACGAGCTCTCCGAGTCGGAGGAGCTCGAGGAAGAGCCTGAACTGGAGCCGGAACTGGAACCTGAGCTCGAGCCGGAGCTCGAGCCGGAGGTGGAGCTAGAGCTGCCGGAGCTCGAAGAGCCGCTGCTGGAAGAGCGTGAGCTGCTGCACGAGCGAGAGGCCTTTCGAGAGGACGACGTGTAGCTGCAAGTCGAGGGGTCTTGATCCTGCGTCTGCAAGGAAGGCGTGCCACTGGTTGGTCTAGGGATTTTCTGTTGTGGGAAAATCTGTGTGTAGGGATTTTTTGTTTCGTGAAAATTTGTCTCTAGGGGTTTTTGTGTTTTGTGAAAATCCCTAAGAATTTTTTGTTTTGTTTTGTGAAACACGGCTATTGCTGTGTTCCACAAACCAATTGGGGCTACTAAATATGCTACGCACAGAGCACTGACACCCCCCCCTGACTGTCTTGTAGGTGCTGCCACTTTATTTCCTGGTGCACAGGGGGTGCAACCGGCAACAGCTGGGATTCGAGGATGAGACCACCGAAACTTTAGGTACGGCGTCAGGAGGCTCAGGCGAGATCATATCACTCTGTCGAGGGCTGTTTTAACCTTTTGGAGTACAGAAATGCGTTTCTCGTAATTTCACAGAAAGCTTCAGGCAAGTGGCAACAATGGTTTGAAGCAGCAAGATAACAGCGCGTCGTTGCTCTAAAGCGTATGTTTGGAGGCTTTAGTTTGGACCACCTCCGAACACCTTTTGTCTCCGAGCGACCTTACAAACAATTAACACGGTCTGGCTTGCATTTTGGCAAAGTGACTTTCCAAAGACTACATAGAACAAATTCACAGAGTAAAATTATGAAAGAGACCCGAGAAGAGCCTTTGCTTGCAGTTTCCTTTCACGAATATATTTGAAAGGAAATTTCATCCTGCTTCAGCTATAAAGTACATCCAGTCAGGGGCAGATTTGTGCGTCAGGCTTTGGCATTTGGCTGGTCTGCAGAGATCTGATGTCACAGACGTACATTTGTCCAAATCTATTTTGTTGACCTAATATTTGCCATTTTGCCAGAAACTAAACCTATCTTTCTAAAAAAAAAAAGATGCTGTATGTCGTTCTTTCCACAAAATAAAATTACCCTTTGAGGGGCCTTTAAATTTGTCCCAGCATTCAGTGCTGTAAGCTACCAGCTGATATGACCACTTAAACCACTGGACAGAACCCATAGCCAATACTTCATGGTACATGAACAAAAAAACATGTGACACCAAAATTTCGTACGAGCAAAAGTGTACAGATGCAATAAAAGGGGCAGCAGACAAACAACAACCCACCTTCCCGATCCGGCTGCCCATGCACGAGCACCTCGGCTTCCCGCCGCCGTCGGCCGCGCCGCACTTCCCCGGGGGGCTCCGCGACCGCCTCCGCCTCCGGCTCTTCCGCTGCTTGATGCGCAGCCGGACCGCGGCCGACCCGGCGACGTCGGCCGCGGCCGCAGCCGATCCGGCCGGCGATCCGTCTTGTGCCTTGGCCACCCGCCGGGCCGCGATGCGCAGCTTGAGAGGGTCCTGGGGCTGCTCCGGCTGCCGCACGATGGAGAACTCGCAGTTGGCGGCGTTGCCTTCCTCCTCGTCGGAGCTCGCAGAGGAGCAGGAGGAGGAGCAGCTCGAGGAGGAGGAGGAAGACGAGGAGGAGGAGGAGGAGGAGCCATCGCTGCTGCCCCCGCTGCTGCCACTGCTGCTGCTGTGTGTCCTCCGCAGGTGACGCTGCGTGCGGGGAAAGCAGTTCTTGAACGAGTACTCTTCCCCAATGGGCAACCATGAGATTTGCCGATGCCGTCTTTATAAATTTACTCAATCGCCCTCTAAAGTAAGGTTCTGCACCTTGGCATTCGAAGACATAGTTGTGTTCAAAGTCGCATTAGCTGCGCTATCGCATGATATAACCCGCAAGAATAAAGGCCCATTCACACAGAGCGTTTGCTTACGTTACATTGCAAATCACCAGGACACATTCAAAGCTACTTCATGAATTAGTTGTCACGCTTCATGCGAAACATGCATGTATGTATGCAACCGTGACATAGAATGACGTAAGCAAACGATACCGCGTGATTAAGCCTTCATTTGTAACACAGCTCGAGAGGTCGCGGAGGTTATAAGAGTCGACAAACCTCATAATTTTAGAACGCTAGGAAAAAATACTTAGTAACAGTGTGAGCCACGATCAGGACGGGAGATACAACTGACCAAACGTTGCCAGGCTTCTTCAATTCATGATAAATGCAAGCTTTTCTCTCTGGTCAAGAGCTTTCCCTAAATAAAACAAAAATTTGAACTCTTCTGTTCCTTCTTTGCCGACCAAAAACGGTCAATATTTGGTGCAGTCATTTCTTTCGCTAAAGTTGCATTTGGCAGCAATATGGAGATACCAAGAAACACCACGTCAAAAAGGTACATTAAATTTACCCTGAAAACTCTTGTGTCTAGCGCAGTTTACACCGAGTACAAAGTGTACAACGGTTACATTTAGCACTTCACTCCAAACACTTTTCGTGCACACTTCACCCGACAACCATGTAATGGGCAGCCACGGCGGCCAAGAGCTTCCTGTACTTACGGGAGTTGTGCCCAGATGGACCTTGGCCCCCTGGGGAGACCGAGACGCGTTGCGCGCTCCGCCGCAGATGTTGTCTTCCGTCGCGGATCCGCCGACGTCTTCCATGGACACCCCTGCACCGCCGAGCCGCTACGCTCCCTCTCTGCCGCCTTCCACAACCAGCATGCTTGCCGACGCCACGCGCACCGCCTGGAAAAAGGGGAGTCGTTGACCGAGCGTTTCGGCGCAGCGCATCTCGGAGCACGCGGAGCGAAAGCTCACACTGCTCCAAGTTGGTGCAGCATCACCGGCCAAATTTGGCCAAATTGGCAAATGGTACCACACCGGCCAAATTTCCCATCTACGGTAAGGGCAACGGACACCCATTGGGGCAGACTAACTTCCCGCCATATAAACAATAACAATAAAAAATTTTATTAGATTGGAACAACTGCGGAAGCGCAGAAAGGCAACAGCCCGTACCATTGAGGCACACGGCGCCGTGTCTGGATGATGGTGATTATTTGACGATGTAATAGACGAGATGATATAACGTAATATACAACAAACACACAATGCGACTCCTGTGCAAGCGTTAGCATCATTCAAAGCACCAAAGTCACCAAATAAGCTACGCTTCAAGGATGGTTCGCATGTGCACGTTTTGGTGTTTTGAGTGCACTAACATTCACATGTAACCGCTTAGGAGAGCATGCAGCGCCACACTGGCACCATCCATCAAGTAGCCCGGGAAACGACCTCAGAAGTTCCAGTGCTCCCCCCCCCCCCCCAATAGATGGTGCCACCATGTTCCCTCGTTGCAAGCGACTACAGGCAGTTACAACGCAGTCAAGCACACTGAAGCGCAAATGTGTGAACCGGCCTTGGGAATAATGCCACTTTGGCTGCTTTCGGATCTCGGAGCTTAAAATCACATTTGCCGGTTATCGGAGGCCTTATCTGAAATGGCAGGAAACATTTTTTCCGTCCTTCAGAAGTTGTAAAACAGCCTGCAATGGCAAAACGATACTGTGAGACACTTCCCGAGACCACATCTAGTGCAAGGGAAAGTGCATTTTCAAATAAAAAAATACTGCTAGTTGCAACCGCTCCGCACCAGTGTTGCCAATTTAACAGTTATATTTAATGATTTTCTGAGTTGTAGAGCGGGAGGAATCGCCGTATTGCAGTTGGCATGATTTTGAGCAGTCTTTGAGTCATGCTGACGTGTTTTCTGGCGGTCTAAAATGTTCTCCGGCATACAGTTATCAATCGTAAATAGCTTAATTTCTGTGGTAAGTTAGGAGTCAGGGGGTCGTTATTTTTACTTAACGAAATCGTTGTCAGTGAGAATAACACTTGCAACGCCATTAAGCTATTATGGGGGCAAACCAAGCTCGCTGGGGACAAACATAATGTTAAAATGGCCATTCTTGGCCAGCGTCCTAAATTTAGCAGCATTTAATTGTTTCCCAGTATTCATCTAGCAGTCTTGATTTTTTTTAAGGCACCAAAATGGCAGTGCCCACGGGGTGATCAGGGAATTGAGTGCAAGGACTAAAGGCCCGTTCACACTCTTGCGACCTCTTAAACCTGGGTTCCTTAAAACTTCTTAAACCAGAGAATACACTGGCACCATCTATTGGGAAGCAGTGTAAACTCGGCGGTCCGGCAAATTTTTTTTATTTCTCGCGCATTATCCTTTCTTTCTTGGCTCGAGAAACTTTTGTCAATGTTATAAACGAGCCTTTCTATGAGTATTACGCACATTTGACCTCGGAAACCCCGCGAAACCTTCGCTCTTGTTAAATGCAGTTCCAGGGTAACCGCATAGATGGCGCCACAATGCCAGTGTGTTCCCTCATTCTAAAAACATTTAAGAAGTTTTAAGAGATCTCGTCCCTCTCAGTCGTACTCGGTCGCAAGAGTGTGAACGGGCCTTAAAAGCGTAGCTATAGTTCGTTGCAACTCAAGAAGGTAGGGCGAGGGAAAGGAAGGCCAGGGAGCAAGAAGCAGATGGAACGCTGGAGGAGAGAGAGGGAAACCTCCTCCTTCCTTTAGCATTGTTTGCTTCCTCCTCCCGGCCTTCCTTTCCCTCGCCCTACTTTCTTGAGTTGCAACAGACTATAGCTTTGCTGCTCCAGTGAGCACCTGCATATGTGAAGAACTTGAGGGGACTGGCGGCATCGTACTCTTTCCCGTGTTCTAGACGTAAAACCAACGGATCTTTCACTACATTAGCCAAGCGCAAAGGAACATGTCACGCATGCTTGCATCTTCGGTATTAACCGTTCTAAACCAAAAGCCTAAAAGAAATGGCACTTTGAACACGCATTCAATACCTCATTTTAGTTATTTACTTCGAACCTTTTATTTGGGTAAGGCAAGCACATGAAGCGTGTTTCCAGCATACTCGTTGGTACTTGGGTAATTTGGCAAGCGGTCAACTGCAGTGGATTATGTGGCATGGCACTGGCATCATTTCCAGCTTCGCATTACCTCTTCGTCTGCAGGATCAAGAGCTGTTCAAGAACTAATCATGTTGAAGCAATTCAACGAGATTTATCCAGGGACCAATCCGACGACGAGACTGCCCGTGCAATACATATTTAAGAATGATGTTGCAAGGTCAAGACATCACCTTGTGTTATGTCAAGCGCAGAATGACGTCACTTTGGCTTTGGTCAATGCATGGCCAGAATTCAAAGGGAAGTGTTATGGTGAGGCAGTAATCGGATGATAATTTTAGCGAAGCACTAAACTCAATCTTTTGATTATTAGCTCTACAAATTGTTCCTTTGCTCTGAAAAGCATGGAAGTTATGCCAACGCAGCTGAATGGAGGCAACGCGTGAAAATGGCCCTGAACACCTTCCACGGTACACTGCATCGACGCAGTAAGCAAAACACTGAATAAAACCCAGCGCGCGTCACAACCGAGGCGATACGATCGGCAAATCACTCGGTGTTTGGCCCGTCTCCATATCTTTTTCCGAGCGGGGAAATATATTCTCCAGTACTATATTTTAAAATCTAGACTGCTAATAAGGTAATGCTAGGGCATCATGCATTCATTTTACTCGAATTGCAAACTCCACTGGAAGCAAGCTGCACGCCATTTCATTTCAAACTGACCTCCGGAGTTGCATCGGACACGACCGCGTTTAAACGTCGTAAAGAACTAGGCCCACTTGCGCGACAAAATAACTTTCGTCGGCCAATGAAACAAGACGAACTCTCTGGCGGCTGGAAAAAGCACCGCTTGATCACCAACATATCCTGGTGTGGCCAGTAGCTGTCGCTCGAACGCATAAAAAGCAGTCGCCAACACCGTTTATTTGACGCGTCGTTTGAGTGCAACGAGGCACTCACGAGCAACACCGCGCCAAGTTCACTACCTTTGAGCGCTGGAGCTCGCGAACGGTCTTCAAGGCGCAAACATCGTTTACAATTCCAGCGTTACGTTCTCAGGGGGAGTGGCCACTAAATATAACGCAACGGATTTATTCCAGCACGCGCAAAGGCGCGATCAAATGTACCGTTTTATTGAGACGAGCAGCAACGCTCTAGGTACTACACCGTACTCAACGATGCGCCGCTACGGTCACGAAAACTGGGCTTCGCGCGATCGCCTCACGAGCACAAAACTTTATTAACCAAGTGAAAAGAAGACCTCGAGAGCCACCCCAACCGCGAAAACCAAAAAGAAAACCCGAGCAAAAAACCTCCCTGTCTAAGACTTGTTTGAGTTGTACCGCGAGTGAGCATCACGAAAACGGCGTCAAGGATCTGATCCGTTGCAAGCTGAAGTCGACTGGGATTTTTGATAATCAGGTTGAGTGGTCCCGGTTATCATAGAATTCAAAGGTCTTTCATTTTTGGGCTTTAGCGCGGTTATGAAGCGGATTAAAGGGCAGTAGCAGTTCCGAGTACACAGATTATCGCTTGGGAGCTCGAGCTCGGAGCGCCGTGCAGACGCTTCGCGACGATCGGTGTGGTTTGAGACGATCTTCGAGCGTGTACGGTCGAGTAAAAAAGACGCGCCTATTACCAGAGTGATTCGTAGAGTTTTAATGCACCTTTTTCAGCGAAAAGATAGCCATACTTGGGGACGCAAACATGCAAACCGCTCACCTTTATTCAAGCATCCATGGTAGCTGGCGCTAGTTGCCTATCCGCACGGGCGACACACTTCAAACCGCACGTGCGGCTTTCCGGACGCATTTCCGAACCTCGGACGACGCAAGCATTCCACCGATCTCGCGAAAAAATCGGGTCCTATCTTCTTTTCCGAACGAAAGCGTTGCATTCAGGATAAACACATTATGGCTGTTATGGCCGCCAATCAACATGGCGGGAGATTTTTTGCGAGCGCCGTTGGGGGGCACCTGGGAAACGGGACGCCTGACGCTGCTTTTTTGTGTCGGTTTTTGTGTGTGTTTGTTTTCGGATCGGGCTTCGATTAATTCGTTTTTGCACGTACGACTTGTTGTTCCAGATTCACGTCATTTACGCTCTCAGTGCCGGCGCGTGAAACCGTTTCGACGGCGTGTGGACAACTCCGACAACTTCATCGCCTTCTGTGTGTTCTCGTTTTACAACTCGTCGTGTGTGTAGCGCTCCCGCTTTGGTTTTTCGGGGGGGCCTAGATTCATTAAAAATGCCACCATTTTTCGCGTATGTGCTGCAGGCGTCGCCTGTTGGTTGGAAGGAGTTTATACAAACTTTCAAATGTGCTCCTGTGTCAACGTTAAGAAATTATGGGAGAATAATGGATCGGAGGTTAAAATGAAAGCGAAAGTCGAAATCATGAAAATCGAGCCCGTGAATGAGGCCGGAGAGCCACAATCATAAAACCAATAAAACCATATGAAACAGACAGCGCAGACACGCTCGTGTAAATTCTTATGTAACTTTGATTACTGACATATTTTAAGATTGACTTTATTGCACATTAAGCTTGCGACGGGTGATATCTAACTTTCAGAGAAAATGAGCTAAGTTCTGGGTTTCTTTCAGGCGTTTCGTTTTCCGCACAAAACATAGGCGTATATTTTAGTTCAGCATAGAGACCAGAGATGGCGCCACCATAAAGACCGAAATTATTACGAAACAAATGCACAGAAGCCGCACCAGATTGACCAGAGCCGCACAACTTGCGACCATTTCCTGACCATTTCGGCAATGATCGAACTGCCAATGAACTTCTGCTGGTCCCTCCAGGAGTTTGGCCAAGAGCAAGACGAAATCACTCATCTCTAAACAAAACCCAAGGGGGAGAAATGGGGAGGAAGCGCACACGAGTGTTATTTATCTGTCCACGCTTCACTTACGATTGGAGATAAACTGTAACTCGCAGATGAAGAGCAGTAAGAGCCATTTATTTGCTCTGATATTGACGAAGCAATAATTTTAAACAACATCCACCGGCTACTCGAAGTCCCCCCTGGAATGCCGTCGGAGGACTATCGGCGGAAGCTGAGGTGGCCTTTGGTAAGTGGCGTTCCTCCTGGGTTGGTCTCGAGGTCTGTTCAGCCGCGGAGACGGTACATCCTAAAAACAAATAACATTAGACATTAGAAGCGCTGGGCAAAGAAAAATCGTACAACCGCGAAATGTCTACAACTGCAGTTGTAGACATTTCGCAGTTCTTCCATCTCATGAGATGGAAGCGGTTCTTCCATCTCATGAGATGGAAGAGCTGGTGAACGATTCATCCTTACCAAAACAAATTAGGCTCGTGTTAATGCGTGCAGATAGAAGCTCACGATTATGTCTACGGTTTAGGTGAATAACCGAATAGCCCACTTTAGGGACGTACAAACAAATTTATAACATTGCAACGTATCGGGTAAAAACGAAACCGAAACTAGAGTCCACTGTTTATCTGCGGAAGAAGGTATGAAAATATTTACTTTAAACTCTAGTACGAAGAAGTTTAATTGATAAAGGAAAACGTAAACACAAACGTGGTTTCTTCTAACCAAAAATCTTAATATAACCTGCTTGGTTCTAACACGCAAGACAAAGAATCGCGAAGTAGCAGGACAGTGTCCAAAAGTGTATTTTGAAAACATATATTGTTCGCGCTCTCAACGTTTGGCGTATTTCGTCCTCATTGTAATCTAAGGCTAACACCACAGTGCTGCAACCACGTACTGCTGCAAGAGTACGTGCAAGTGCGTGCATTCAAGCAGTATATGGAAGATACGTCAGACTTGACAACGTAGCACGAAATACTAAGTTGTCGTCGAGTGTAATCATTCTCGTTCGTGAGACGGTAGAACCCCAATATCAAATGGCGCATCAAGTTAGTTAACACTTTCGCGTCGTTCCCAAGACGTGCATGCGTTGTGTGTGGTCTAGTTGGTAGCGTCACATGGCGTCACACGTGGCTGCGCGCGTTGCATTATGGGGTTTTTTAGTCCCACGGACGTCGACGCAGAATTTTTCGCGACACGAGCTCTTAAACGCTAGACTGTGAATTAACAAGAGGAGACGAAGGGGACAGGGCAGGGCGCTTGTCCTTCTCTTCTTACAGGGGACAAGACAGGTGAATAAAGGTCGCACGTGTTTATTCCTTCATATACTGTAAATGACTAAATTTTCGCGGGGACATAAGTTTCGCGAATTTCGCGAATGGCCGACGATTCGCGAAAAATACGCCCCGCGAACAATTCGGGCAATATGTGAACGATACAGAAGCTACACTCAATTCGCGAAAATTAGAACCCGCGAATAATTTCAAATTTTCTGCTTTGACCCGATTCGCGAAAATTTGAGCCCGCGAAAATTAAGTCGTTGCGTTTAGTTGGTTAAACATCTAAATTGTGAATTAAAGGGGTTTGGCACGAAAATGAAACGGAAAGGTTATTCTTGAAATTGAATGCTTAATTATAGGCTGCTTTACGCGCTTTTTAGAGCTCTGGTAATTGCAATAATCAATTTACGCATTTTCATCATTTTAATTTGGCGACCAGGCAGCACTGCCTAAGTTAGTCACACCATGGTGCCCATAAACCATGTGATCATGAACGCTCTCTGATTCTAAGCGCCCCCATGATCGCCCAAGCTCTCTTCGCAGCTGTACGATCTCGCAGCGGTACCAAATACTTCGTAAAGTATTTGGCGGTACGATCAAAACGCCGAGCGCTATTCTCGCTCTCGCCCCCGGACCGTTGACCTCCCACCATGCGCCTGCGAGATATTCCCGGACGACGGCGACCGCGGCGAGTTCGTCCGTAACTCGCCGTCGCTGGAGCTGGTCACCAGCGGATCGCAGACAAAAGGGAGTTTTCGTAGACCGCGTTTCACACTCCGCTAAGCCTTCCGCAACGAAGAAGCCGCTAATGCGCCTGCGCGCCGATGGCCTTGACTGTAGAGTCCCAGGTAGCGTGACGTGCTGCGGAGAGCTTTGCGGGACGGCGAAAGCGATCTACGAAAACTAATGAACAGCTTCCAACATCCCTCGATAGCAATCACTCTCATCTTGGCTGCGATCTACGGCAGCGATGCCGTAGACGGAATTGTCACGGACCGCCTTCTCGAAACGCGGAAGGTAAACAGGAAGCAGAAGCTCGAGACGCCAAGAGAGCCAAGTCTGTGAGTGCGTGCAAGGGGAGTCCGCGCGTCCGCGCGGCAGGTTGGCTACGTCACCATGCATCCTCCCAGCCACGGCGGCCTTTTCGAATGTGGCGGATCCAAGGGACCCGTATTCGCGACTCCAGCGACCTATAGGGGGCGCCACCACCAAACAAACATGGCGGCTGAGTCCAGGTCGCGTCGGCTCGGCCTTAGTATATGATCTCTATGGCTCGGCCGGGCCGCCTGAATGGGTGGCGCATTCAATTTAACAATTATTCTTCTGTTGAATGCCCAATTTTATGGGTATTTGAACTGAGACAGTTAAGTTTAGCTGGTGCGCATAAACTTGCCGAGCATAGCTTTGTTTTGCCGGTGTTTTTTTTTTTGTTCTTTTCATGTCAAACTTTCGCTGCGGAGACTTCGATCAAAACCGAAACTATGGGCTCCGGAGAAACGGTAATAGACTCTAATTAGTTTTCATCATCTAGGGAAAGCGGCGAGGGCTACAAAATTGTTCCACCAAGAGTAATGTTTAGCTAACTCGCATGCCTCGATCATGCGACTTACCTGTCCGCGAAATTGAGCTTTTGTGCCTGTCCGCGTTTCAAGAAACAGCTGCAGTCGTGTGCTCGGTCAAGAACACAGGCTGCAGGAAAATTACGAAAATTAAGCAAGCGCTTCTTGAGCCAAGGAGCATGTCAACTCGCTGGCACTTCACTAAGCAGCTGATACTCGTATTTCAATTCAGGTTTTAGTAGCAATCGAAAAGTCATTTTGATGAATATGCGGTTATGTATTATATTACGTACTATGGTCCCACTGAAGCGATATTAGTATGTTCTTCGGGTTGAAATATGAACATAGTTGACTAACTATTAGGGTGAACTGCTGAATAAAAGTATATTTGACAGACAGAGAGATACTACTTAAACTTAGCCAAATGGTTCTAGCCGGTAGAACGGGACGAATACGGACAAGCTGAGGAGAGTCTTCATCGGAGATTCACTCAGACCTCTCTGCATTGAACTTGACTTCAAATCCTAAACGAATAATTTTTTTTTCTTATTTTTTTTTTTTGTGGCCGGTTAACTTGAGCGATGTAGACGTATATTGCTGCTGGATTCGACAGGGGTTATGAGTATTGGAGGCGCGATAGATCCTAATGACGTGACAGCTTCTATCTTTGCGAGACGCGTCCCCCACCTTTTGAAAGCAGATAATTTCCCTCATTAATCATGTGCAGCGAGCAGGTTTTCTGAATCAAGTAATTGCGAAATTAGCCCAACTCCTTCAATGTGGTCTTTTTCGGCCAAAAGCCGCCAAGATGAATAGCCAACGCACCGGCCGGCGTTAGTGGCTCAAATTAACCTGAAGCTAATCCAGCACAACCAAACTCAAGGAAAGCAGCTATCGAACCTTCCCATTCACTTGACTGCAACATTGGTGTCCCCTCCAGTAAAACACTTCGTCTGTCGACCTCAGTCTACTGTTCTACATCCTTATAAAGAAACCGCTTATCAGTTACCAAGCAGTCATCACTTTGATTGTGATTAGAGACAGACGAGAAATCAAAACGTTTTTCCGTGATTCCTCCCCATCCAAAAAATTTAAAGCACGCGATCGTGTGTTGTGGAATAAACGGGCTTTCAAACACGTGATGGAAAGAAACAATCTACTGAGGCTTCACCACACTAATGAACACTCCGGCAAACTTAAGAAATTTTCGGACCTTCATCAAAAACATTGCTCGCCGCCGCGCCGACAGCACGCGTCCGCGAAAGCCACCAGAGACGCGGCGGGGCGCGGAGCGACCTGGACCGGCTGGTTCCCGGTTTTCCCGCTTGGCGGCGTCCGTTTCGCTGGAGTCGCGAATATAAATCGATTTATCCACGGAACTATGGCGTCATTTTTAAAACAAATTTATCAGAATTATAGGAACATACAATGCATGGGTCCTAGCAGTATATAGTTATCTCATAAGAGAAGAAGGGGACAGGACAGAGTCATAGACATTCACCCACCTCAACCCCCCCCCCCCCCCCCCCCCCCGAAAAAGAAAAAAAAAAAAAATTCCTGGTCACTCTACTGGCGCGAAGCAAGATGACTGTGTTCGATTGGCTGCAGATGTTATATACGTCACTATTGGACAGAAAATGTGTACGCTAGTGGCCGCTGGAGGGTGCGTTGGATGGGATCGGCACGTGGTGGCTGGGTTAAAGAAATTGTCCGTACCCTTCTGAGAACAATGTTCGCAAGGATGAGAACGACGGAAACAATGACCGAGACCGCAGGGATGGCCACGAGCACGAAGACCGGTATGAAGCCTGGACAAAATAGAACAGAAACGATGTGCGCTTTTTGAAGGGGCACTGAAGTCGTTTTTGAAAAAGGTCGTTTTTGATCTTATATTGTTTAAAAGGTGTTAGTTCCCGCATTTACCAAGTCCGATATCACAAAACCGCCTGTTCATCTCAGGGCGATAGAAAAACATGCGGACTCTTTTTTTCTCGCGGACTACACTGTGTGGACCAATTGACGTCACGGAGCTGCGGCGGCGCTGCGATCGCGCCGGAGCCGGGGGGTGTGGGCAAAAGCGCGCACGTTTCACGCGGGCGTCATAGCATTTCAGCATGCCGCAAAGCTGTGTTGCCCTTAATTGCACCGAAATGTACAAGAAAAGCAGCGGAGTGAGTTTCCACAAGTTCCCAGCAGACTCTGAAAGGCATAGAAGGTGGATAATATCCGTGGATTGAAAAGAATGGTCGCCTCGCGCGAACGACCGTTTGTGTGGCAAACACTTTCTCGAAGGCAAGTGCGGCTTCCATTTCAATCTCCGTCCAGAGACTTGCTTATGTGCAGGGAAACCATTGTCTGATCGAGACCACCCGGATTTTGTTCCCATGGTGTTCGTGCACAAAGCACCGGCCAAGCGATCGTCGGAGGCTCGCTACGTTCGTGCTACCCTGCAGAAGGGGATCGGCGACAGAACGGCAGTGTTGTAGGCGTTGCCAAAAAAAGTACCGAAATAGGTTACTCGTTACTTTCAAACAAAAGGTACGCGTTACTGAGCTACGTTACCTAGAAATAAAAGGAACGCGTTACCGCTACCGATAAAAAGTAACGCACGTTACTTCTGCGTTACTTTTTTAAATTATAATTTATCACATTTTACGGTTTTGATGATACAGGTCATATACCAAGAAACATTATGTTCATGCAGAAACTGAACATAATTACTTTCTCTCTTTTTACGGTTTCACCTAAATACTTACGAGAAAAAAACGCAAAGAAAAACATGGCTTGACGCCTAAAACACGGAAAAAATGAAGTGTAATTTCTTTAAGACTTGGGAAGTAGTAAGACTAACGTAACTACTTTACTTGAAATAGTAACATAAGTACGTTACTTGTTACTGTGTAAAAAACGAAACGAGTAGGTTACTATACGTCACTGAAAAAAGTAACGCGTTACCAACAACGCCATTACTTGTAACCTGTTACCGCCAAGACTGCAGAACGGACAAACCGTTACTGCTTGTCATGCCTTGCGGCCATGAGGCTAGGAAAAATATCATACCTTGACTTGAAGACGCTGTGTGTATTTAATCAATTAATGAATACACACATTTCCGCAGACCCAGAGTCTGCTGATCCCGCCGGCAGCGCGGAAACCGACTCGAAGTAATCGTAGACCTCGAGAGACTTGTACGCCTGCGCCGTGTCGGCCGTTAACTGGCTTGGCGAAAAAACTAAATATACGACGACCTGAGCCGTCGACTTCTGTGGCAGCAACTTTACGTCGGAAGTCCAGCAGGCCTTGTTTGCGGCGTACGGATCCTTGTAGGCAACGCCGTCCACGCACAGTTTGTTTCGATACCGCTGTCGTTCAGGCTCGAGCCACGAGCTCAAATAGCCGGGCATAGCATACGACATACCTTGTGAGGAAATACGACGCACAAATAAAGATACAAGCGCCCCTACAACGTCAACAACGAGCGCACGCCATAGAACGCAATGGCGAAAACACGGACAGCCGGGCTGCTTTTGACCATATAGCTACCGCGCATGCGCGGCCTTCCGGCCGTGTTGGTAAACAGAGCCGCTCCGCGCGTCGGTCTATACGCGCAGATTCCGAATGATTTTATTATAACTCGAAAGAAAATTCTTCCCAAAAGGGCGTGTCGCGATCTTTAAACACGCTTTTAACGAGGAAATAAGCTACGCTCGATTGTGGTATCGGGTTTGTTGGGATGCTTAGAGCGTCTAGATTGAGTTGTCACCACAAAAGGACGATCTAATAATCGACCTCAGTACCCTTTGAATTGTTCAGCTTAAAAAAAAAATCTAAAAAGGTTCTTGAGAAAAACAAGTTACAGGTGAATACTTTAGCGTAATTTTGTCCTGCGAATTTGAATACAACAAGCATTTGACCCGAACGAACCGCTGAGTGTGACGTCATACCCAGATGTGGCTTTAGCTGCCTGCCGCGTGTGAGGGGACGCATTCAGCGCTTTTGACTGCTCGGGTAAGGCTTGCGGAAAGCGAGGAAATGTTGACATCTAGAATACGCCATAATTCCCTCCTCGCAACAAACACGACAGGATAGGGGCTTCAGCGTTATTTTGAAAGCGCAGTTGTGGCTACTTGGCGCGTCAATACAATTTTGGTATTCGTAATCCTGGAGGCCAAATAAAGACGATTTAAAGGTTCTTCCTCAAATACAGAACCGCTTCAGTTTGCCTTTAACTAGTCAGGCTAACATAATTATATACAGGGTGTCACAAAAAAAAAAAAGACCACATTTTTTTTTTTTACTGCAAACACAAACTAGGCATCGCCGAATGCTCATTCTCCGCCCAAAGGTAGCGCTAGAGGTCACAACCGTGCATGCCAAAGTTTTAGCCCGACCCGATACCTTAATCAAAAGTTATAGGTGACTTTTTGAAAATTTCAATGGGAAAATGGAGCCCATTTTTGACCGTTTTCGGTTTCTAATGCCCGTAGAGCCCCATGTATTCAAAAACTCCGTCGGCCGCCATTTTCCCATTGAAATTTTCAGAAAATCACTTATAACTTTGATTAAGGTATCGGATCGGGCTGAAACTTTGGCATGTGTTTGTGCCCTTTAGCGCTACCTTTGGGCGGAGAATGAGCGTTCGGCGACGCCTAGTTTATGTTTGCGGTAAAAACGAATGCGCATTTTTCTCTCTCTTTTTTTTTTTTTTGGCACTCTGTAGAACGGCGCGTCCTTCACTGTCGGACGATGCATGTCGACAGGCTGGTCCCAAATAACAGATCTCTATATAATTGGCATGTGACATAGACCGTTTAAACTCTGTTTTAGATCTGGTATATTTACAAACAAAAGACCTGTTCCAAAACTTGCAGCGCCCTATACGCGACAGCGATAGAAATCTTGGGAACTTACTGTATAGAAACTTAGGGCTGTAGCTAGTGTTGTTCTAACACCGGCACTACATGTGCTCTCTCTCCCTCTTTTCCGTGTCACGTGGTAGATGCTAAGTTTCCATATAATTCGTTGGGCGCTTGGCCCGCAGCCTTTTGGCTAGTTCTCCCTGTGCAAGAACGTTGCCGATGATTCAATTTCTCGAAGCTCCACTTCGATCGAGTATCGACAGAATGTGCAGTAATGACATCTGTTACCAAAATAACTGTTTAGAATGTTGAGGGGTCATAAAATAGTCCTAAAGTTCTCCGTCTTCTTTTAGAAAACTCTCAGCCTTTCCACTCTGGTGAAGAAGGAAGAGCAGCTGAGCTGTAGCCTCTGTTCTCGGCGGTGTCTTTCCAGGCGAGCGATCTGCTCTTCTTTCGCAAGGGAATCTGAAGCGCTCGACGCAGTGAAACTTTAGGCGATAGAGGCCTTGCAGCGGTTGCGGAACCATTCGCGCTGCTGCGCACTTCGTCGCTCGTTCCGTTCCCACTCTTCTTCCTCCGAAGAAATGTTGCCGCCATCTATCAGCGACGGTAGCGACCAGTTGTCTGGTTGCCGAGGCTGGAAAGGTTGCCGCGATCTCTGAGCGACGGCGGCAAGCAGACAACCGGCAAACACAACACTCTGGACAGCTACCGCCATCTATGAGCGACGGCGGCAACCAGAGTGTTGTGTCGACATTTGTTTGGTACCGGACGCAATCCTGGGGAAACTAACTCCGCTGTAAAAAAAAAAAAAAAAAAAAAAAACGAAAAGGCAGAGAAGCGTGATTTCCAACTGAGGGAACTGGCCGAGATAGCCTGCAGAACTCACTCGGATTGATGAGCACGATCGACTGGGATTTGAGTGGTCGGCTGAAGAGTCGCTCCGTCCTATTGGCGTCCAGCCAGCGGTAGGCCCTCATGCTGAACACGTACCTCGAGAACGCCTGGGAGCGGAGGGACACGCGCAGGGTCTTTTGTCAGTCTACCGTTATGACATTCCGCAACAGGAACTACATATGGTAGTGTAGTGTTCACTTTCGGTTTCTTCGTTGCTCAAGGTAGAGGCCGAGATGGGCATTTAGCGATGTAAGAACCGTGGTACACTGCACGGAACTGTTAGTGCAAACAAGCTATTGTTGTTGTTGTTGTCATTTGTGTGTGTTTTACATAACTGAAGCGGTGTCATTAGTCACTGACAAAATGAGAACGGCCGGGAGGTCTTTCATGATGTACAGGGGAAACAGCACACCCGCAAAACTCCGTCTTTAACCTTATCACAAAAAGAATTAGACTACCAAGCCTTACATTAATTTCAATTTAGTTAGCTTTAGATTTAGCTTCATATCGAGAAAAGTTATTCTCCCTGGTCCTAGCCTATAATAGAAAGTATTCACTGGCGGCCATAGCTGTGTGCGCGAATGCTGAGCGCGTGCTGATGGCGAGCCTCCACAGTTATTTTGCAACGTGCATTCCGCACCATCAAGAGTGCCGATCTTAGCAGCCTATTATTGATGTGAGCTCGAGCTGAGCATGCGCTCTAAACAGCACCCACAAATATGGCGTCGAGTGAATACTCCCTATACAAATAGAAAAAAAAAAAAGTGTAAATATACCCGAGAGTTGTCAGTCAGCGCTGCGTAAGTGTCTCTTTCTTTTGTGTGCGTGTTGACTCGAGCGACTGTTTTGCGGGTGCGCTGTTCCCCCTGTACGTCATGAGCAACCAATTCGCGCAACCTTCTGTGTTAATGAGGTCTTTCAGTTCTTTAAGTTTTAGCGCGAGCTTCCTACCTTCGTTAACCCGCGTACCAGTACCAGCTCGCTCAGCTTACCGTCTCTACCGTCAATATCCTTTCGAGAAAAAAAAAAAAAAAAAAAATGCAAAAAATCGTTAATGTTGTGTTCGCGCTAACTCTGTCGCTCAGTGTGTAGCTATTTAAATCAAATGCAGTATGATATCACTACACCAGGAACGCGACAGGCCGGCTAAATTGAGCTACAGAACGGGCGTCTGCCATATTTTGCTCCTCTTCGGTCCTGAAAATTGTATTTGAGCCCGAAACACATGAACGACGAAACCGTCCAATCCGACGTCTGATCAGGCAATACGACGGTCGGAGGCGAGGGTTTTCAACGCTCTCCGGTGCTACGAAAACCCTTGCCCCCGAAGGTCATTCCGGCAGTTCGCACGTCAGGTCTGGCGGTTTCGTCGTACCATAGCCTGTCGTACATATGTTTCGCGCTTTAATTATCACTCCTCAGTCAATCATATTGCGGCAGTTGATAAAACTACGAATCACGAAGCTATCCGGGGCGCAAGTTCGTCTGCTTCTTTTGCAGGGCTTCAAGGCAGCTTGCTCTGAGGTCTACCCACTATCCTTCATTCAGAGCCAATCAGATCTCAGCGTTTTGACGTCACCAGAACCCCTGCTCAAGAAGCAGACGAACTTGCGCTCCGCATGCCCAATCAACCAGCGCCAAAAGTGTATCGTCATGCCGCTCCTCGTCCTTGGGGGGAAGGGGGGGATATTACCGACTCTACCCTTTGTAACAGGCGGTAGGTTGCGCCACCTAGCCTGTGCCGTTTACACACTTGCAACCGAGTACGACCGAGAGGCAAGACCGGTTTCCTCTTGCGACGGCGTACAACTTGCTCCGCAGCAGCGCATCCGCGGTTCTTCCGCCGTCGACTCGGTTGGTTGCAAGTGTGTGAACGGCGCTTAGTTCCGTGACGAATCGATGGAGGTTGCTTGATCGGCTTCATAGGTGTAGAGTCGGCTGTGATCGGACTTAATTTACCTGTTTTGTAACAATAGCAACTTCGTCAAGGGAGTGCCAGATCGCTAGCGAAAAGAACTGTTGTCTTAATTAAAAGGGTAGGACTCTAAATATTGGCTCAACGCAGAAGTGGAGAAGACAAAACAAAAAAAAGCCACCGATAATGACACAAGCGGGACCCGTGCCTTCAGGTGCCGGAGGGCGACCGACGAGCCGCTGACGTCCATGGTGCAGTTGGAGTGCTGCCGGGAGGAGTCGTGGGCCGCCCAGAGCGAGGCGTCCCTGCACCAGCTGACCAGGTAGCCGTCGCAGGTGTCGTCCTGTGGCCACCAGTACAGCCAGATCTCGGACCAGCTCTTCACCACGCCCGTCGAGAAGCAGGGCCGGTCAGGAGCTGCGGCCCCAACACTCTCTCACCTGACTCGAACCAAGAAGGGGACTGCCTTCACTTGACTTTACGCGCGAAGCATGATGGCCATATGATCGAAACAATAGTGTTTAAATTAAATAAATACCATTTATTTGATTCAAATCTTATTAATTTGGTTTGAGTCACTGTAGCTATTCCTTATCACTGGATTCATTTTTCAACATGGCAGATTGATATATCAATTCGTTCGAGTACCGATTACAGTGCGGAAGAAAATAATGACCGTGTAAAGTACAGTTCATTTAACAATAACAACGTTTTATTGCTATAATCCCAGCCATACTAATACAAAACCAGCTTGTTTTTTTTTGTTTTTGTTTTTTATTTATTCAATGCTGTAACCTCATTGCGGTTTGTCATAAAGTCATAAAGCTTTGTGTTATTTCTTTGAGTTCTGACTTAATAGACCCCTTTCGAATTTACGTGCCGATTACTAGATAGTCGGAACCACTGCACAATAGTGGAGCAACTGCATAGAGGAACGTGCAAGTCATTCCATAAGATAGCGAATATCGGAGCGCGGCCAACGCTACGAGTCAAAGATCCAATCAAAGAGCGTCGAAAGTGCAACGTCACTGCGCTCATCACCACCTTCAGTGGGCGTGTTTTTTTCCAGTGTGCCGTGACGTTCACGTCTTAGTCCGCTATTGTGCAGAGATTTCACAGCTGCCAACAGAGGGCAGTATTTCGAAAGGGGTCTATAATATCTTTTGCGTTTTGATTTTCTTGAAATAGGACTTTACATGGGTGACGAACGCGACGTAAGCTAGACAAGCCCAACGCTCCGGTTTTTGTCAGAAGGGCACTTCTTTTTTCTCGTGTTCAGTTTTATATGAATCTTTCTTTCTGGGCGATTCGTTGATTTATACACAAAGCAAAAGCACACAGCATCAAACGATAAACGAACGGTAAATTATTATATATATATATATATATAGTTATTATTATTATTATTATTATTATTATTATTATTATTATTATTATTATTGCGGGAAAGGTTCGTTTCAAATCATCATATTAAAACTGGTCTCACTGAAATCAAAATTTAAATCATATCAAATTCTATTCTCCGCCCCGCATGTATGATGCAGATTTGTTCTGAAAAACTGGGAAAGCTACACTAACGCGGTCTGTACATGTAATTTATACACGGTCAGGGTGACACAATAAAGGGGAATCATTGTGCCATTGGGTCAGTTAATTAACTAAAATTCGTTCATTAACTTTTTAATTATTAAAAATTAAGATATGTTTAGATTTCCAAACTTCAAGTACCACTAAATAAAATTCTAGAAAGATTCCGGGCGTGCGTGTGAGGCGTGGCGCTGCGCTCAATTTACCACTCGTGCAAAAGGCGCAAGGCCAGTGGTCCGAAAACGCGCCAGCGGTTTCTCATCATCGGCGTTTTCGCCCGCATTGCGTTCCTCGTCTCGGGTCGAAACTCTACCGCAGCGCCACGCTTCTCACGCGCCCCATATCTTTCTAAAAGTTCGTTTGTGCGGCGATTTCAACGTTGAAAGAATTTGCATCTTCTACGTTTTTGACATTGTTTATCTTGTCACAAAGGACAGAAAATACCTCTCCTTCCTTCGAAATGTGGCGATTCCTCCGCGTAATAGCGGTCCAAAAATGAGAATATTTCCCGACTTGCAGCCGCGAGCGGCGGCCATTAGAACCACGCGGCATGACGTCAATGAGGGCTTGCAAAAAGATAGCAAGTTGTGCGAACACCTGCTCGATAAAAGGTAACTTTGCTATAAACTTGTCGTTCCAACATAAATATGAATGCCCCAAAAACCCGGTATCACCGACAAAACTTTTATTAGACGGAATTTCAGTGGCGCCACCTATCCGAGGTCAACAAAACCATCAGCTACCGCGAACAGCCGACAGAAGCCGGAGGGGGCAGAGCCGGACGGGGATGGCCGGAGCCGGACCAACACTTTACCAACACCTAGCCGGACCCGGACATGCCTTTTCTCCTTTCGCCATGTTGATCGCGCTGTGCAAGCACGTGGTCGCGTGGTCGCGAGCGGGTGAGTTCTCGCTGCTCACTGATGGCGCTAGAGAGAGAGAGAAAGCTTCACCGGAACCCCGCGCGACCCCCCGTGACGTCACAGCGCATCTCATTCGGAAGATGATGAAGAAGTTAAGAGGTGCCGAAAACCTCAATCTTTGTCAATTAAAAAAAAAAAAAAAATTTACTTCGTTTTAGCTTTGGTCCGAGCGCGGCCGATGTTATGAGCCGAAGGGCCAATCATACAGCGCAAAAAACGTAGCGTCTTATGGCGTGCTCTTTGCGCTTTATATAACTAGACGGCAGAGGAGCACGCACAGAGAAGCGGCGAATACCAGCTGGTCCTATCAACTGCAGAAAGCACGCCATGACGTTGTGCCTCTTTCGCTGTTTGATTGGCCCTTCGGCTCATAACATCGGCCGCGCTCGGACCGAAGCTGAAACCAAGTATAGCACATACAGCTGGAAACGCGGTTTTTTGTCCTTTATTTCAGAAAGGTCGAGACACCAAATCCCAAATTATTTAAGCAGAGCACTGTAATTGTTGAACAGCTCCTTTAAGCTAAAGACGTTTCTGAGATCGTCTGTTCTAGGTGATAACTAATTCTACGGGATCTTAGCATCCCAGAAATTGAAACATTATGCTTGTGCGACGTCTATTTCCCTACTCAAAATGTGATAGAACCTCGTGCCACGACCCTTCCTGAGCGGAAAAATCTGGAGCGAAGTCAGTAGAGGCGCGGGCGCCGTGACGACGGGCGCGCGTCAGCCAATCGCAAGCCGCCTTTCTGAGAGAGACTCGTCAAGCTGCATGTCGCAGCATTTTTCCTAGGTCTCCTTCAGTCCTACTTTTTGACGGAAAATAAACACCCTTATCAGTGGCTTAGCTAGGATTTCATTTCGGGGGTGGATTGGGGGGGGGGGGGGGGGGGGGGGGCACTGACCCTTTCACCTTGCAGTCATCGCTTGGTCTGACTCCTGTCAGTTGTCGTTCTCCGTCGGACGTACTTTTTCGCGCGCTTTTTTCGGCAACACATTTTGGAACACTTGCTCGCCGTATACATGCAGTCTGCGACGGTTCTTACCGAGCCTCTTGCTTCTAAAATTCTTCTGGTAAAGCGTGGTGCCGTCGAAGCGGCGCACGTGCACGGTTAGTCGGAACCTCCAGAGGTCGGTGGGCACCAGGAACTGGCCGCTGCCGCTGTCCACGCGCTCCTCGAAGCACCGCATGTAGCAGTTGCCTTCGGACGCGCACACCTTGGCCGAGAAGCTCTGGTTGCCCGTGGCAGCGACGTTCCACTTGACGCCCACCATGAAGTCTGACTGCACCAACGGCTCGAACTTGAGGACTGAGAGATACGAAAACAGTGCACAAGCTTGATCATGCTGACAAAGACCGGGGAGCAAAGAATAGACCGACGTGATGTCAGTTTTCTCGCAAAATTTAGCGGGAAAATGAACGCACGTGACGTACATTTACGCTACATTTAGCCGTGAAATTGACGCCACCTGACTTGAGGACACATGACGTCACTTGACTTGGGGACACATGATGTCAACTACTTGACGTCGCATGATGTCACCTACTTGACTTTACATGACGTCACGTAATTTGGTCACTTGGCGTGGTCACGTAACGGTAATTTTCCCGATAAAGTTAATGAGAAATTGGATGTCAGGTGACTTTAGGTCACATGACGTGGTCGCGTGACGATTATTCCACCGCTAAATTTAGGGGGGAGAATGACGTGACGGTTCCTCGTGAAATTTTCTCATCGAATTCGGCTAATAAATCACCTGCGTAAAAAAAAAAATGGCCCAAGTGGAAAGTAGGAAAAAATGGCCCCAAGGGGGGTAAGCATAAAAAAAAAAGTGAAAGCCGTTTACAACTCCCTGTAACGCCGAATCGGAGCGCAGCTCTTGAGGAGGAGGAGGAAAGGGTACTGAGGGGAGGGTAGACCCCTCCTCCTCCTCCTTCTCCTCCTCCCCTCATTCTTTAATATGCTCCCGGGGGTCACCTGACCTCGGAGGGGGGAGGGGGTCACGTGACCTCGGGGAGGGGGCCACGTGACCTCGGGGGGTCACGTGACCTTGAGGTGACCTTGGGAAGGTCACATGACCTCGGGGTTCACGTGACCTTGGGGTAACCTTGGTTACGCCGACGCCGCTCAATCCGGAAACGGGCGCCTTAGAGCTGTGCTCTAAAAAATGTATTTACCCCGGAATCCATTTGGAAACGAGAGGTGTAGTAACCTCCCAACAAGAAACAGAAAGATGCGCTTCGACACACTGCCACTGGCGTCAAACGTGGAATGCAGGGTTTGAAAGCATTGCCGGCCACAGCCATGAGCCATCACACAGTGTGGAAGCCTTATCGACGGCTTGCGCTCAGAGGAATATCGACCATAACCATAAATATGGCCGAGGACCCAGCCGGCGCTCCTTACAATAGGAGGAGCAAGTCAGTGCTTGTCGAAATGCAACGCCGACTAAAAAATAAACCTCTTACGAGCATAAATGGAAATTTCTCAATTTCCCGTTTGGGACGTCATTCGAAAAAGACGTCCCAAACGTGTGTAATCCCGTGGATAACGTAGGATAAGCATGCTGACGGCATGATATCTAAACAAATGTCCCCTTTTGTGACCCTATAATTTCGCTGTCAGTGCGGTTGCGATCAGTGAATTCCGTGGTTCAAGCGCACCGGCCGTGATGAATTGTTTCAACGTTTGGGAAAACAAAATGGGGCTCACAAAACGTATTATGTCGTCTGCAGGTTCGCTAGCCACTGTCGTCATTCGCAACTACTTCCAATGGCTTTCGAAGGAATTTCCAGCACCAGCCTTTATCGTATTTGCTAATACTACGTAGGGTCCTCGAACAGGACCGCGCGAATAGTTAGAAAGATATATCCACTGGGAGCCAACTATCGATATGTGCGGGCACCAGGGCGATGGTACTTGCTTAATCAAGGAGAGATAGGGGGGGAGAACATCGCCGGGAGGAAGGGGGGGGTCTCGGGCCTTCGAGCCCCCCTGTAGTCGACGTCTATGCAGACGAGTATGCCACTGAGATGGCAACCTCCATATTCTGTGACTGTGACCCCCAACTCACAAGGATCCCTCGTCCAGAGCAGCGTGCAGTAGGTCCTGTTGCTGTATCCACCGACGCAGTGCTGGCAGGCGTCGATGCCGCAGAAGGTCAGGTTCGTGTTGCCGGGAAATTCGCCCAAGACGTCGGCGGTCGTGTTGTCCACGGACTTGCAACGGACACCCGATTTCGAAGGAGACACTCGGATCGGCGGCAGACGCCTTTGCTTCGACACCTGTTCAGGAGTTTGGAAAACCGATCTGAGAGAGATTAGGGAGTTTTCGTAGACTCATTTCGCCGTCCGGCAACGCCCTCCGCAACCCGCAACGATACCCGTAACTGTACAGTCAAGGCCATCGGCGCACAGGCTGTAACGAACGACCTTCGCGGCCGGACCTGGACGCGGATCGCCACCCCTTTTGTAACATTCCCGAGGACGCGCCTTTCGCTGACAATCTCAAGCCGGGATTATTTTCCCCGATGACCTGGTACCGTCGACAAAAGAGCAAGACAAGCCGTCGTCGATACCGGCTCAAGTTGGGTGCTGACACGGAAATGCGTTTTCTTTGAGGCGTCCAAGCAGGAACCAACGGCCACGGTGATCCCTGCTAAGCCGAAAGAGGGAGATAAGCCGTGAACGGGAACTGCCCGGATATCGGCGTCCAAGGTCTTCTCCGTCCCGACTAGGGAGGGGGACGGTATCCTCCGGGCGTTCGTGCTCTCTTAGAGCCAACAAAACGATTAACCGGTGTGTCCGTTTGGGCGTGCTCATAGGCGGTGCCCGGACGTTTGGGAATGAGCTTCTCGGTGTCACCTCGACCTAGATTCCAGGAGCAAGGCCAAATGGGGAACGGCGTCCTGGCCTAGGGACATAGGGAAGGGGGACCTTATAAAAAGAGCGGTTTTACGCTCCCTCTTCGTGTTCTCACGTTGTTCTCATGCCGAACGGCAGACTGTACTTAGTATGTAAATAAACAGTTTGAGAAGAGACACCCTGGCTCGCTACCAACTCTGCCCGATGTCCTGGGCGACGCATGGCTCCAGCGGAGATCGACTACATGGACAAGCCCCGAGTCTTTACAACTGGTGGCAGCGGTGGGATTCGAACCCACGCCTCCGAGGAGGGCGTGGCCAGGAAAAACGTTTCATTTCCTGTCCGTGATGGTGTGCTGTACCGACACTACCGAGATCGGTCGGGTCGCACGTTCGATCAGCTGGTAGTGCCGGAGAAATATCGAGCGGATGTGTTGCGCCTGTGCCACGGAGCGGGATGGTCCGGTCACTTGGGCAACAAAAAGACGAAAGATCGGCTCCTCACGGAATTCTACTGGCCGGGATGCTTCCGAGATGCCGAGTCTCAGGTGCGGGCGTGCGATGTCTGTCAGAGAGTGGGCAAACCCAATGAAAAATGCAAAGCGCCCCTGAGACTTGTGCCGATAATCTCGGAGCCATTCAGGCGCGCGTGGTCATTGATGTGGTGGGTCCTCTTCCGGCTACTAAGGCGGGGTACCGCTATGCTCTAACGGTCATGTGCGCGGCGACCAAGTTCCCCGAAGCGGTCCCAATGAAGGAACAGAGTTCAGTGGAGGTGGTGAACGCACTTCTGTCAATTTTTGCGAGGGTAGGCTTCCCCAAGAGGTCCAGAGCGACCAAGGGAGCGTTTTCACAAGCGCTTTGACTACTGGTTTCCTCGAGAGGTGCGGTATAAAGGTTATACACAGTTCAGTATATCACCCGCAGTCAAACAGTGTCGAGAGGTGTCACTCAGTTATGAAGCGGGTCCTGAGGGCGCTAACTTATGAGAGTGGAAACGAATGGGACGCCTGCCTGCCGGCAATGTTGTTCGCGCTGCGCTCCGTGACTCACGAGGCAACCGGCTTCAGCCCGGCCGAACTGGTGTATGGACGGTGTTTGCGGACTCCCCTGCGGCTGCTCCGCGAAACTTGGGAGACCAAGGGATCCGATCCGAGTGTGGTAGAGTACATTCTTGATCTGCTAGAGCGATTCCGAAGCACGAGTGAGATAGCGGAGGTTAATATGCGCGAGGCCCAGATCAGAGCGAAACGGTATTACGACCGAAACGCCCGTGTCCGGGAGTACCGCGCGGGCGATCAAGTCCTCTTGCTTCGTCCCTCACGCCAAAATAAGCTACAGGTGCAGTGGGAGGGACCATTCAAGGTCACTCAAAAGCTGTCGGATACTAACTACGCAATCGAAACCAGAGGCAAGAGAAAGGAAATCAGAATCTATCACTGCAATCTGATGAAGCGTTACGTGAGCGAAACGGAAGTGGTGAACTTGACACTAAACGCCCCAGAGGAAGTTCAGACTGATGTTCCGCTACTTTGGGAGGCTGGAGCGCCGGTCGGAGTAAATGAAGTCATGGCTCAGGCAGTTCGTTCGGAGGATCTTTCGGTCTCACAGCGGGCTGAATTGAGAGATCTTCTGGAAAAGTACGAGAACTTGTTCTCAATGTCTCCCGGACGAACCTCCCTTGCCACGCATGACATGGAGCTAACATCAAACGTCGCGGTACGATCCCGTCCCTATCGCATGTCACCAAGGCAGCAGGCTATCTTAAAAGACGAGGTGGAGCGCATGCTGCACTTAGGGGTAATCGTTCCGTGTGAAAGTGATTACTCTTCCCCTATGATCATCGTAGAGGCTGCGGGAAGGGATCCCCGACCATGCATTGATTATCGCAAGCTCAATGCAATCACCAGGGACCAGGCTTACCCGATTCCCAACGTAGAGGAAAGAGTTGAGACGGTTAGTGGGGCTAGATATGTCTCGACTTTAGACCTAGTACGCGGATACTGGCAGGTCCCGATGACGGAAAGAGCTAGCCATTACGCAGCCTTCGTGACCCCGACGGGCACATTCCGCCCGTTGGTTTTGAGCTTCGGTCTTAAAAACGCTCCGTTCTGTTTCTCGCGAATGATGGACAGAATTTTGCGTGGGGCGGAAAGCTACGCGCTACCGTATCTAGATGACATCGCCATTTTTTCGACAACTTGGGCAGATCACATGAACCACCTTTCTGACGTATTTGAAAGGTTGAGGAGCGCGGGTCTAACCGCGAAACCAAGTAAGTGTCAGCTGGCGAGAGGCGAGGTTAGATACCTCGGCCATATCGTGGGTCAGGGGCTAAGAAGGCCCGACGAACTCAAGGTTGCGGCTGTAAGAGACTTCCCGCGACCTGAGAAAAAAACTGGCATAAGGGCTTTTTTGGGGCTGACGGGGTATTACCAACGCTATATCCCTCAGTACTCAGAAAAGGCTAGCCCCCTAACCGATGCGCTGCGGAAGACCGAACCCGATAAGATTCGGTGGGACGACAAAAAAGAACAGGCCTTCCAGGGCTTGAAAAATTCCCTCTGCTGTTCCCCCATACTTCGGGCCCCGGATTATAGTCGCTCGTTTATAGTGCAGTGCGATGCCAGTAATCGCGGCTTGGGGGTGATTTTATGTCAGGAGGATGATGCGGGAGAGGAGCACCCCGTGCTGTACGCAAGCCGGAAACTCAGCAGCCGAGAGGAGGCTTACAGTGCGTCGGAAAAGGAATGCGCCGGCTTAATTTGGGCAACTCAAAAGCTCTCCTGTTACCTTTACGGAGCTCCGTTCGTTTTCGTCACCGACCACTGTCCTTTGACATGGCTAACTCAAATGTCGACAAAAAAATGCCCGACTTCTGCGGTGGAGTTTGGCTTTACAAGAATTAACCTTCACGGTTAAGTACAAGAGGGGGGCGGCTAACTCCAACGTAGACGGACTTAGCAGGTCGTTTTGAGATTATTTGTTCTGGATGTTGCCTTGCGAGTAGGGCCAAATTTTAAGAAGTTTCATTGCGTTTTCTTTTACTTTTTGTAATCTTCACACATGTCAGCGATTTCGCTTTGTGCAATGTTGCCCTATGGCGGGCTTTTCTTGGTGGTGTCAATGGCAGAAAAAGTGATAGGTTTATTGCCGCAGAAAAAAGGCCTGGCGGTTGGGGAGAGGGTGCTGCCGCTCGCTGGATTTGGTCGTAGCGGTTCGTGTCTCTGTTGATGTGTTGGCTACTCACGACGATTTCGAAGCTGATCTCTCCAGGAAAGCAGCTGATACTCCTCCCCTTCCGAGATCTGCCTTTGCGTGGAGGAGCTGTAACGAACGACCTTCGCGGCCGGACCTGGACGCGGATCGCCACCCCTTTTGTAACATTCCCGAGGACGCGCCTTTCGCTGACAATCTCAAGCCGGGATTATTTTCCCCGCTGACCTGGTACCGTCGACAAAAGAGCAAGACAAGCCGTCGTCGATACCGGCTCAAGTTGGGTGCTGACACGGAAATGCGTTTTCTTTGAGGCGTCCAAGCAGGAACCAACGGCCACGGTGATCCCTGCTAAGATGAAAGAGGGAGATAAGCCGTGAACGGGAACTGCCCGGATATCGGCGTCCAAGGTCTTCTCCGTCCCGACTAGGGAGGGGGACGGTATCCTCCGGGCGTTCGTGCTCTCTTAGAGCCACGGTGCTTAGAGCCAACAAAACGATTAACCGGTGTGTCCGTTTGGGCGTGCTCATAGGCGGTGCCCGGACGTTTGGGAATGAGCTTCTCGGTGTCACCTCGACCTAGATTCCAGGAGCAAGGCCAAATCTCAAGCGTCACTGAAGAAACGGCTGCCACTATACAAGCCTGGAGGAACCGGAAGAGCACTTATCCTCTGTGTGTGCGTGTGCGTGCGAGTGGGCGGTGCCTGACCAGCTGGGGAACGGCGTCCTGGCCTAGGGACATAGGGAAGGGGGACCTTATAAAAAGAGCGGTTTTACGCTCCCTCTTCGTGTTCTCACGTTGTTCTCATGCCGAACGGCAGACTGTACTTAGTATGTAAAGAAACAGTTTGAGAAGAGACACCCTGGCTCGCTACCAACTCTGCCCGATGTCCTGGGCGACGCATGGCTCCAGCGGAGATCGACTACATGGACAAGCCCCGAGTCTTTACAAGGCGCACTAGCAACGTTTTCGTTGCGGAGGGCTGAGCGGAGGAGGAAACGCGGTCCACAAAAACTTCCTGCTATCCACGTTCTGGAGGCGCAGCTGCTGAATGTATGCACGAGCATACAAGAAGCATAAAACTAAACAAACAAAACCATAATTTTTTTTTTTTTTTGCTGGTTTGGCGTAAGGGAGATTTCGGAAGACACCTTGTGCGTGCTCTTACCGCGTACGTAGTTAAAAGTGCATGTGCGTTTAAACAACGTTCTGTAAGAGCGCGCGTACCCCCCCCCCCCCCCCCCCCCCCCTTAGCTTTCGCTTCACTGCCACACAAGACCAACAGGCGGTACCGACGTCACGTCCGTCGCTGCGGTGGAGCTGCTGTCGACATGGCGCTTGCGCAGACGCTTTACTTCTCGCAAATCTGGTTTCTGCGCAGGCGCAGTGCCTACAGCTCGTATGGGCAAACGCGGGCTCGTCAAACAGGTCCGCGTTTGCCCACCCGGCGTGTGCTTGTGACAGCTAGGGAGTGTTTCCCCAGGAATTGATATTAGGGGGGGGGGGGGGGTTAAATTTTTAGGAGGGGGGCATTGAGAATAGAGGAGTCGTTGCGAATTAAGTGGGTGGCTTGAGAAAAACAAGGGGAGGGGGGGGGGGGGGTGTACGCTTCCCCTAGGGGGTGTGTAGGGAAATCACTGGCTTGTGCGCAAGAACCATGCAGATCCGCGACAGAAGCGCCACCGCAGCTTCGTGACGTCATTGCCGCGCGTTGATGATGAAAAGCAGGACAACGCCCTCCTATGCTCTATACTCGCCAGGATTACGGGTTTCCTCTTTTCCATTCGCCTCCTCTCTAGCGTTCGCTCTGCCAAAGTGAAAACCCGTAACAAACTTTGGGTGACGTCCGCACATTTGAAGCCTGCACGTGACAGTAAAGCTTAGAATTCTGGATACGAACCTCTGCATGGC